GCGAACTGTTAAATACTTCTACTGATCTCACCACATAGACATGGCAGGCCTCCTCGGCCGCCCGTCACACTAGCACAGCAAGCACGACAACTTGACAAGCAGAGCGCAGCGGAGCATGTGGGCGGCCGACTCCGGCGCGGCCAGAGTATGGCACTATGTAGGCCCAGGTGGATGCATCATGTACTCTGCGGAAAGGATGAGCTGTGTGACCGTGTAAACTCAGTCGCACCAATCCCGGGCTTCGCCGGATCGTTGTTCTGTACTCTGTACCACGAGGCCAAAGGCTGTTTGAGTTTGGGGGAAGAAACGGCTCCATTCGATTCGCTTCTTCTGTTCGTCGAAATTCCCCTGGAAGCCTGGGGTCAAAGCGAAGGCTCGTTGGCATTGGTAACCGGACCGGCTTGTTCGCGACACGATACACAAAGCGGGCAGGGCGTTTAGTTGGAAGTTCCCCGTACGGAGCAGATTCAGCGGAATTGCAGACATTGAGAGGTAGGTGCTCGGTGGTCATTGGATCTTCTCCGAATTCCGTTGGTGTCTCTGCCCAAGTACCTTGTCCTCCGGAGACGGTGATTTTCTCCGCATCCGAAGTCCGTCATACTGGGGAAGACATCGAGAGATCAGTGGACTATCCGCTGCCAGGAGTCTTACCGGCATGAATAGCCTGATCCTGACCAAAATTATAACCAGAGTTTTGGGGCATGGCCGTGGCGTCGCTCAAAAATGGGGCAGCAGGCAAACACGCGGAGGAGGGCCGGGAACCCTTGTTGATCGGCGCGACTATGGATGCACGATTGGAATGGTATGGGCCGGGCTGGGTCGGACGCAGTCAGCATCTGTCATGATGATTGCAGGGTTTGATTGAGTTTGGCCGGGTTTGCCATGCTGCGACGGTGACACTCCCCCATGCTGTGGCGTCTCGGCCTCGGCCTCAAATGACGGATGGTTACAGCGGAGTCGGGATGGGAATGGCATCTGGTGGCTGAATTATTGAAGCCCAAGGATCTTTTCGTGCTTGGCACCCGGAGCGAAGAGCGACAAGAGAGCTTGATTGACCTTGATTCGATGTTGTGTATCTACCGGTGTTCTCGAAGTGTCAGAGAAGACGATCCTCATCTTCGTGTTTATCTCGAATCTTCCTAAATCCCTGCACCGCTCTTTGTTCAATGACTCGAGTCTGGCTCCTGACTCAGGTGTCGGTCATCGTAGACCAGCAAGCAAGGATCAAGACAGCGATACCGATCGACAGCGCCAGCTAAGACTTGAGTCGCTCAGTCGACCGTTGTCGCGAACTGGAGTTTGTCCGCATCGGCAGACAGTAAGGGCCTGAGCACGGACTCAGATCTGCGGAATCGCATTCTTGAGAAAGTTGAGATGGCCTGGATAGCGTGGAGGTAAGGACAGTGCGTGGGCGTAGGCAGCAGCAAGGGAACATTGTCCGCCCATGTTTCTTGCATGGCGAGCCACCACGCAGTCGGCATATGACTAGAGCATGATGTTGCAGCTGGCAAACATTATTGAAACAATACGACGGGAACTGCTGCTTAGCGGCGATCATTCCACGCCCGCGCCATGGATGCCAGTTGCCATGTGTCGAGTCAAAGGAGAATGTTAATGGGCTGCTGTTAAACTCTGCTGCGGATCTTCCTGGCCTGACCTTATCTGTCAAGAGTCAAGACTCAAGAGGATGTCTAAGAGGCTAAGACAATGATTGGCCGCTCCCGCATTCTTCAGAATCTTCACAAAGACACGAGTCGGATGATGATCCCGGTAGCTCGTTCATCCTGCATTGCATCAACAACGCAAGGAGGCCATGCTGATTACGTGGCTGACAAAGACGTGATGATGGCTCATGTCTGGCATTCGCATCCCTTGAACCCCTGGAGTCGATCGCAGGCACGTGAATCCAGATCTCCATCTCACCTTTTGCTCCATGACCTGTTGGTCAGAACTAACAAGGTTCTGCACAGTCATACCGATGATAGCGCCCAGGCCCTGCGTCACCCTCCAACCTTCCATCCAGTCATTCCGAACTCTACCACATAGATGCGACCGTTAACGTGCTGGGAGCTCCCCCATCTGGCCCGTGGAACTGATCGATCCTCGCTGCGTCCCACTTGCCGTCTGACTGGGCTCTTGACTCGGGGCATTGTTCCACTCCAGCCGTAGCACCTACCGGGATAGGAAAGACCGTCGATGACTAAAATGGCCCTGTTTTCTACGATGGCCCCGTCAGAATATTCGCCCGCGATCCAGACTTTCAGACTGTGAGCGGGTCAGCCCGGCGCCCGATGCTAGCTCCTACAGCAGTTAGCCGCGCAACTACATCACACTAGCCAGCTTTTAGGCCATCATCTGCTCGCAGGTGCAGTTGTTGCACAAAAGTCCATCGTGGCCGCGCTCTCGTTCGCTCGCCCACATGTTACAGCCGGTCCGGTGGTGTGGGGTATGGCGCGAAGGATGCATCGCAGTCAGACGGTGGCATGGCAGTCCCTGTCCCCTGCCACGGATCTGCGCCAGAATTGCCCAAGCCAGGCCCCACGATTACCCAACTCCGGCATGGCTCCTGGGACTGCGCCGTGGTCCGTGGTCTTGATAAACCCAGCCTGCATCTGATGACCTGCCATCAACGGGTCATTCCAATGTTATCACTGAGGATAGGCTAGGGATAGGCCAGGAACCTCGCCGCATAGGGCAGACCGGCAGAGGTGAAGATTACGTCCCTTCAGGAGCATAACCCTCGATTTGCGCGGAGTATGAAGAGCCATGGGCGGTGCTCGCAAATTCGGCCTTTCCTTTGTCCGTCGATCCTCTCCCATGTGGAGAGAGTGAGACTGTCGAAAAAAAAAATACCAACGAGTGGCCGAATTCTGGTGCCTGGCATTAATCTGTCGACATTATGCGCCCGCGTCACTCTATTCGCTGCTGGCGGATTGTGCAGCAGCTGCGGCTGGACACGAGTCCGAATCCACCCCAGAAACTGCCTCGTGGCGGTGGATAGCGGGCTTTGGGCTGTCGAATTTCTTTCCCTCCATAATTCGGTCCGCAGTAGTGCGAATCAGTTAGATGCTTGGCCGCTTCGCCTCTTCTTGCCTCGCCTTCTTTTGTTTCACTGTGGCCGAGCCCGTCCGAAGCTCCGGAAGTATAGGCCGGAGTGATATACCACGGAGGCTTCCTCGGCTCAAAGGTCCATGACAGCTCAACTACGGAATAGACGGCAGTTGGCCAGTCCACGAGGCAGAGCTTGGATGGGCCGCCAAGAAGAACCTATCAGTATGCTGTGCTCAATTTGCGGTGGTTTGTTCCGTAGTTCCTGCGCAGTGCGACTCTCTCTAGGCGCTCTCTGGGGCGGAATTGTCTGAACATTCAGGCCGTACCGCCGTAGGTAGCACGCAACGTTTAAGTAGATAGTCAGAACCCCGGTAGACGGCCAGAAGTCAAGACAAACCTACCAGACCCGATTGAATCTGGACTCGGGAACGGGCTCCTGGTTGGCACGTTGGTGGCTGCGATACGGAAATTGGAGCAGGAGCGTCCACTGCATCATTCTTAACCTTTCATTTCGGTCGTCATCAGCTCGATCAAAAAGGAAATAATAACCAAAATATTCAGGAAAAAGAAAAAGTGCCCTCCTGTCATCAGCTCTTCCTTGCCCTCTCTAAATATCTTCCAAATCTCTATCTTCACCTTACTTCTTCTTGTACTCCTTTGCGGAAGAAGAACACCACTACTGTCCAGCTTAGTTGCCTGCACGGTAGCACTCAGTACTATCTAGATACGGCCAGGAGTTTTTCCTCGACTCGGCCTCGAGTATCAGGAATCCGTTCCCATTTCCATCTATCGCTTCTTCAGGCCCTTCCGACCCTGGTCTCAACTCGAGAGCTCAGAATTCTGCCGGACCAGTGTCGAACGCCCGACGGAATTTGTCTTTGTCACGACTCGCCAGTGTGACCCTCGCAATCTCCCTCCCTTCCTTTCCCCTCCGTCGTCCAGACTCCACGGTCCATAATATTGCACTTTTCTCTTCTCTTCCTAGTGACTCAGCTCCTTGCGCTTGTCCGCTCAGCTTCGGCCTGGCTGATCACTACTTCTGCACGTCGGCGCCTTTGCCCTAAAAGTGCTCCCTGCCCAATTGTTCGTGCTTCTAGATCTCGTGCCACGTTCTCCCCCGAAACGTTTGCACTAAAGGTAAGCGACCCGCTCTGCTCGCTCTCTGCAAACCAACTCTCCTAGGATCTTGAGATTATTATCCTCTATCTCTCAATCAACGCTCGTTCGACTTGACAATTTTATTTCCATTATTATTATTCGTGACTAAAACTCGGACGCTGTTCGAATAGATTTTTGGACGTCCCCCACTATTTTCCTCTCGTTCGCTTCCGTATTCCAGTCGTATTACCACGTCCCGCCTCCGTTCCCCGACGACCATCGACGGCCTTCCTTCACGCATCCTTCCTTCCCTTGCAGATTCTGTTCCCTCGACCCCGGCCTCTATCGCTTTTCGATCTCGCCACCGATTTTCTTCCTTAGTCCTCTTCGACCCACAAATCGCCGTCCGTTTACATTGACCTCCGTTGTCTGCGAGAACTTGGAAGGGGTAACTCGAGCGCATCGCAAACCGGAGTTGATTCGAGGGTGGAACTACAAATCCGGCCTCTGAAGAAGGGAACTGTGTTTGGCTTTGCGTTTACATCAGATTCGCGCATTCCAGAAGATACCCACGCGGCCTCTACCTCGCTCGGATATCTTGCATGAGACTTGCGACGAACCGGTAATTGATACATCACCTCGAGACTTTTTCTCCGTGTTGGAACATGAGATAATACACTCGTCTGGACATTTTCGACTTTTCATCTCTCGACTAGACACTCATTTACCTACCCATCTTTGCAATGGACCCAGCTCTGAACCACCGGCCATGGCCGTACAATGGGGTGCACAATCCTCCTGCCACGACGTCTTCTACGACTCTCCCTTCGATATCCACCCTAACCGCCACGATGGGCCACACCCCAGCACCAGCGGAGAAATCGCCTGGTAATGCGTCGTTGAACACAGTCGAACGTGATTCAGGGAATTGGTCCATGCCTCAAAGTACAAGTAAGTCCACCGCGACATTCCCAAAGCGCGCCATTGACTGGTCTAGGATCGTCGACCTACTCTACAGCGACAAATGGAACAGGCAACCAGCCTACCCTCTCCTTCCTAACGTCGTCACAACCCTCGCCCCAACGTGGCTCATATGTTTCGGACCGATCTCCTTATGACCAGTCGCACAACACTACACCCCCGTCGGCGGGAGCCCAACCATCGCCGAACTTTGCCTCGCAACCCGCTACCGCATTACCCTCTCTAAACCAGAACTACGAGACCCCGTCCCACCGCAACAGTGTAGCGGACCCAATCGAATCCCGTCGGAGCAGCGTGGACAGCAGGATGAACCAGGGAATCAGCTCATTGGCCATCAACCCGACTTCTCCATATCATAGCACGAACGCCTCGCAGACATCCATCGTATCGAGCTTGCAAAGAGAGCGCGGAATAGATAACAATGTATACCGGGGGCCTCGCTACTCAGGGACTTCACCCTTGTCTCCGTTGTCAGCGCGGGAACACCGTGGGTTTGCGGCTGGCCGCACTGCGCCCGCTATCTCGTCCAATCCTCGCTCAGAAATTTACAACGCCGAGGCACCGACCGCCGGTCTCGCTTATGCCTTTCCCGACCCGGATGTTTCGACGCGGCAGGATTCGTTCGATAGAGCGTCCTTCTCTCGCAAGCCGAGTGCGACGGAATCTTTATACAGCAATTACTCCGAGTCACGATTGCCTCACGGCCAACATGGTAAGCGACAATTGTATCCGAAGAGAGAACAGCGCTAACCCACTGTAGAGCTACCCCCTAATGTGCACCACCACACTTTGCAGCATAAGCAAGTCCGTGGTCTAATCGGGGAAGCGGAACAACATGCTGGCAGCACCCCCTACAGCAGAACTCCGGAACTTAGGGTGACGCATAAACTGGCTGAGAGAAAGCGTCGCAGTGAGATGAAGGATTGCTTTGAGGCCTTGCGTCTCCGTCTCCCATCGAACCAAAACAACAAGTCCAGTAAATGGGAGACTCTCACAAGAGGTAAGCACATTTCGCAGCCACTTTATAGTCGACCATGAACTGACATTGGGGTAGCAATTGAGTATATCAACACCCTGGAGAAACAGCTTTCAAGCTGCCGCAGGGACAATGAAATTTTGCTCCAAGAAATTCAAGAAGCGCGACACCAACTCAATCAGCAACAACCAAACGGGCACTCTCGAGCGGCGCCAATCTTCGAGCACCACCCGATGCCCGCGCAGACGAATGGCCAGGTGCAAAGCCACGCGCACGGGCCAGTTTATACTGGTTACAATGGAGCGCCCGGCATGGCAGAGGAGCAACCGCGTACTTTGCCTCCGCTGATCAACGGCTCTGTTGCCCCCATGCAAGGCGTGCAGTACAGTGACGACCGCCGATAGGTGTCCGGTTAATCTTTACGTCTGCCCGAGTCCGCACCGCCTAACGTATAGGTCGTTATTGACCGGTTATAGCGGCACCTGAAGTGACCGCGCAATGCTTCCCTCGTTAGCTGCATTAGAGCAGTGGGAAGTACGTCCGTCAAAGACCAATAGTTGGAGGCGCTGAGCATCCTATTCGAAATGTCTACGAGTACGAGACTGCGATTACGTCCACGTTGACCTGAGGCATTTACGACATTCGCTTTGACTTCTCTTTTGTCTCTCTCGCGTTATCCGTAGATGGGTGGCATCTTTGAGCGATGATTTTTATAGCCGACATCACCTTCCGCGACAAGGTCGATGGAGGACATGACTGTATTTTTCTTGCGTACATATACATCTGCTTGCATCATGACGCGGGTTCGATGTACTTTGCATTGGGTGGGTATACCTGGTGAATCGGATGCTTGATGCTCGAAGTTTCAGGAGTTGGACTCCGCCATGGAGCTGGGTTGGATTATGGCTGTCGTTAGCAGAATGAACGGTATCGAGGCGTCTGGGAGTCATCTTCATAGGCGCCGTGGGATCCAAAATATGAAGCAAGAATAGAAGCCTCCAAATTCCCTCCATCAAGTAGATCGACAATGCAATTGACCTGAAACCGCGCTGCAGCCAATCACCGCTGCGGAACCAAAATAGGTCTTCAGAGCGCCGCCATGGACTCGCTCCCGAGCACGGCGCTTACAGCTACACCTCCCTGCGATCCACGGCCAATCCTCGACTTCTGCAGCTCTGCTCTGCAGTTTGTGTCTTCAAGTCTTGTCCAATGAGCTGCGTCCAAGCTGTCTTGGACGTCTCCCGTCCTGCGGATCGAGAGTCGCGGAGATTTGTATCTGCAGACCGGCCATCCACAGCATGTCATTCACCCAGTCCAGGGCCTCGACCATCCATGCCTGATGCTTGCTCTGGTTGAGATAAACAAAATGCGCGCGTGCTGCTCTTCTGCATCTTCTCCTTGTCCTCCTCTTCCAGTGTCACCTCCATAATTCGAACACCCTCACTTTCTTTCTTTGCCTGCCTCTTACAGCATCGACACCCATGGCCCTTGAATGACAATAGCTGGCTGTTGCGTCGGGTTCTAGGTACAGGAGGGGCGATCCTTGGTTGGCATTGTTCTCTTCTTCTTTCATTAATTGTGTTTTGTTTCATTCATTCACGGCGTCGGTCTTGGGCTGCCTCACCTTAAAGTTTTCCTTTCAGTTGTGCCGCATAAACGCTCTAGACCGTTTCAGTCTTTGCATCGCATTTGCATGGTTGGGTCTTCTGGTCGGCAGGTCTTTTGTTTTGCTCGCCTCTTTGTCTGTATGAGGGGAGTGTAGTCTTGGTCTTTTGTAGGTGCGTCTCCCGTCTGATCTTCCATTCCACTTACCTATCGTCCTCACATAACACAACCTACCATGAAATGACAAGCCATAACATGACTAACACTATTAACGATGGTCAGCCTCCAGCTCCGCAGACTCAAGCGAAGAATGCCACTCGCTCTAAACTCAAGCTCAGGCTCGAGCTCCGGTCCAGAAAGGCCACGGGCCCAACTTACAATCCCCACAGTCCCCAAGTTTCCGCTGTCGTCGCCCATCACAGATGAGATTGCCAGTCCGGCGGGCACGTCCGAGGAGTCCTTTGAAGAGGACCGGGACACGGAGCGCAACCCGCCGTACGAAGTTCTGTCCAAAGTGCAGAGCAGGAATCCGTTTGTGTCGAATGCTAGTAACGTGGCGCCGGCGGATCGGATCAGGGAGTTTGAACAGAGTGTTACGGGCCATGTACATACTGTTTCTCCGGAGAGAGACAGGGAGAGGGAGAGACCGGTTGGATTGAACTTGGAAATTCCGGGGTCTGCCCGCGCGCCGCAACCACAGCCGCGAAAAGATACGACCGGGGCGTTTGTGGATTTGAATGACCTCAAGATTCTCTCGCAGGCGAGAGAGGAGGAACGGGCGGCGCGGAAGGTCAAGGGGATATTGAAGAAGGACGACGGCAAGAAGGAGAAGGGGGATACGAGGGGATTTCAGCGGCTACAAGATGACCCTTCGGATTCGGGGTTTGGGCATCATGGAAAAAGAGCGTCGCTGCTCGATGCCATGTCTCGGGTCTCTAGGAAGAAAGTCAGAGACGACGGTATTTCGCCAACAGACCGGCCGATCATGATTGGATTCTCGGTGCCATATGACTCGCCCGAGCTTCAAGACGTGAAAGAGAAAGAGATTGACAGTGCAGGAACACAACATACTCCGCTTACGCCTTCGATTATAGTCACCCCGGCCAAGGAGGACAGTTTCTGGAATCATCTGCGGCCGCAGAATGCGAACTCGCACGCGCGCCCAAGAGCAGCGTCTAGCGTTTACTCGCAGCCTTCGCCGCATCTAGGGCTCGATGATGCACCGCCTGTACCTGCGCTTCCAGCGTTCTACTCCACGGGCAACGATACAGCGACTGCAGGGGTGTCTAGCTCTGTTCGAAAACGCCGCTCGATGTCTACTGGTGCAGTCGACGAGAAAAGCGAGGAACAACCACGTGGACGGCCTCGATCTCAATCGAATGAGAAGGCTCCCCGACTGTCTGACCGGCTGACCATCAACACATCGCTGAACGCGCGAGCTTCTCAGGGATGGTGGAACTATCTTCTTTCGCCGCTATTGAGCGCCAGCTCGCTTCTGAGTCCGAAGACTCCGACGACAGTCAAGACACGGCCACCTTTACCGCCCATATCAACTGGAACAAGCTCAACAGGCTTGTCGGACGAATGGTGGGACGAAAAGGAGAAGTGGGAGGAGAAAGAGAAGGAGAAGGAAAAAGAGATAGAGAGGTCGTATTTCTCACCTGATACCCCTGAGGCAACGCGTCGGGTATCTAGCTGGCAGAACATGAACGGCAACCCTTTTGCCGACTTTGACTGGAGTATAGATGAGCAGCAACGGTTTCAAAATCATGATCAGAGCCCTGAAGGACAGGAACGAGTAGCGTCGATGATGTTTGCTGGCCAGACAATCGAGGGTTCCGCGGCGGAATACTACCAGGCTTGTGCGTATGAGGTGTTCAGCACAACTCCGTACTTCGAGTGCATTAATCACGTCTGTTCGATCACACCGAAGGATAAGATCGCAGTCGTTGGTGCGGATGACCAAGATCAGCATCATGACACGCAGGGAGCAAGAGGCCTTTTGATTGATGTGGATGATATGCCTCGTTCTCATAATCTGGAGTCGCCGGGATCTGGGATCACGTCTATCAATTCGAGTCCGTCAGATGATGCAAGTAGACTGTCTAAGGAACTGGGAGGAGGATCACGAGTGCCTCCAAGTGAGGGCGCACTCGGAACTCCAAAGATCAACTCTCCTACACATACAAGACACCCAGGCTCGCCGGTGCCTACTAATCCTTTTGGACAACCTCGAGGGTTTTCACCACCACCAACGCAACCTCCTCATCAGCCAGAGCCGTCATCAACAAATCCATTCGAGCAACCAAGAGGATTCACACCACCACCGCCGCAACCAACTTTCCAACCTCCTCTGCCTGCAAATATCCATATAGAAACCGCCGCCGCTCCACCCCCGGCTAATATCCATATAGAAGCGCCGCCAGCTCAGCCTACTCCGAACATTCATTATGGAGCTCCTGCACCTGCACCCGTCACTTACGACGTCCCGGGGCCCTATGAAACGTCTAGGGCTCCCAATCCTTTTGAGCCCGCCCCCCAACCTCCCGTGCTTGCTTCTATGCCAGAGCCTGCTCCAGCGCCAACGCCAGCACCTCGCTCAATCAACCGCACCGCTCCCCCTCCCATCTCCATGCCTTCTCCCGATCAAATGCCTCCGCCAAGCTACGGCGCACAAGCACACTCGCCCTACCCCCGCTCCCCAGAAAGCCTCCAGGAGTCTACAGCAAGAGGCGCCGTCCGCCTCTCACACTTGTCCATGCCACCAGGCCCAGCCCCCGCCTACACTCCTCACGACAATGCCGCCCTCCCACCACGCGCCGTCCCCATAACGCGTGACATCCTGTCCCATCCCGTCTCAGAGCGCGACCGAATCGAATCTCGCCGGCAGCGCTACGAGCGCGAAGACGCCCTAGCCCACAAAGCCGGCGGCTTCTGGCGCGGCCGCGGCCCCTTCAGCGCCAAAGGCTGTTTCGGGCGAGGCGGACGCGAAGGCCGACTCCGCCGCCGCTGGTACGCCATAATCTGCCTGTTCTTCCTGGTCATCGTAATCGTCGCAATCCTCCTCGCGATCTTCCTGACCAGAAAGGGCGACAATACACCCGTGCAATCGGCCTGGCTGAATCTGACGGGGTATCCGCCCATGCCGACGGGGATATCAACTATCGCGGGACCAGAGAATACAGTGCAGGACTCTGGGTGCATTACGCCGAGCTCGATGTGGAGCTGTGCATTGCCGAAGGACCAGCATGAGGCGAATGAGCCGTATGCGGCTAATCAGCCGAATTTTCGTGTTGAAATCCGCTTCCAGAATGGGAGTTATGAGCATAGTACGGTGCCGATTACGAAGCGCTCGATGCTCGATAAGAGGAGCGCGTATCAACTGTTCAACCCTAAACCGGATCCACCGAGTACAGACGAAATGGCATTCCTGGGCCAGTACACGGATAATACGTCTACTCCGTACGCAGGCGAGGAAACGCCATTCTACATCACCGTCCTCTCAGCGGAATACCTCTCCTCCTCAAAATCCTCCTCGACCAACCACACCAAACGCGACAAGTCCAACTCCACCTCCTCATCCAACAACTCAACATCCTCCTTCCCCGACGTAACAGACCTAGTCCCCTCCCCCGCAAAGGACTCATCCGGCACCGCGGCAGCCGCAACTCTCTACCCCCTCCCCTCCTCCCAACCAATCCGCCTCTTCAACCGCGGCAAGAAAGACGAGCACTACGGCTTCTACAGCTACTTCGACAAGTCCATTTTCCTGGCATCCCGAACAGCACTCACGGGCGTTGTAGCGAGCAACAAAAACGACGGCAACGGCGGGTCCACAAAGAACGAGGCGAACGTCCGCTGCACATGGGCGCAGACGCGCTTCCTCGTGCAGATCTGGACGAAGGGCGACGCACTGGGCCGGAACCTCATGGCGCGCTCGGCGAATGGTACCACCAATTCGACTTCAACCTCAACGTCAGAAAGCAAAGCCGCCTCCTCAGCAACGGACTTCACGCGCCCCGGCTCGTTCCCATACCCGATCACCATAACGCTCGACCGGCACGGCGGCGACGCCGAGAAAAAGAACCTGTATTGCTATGGTCTGGTCGATGGGGCGCGGTATAACGCGTCGGCCGTGAAGCTGCAGATGGAGAACCGGGCGTGGAATGGGGCGATTGTGAATCGGGCGCCGGGGATCTTTAATATGGGGTCGGCGAATTCTACGACTGACGACGACGATGGGGATAAGGGTAAGGATAAGGATTACGGCGGGTATGATGGGGGCGTGGGCGGGTGTAGGTGTCAGTGGGTTAATTGGGTTGGGGCGCTTTGAGGCCTTGCTATTTCTTCAGGCGTGGAGTTGGTAGATAGATCTTCTTCTTGTATACTAGTAATGATGAGCGAGTGAGTGAATGATAACGTCCAGTCAGTCTATCAGTCAATCTTCGATGCAATCTGAGGCTCGTTAGGCTAGATTACGGGCAAGCAGGCAGCCAACCCTAAGTTTGCCAAACCATGTAGGTGGATCACTCCTTCCACAAAAGACAGCAACAGCTTCTGAATTCTCGGTTCTTTTGGCAGCTGTAGTCCGACAAGCATTGAGCAATGAGCATAAAATGCCAATCACAGCGTCTCGGGGCATCTAAGGAACTGAATGGGAAGTTGGAACGAAGGCTGGACGCCGCCTATACCGACAATATGGAAGCCTATCAAAGGCGACTACAATCCGAACTGAATCAAAGCTGCTAATCTTAATAGCGAATTGATGGTGCCTGATCTTGACCGCGTCAGGTTGGTATAAATCACCTGTTCTCCCTTCACGCTTAGTTCGTGCTTTGATTCTTCGAGAGGATACCTACTCCTTAGCTATATAGGTATACCAACAACTCCGCGATGAATGATTTCCACGCCGTAGAGCCCTTACGGTTCTGGGGCCCTCCGACTTCAAAAGCCAAGTGAGTCTGTCGGTTTTGCATCATTTTTTCTTTTTTGATCTAATCTGGACAAAGTTTCTGCGAGATGGACTACGCCATCAGCAGATACATTGCCGAGTTTATCAACAGTCTGTCAAATATCGTCTACGGTACGTGGCATGGTATACCATTCGCGAGCGCCACTGATCATGTATGCCAGTAATCTATGGCATCTACGGACTGCGCAAGCTCAAGCTGAGAGACAATGGCGATCTGCTGCGTGCGCTTCCATACTGGGGTCTAATGGCGGTCGGACTCTGCTCATTTGCAGTCCACGTCAGCCTCAAATATAACACTCAAATGAGTATGTACTACATACCCCATATGACAGCGACGGACATCGTCTAACCTCCCCTCGCTTCATCAGTGGACGACCTCTCCATGCATTTCGCCACAACCCCAGTCCTCCACCGCGTCTTGACGGCCAATTCCACCCGCCGGAACTCAATCACCACGGCCATTCTGCTGGGCTCCATATTGTTCTCCTTAATAGCATACCACATGTTAGCCGATGAGCTGGTCCTGCATTCAGTGTCCTTCGTCGCTGCGATAACGCTCATTGGGGTCTACAGTATGCGCCTTGTTAACACCCGAACGCTCCCGGGCTCAGCTGTCCGGAGAGAGATTTGGGGCATGGTGAGATTTGGGGCAGCGATATTCGATCTGGGATACTGGCTCTGGCTGCTTGATCAGTGGGCCTGCGCATTGCTGAAAGATATTCGAGAGGGGATAGGTCTCCCTTGGGCATTTCTATTGGAGCTTCACGGGTGGTACGTATCAGATCCGCATCCTTGATATGACCAAACATTGACCGGATGGGATGATATAGGTGGCATGTTTGTACAGGTATAGGAGCTTATGTCTTCATCGCTGTTGTAGATCACTTGGTCTCCGGCGAGGAACATGGAAATATTGATCAATCAATTGCCTGGCCCGCTTCATGGGCTTCGAAGTCCGTCTTTGCTGGATCAGCACTGGTCGCGGCTGAGGAGACTACTGACAAACAGAATTGATGTTTTGTACACGAGCCAATGATGTAGTACAGTGAGGCGCCGTTTGGATGTTCGTTGTTCTTCCCGGGTCAGAGACTCTGGACCCGAGTCGGTCTTGTTCTTTTGTACGTCGTCTGTATTAGAGAGCAAGGCGCTATTATCTCTCCAAGCTATACCCTGTCGGTTCGAACATATCTTTCCAGAACCGCCTTCATAGCTGCAGCGGCTGTGCCGCAGGCAAATGTCTGCCAGTCTTTGTTCTTGTGACTATCGGCATAATCGCAGACACCCTTGATAATCACAGAAGGCAGGCTATTCCAAACTCCGGATCCTTCCATTTCAAACGCGATTACATTTTCAAGCCGAGCAATCTCGTCTCTATCTTCGCCTGACCTCATCACAGAATCGCCTGATGCAATAGCGCCGAAGTGGATGGCCGGTCTGTAGGGTTCGCGATGCTTTTGTTGCCTTGATAGTCGCTGTCGGGGAACGAGGAACCTGTCCTCACAGTGGAGAGTGCTGCATGATGCTGTCAAGGCTTCGTCACAGACGGGATGGGACTTTGCGTAGCAGGCGCGGCATGTTTTGCACCGGCTCCCTCGAAGTTGATACTGATGCTTGTGTCGATATGAGGCTCGGAAGAGCTTGTCTTTGGAAGCACCGGGATAGACATATTCCCCTTCCTGGCCCTTACTTTGTACGTCAGCGAAATAGTGTGCTGTGCGCTCTTCGAGGCGTTGCGATTGGAATTTCGTCTGTAATGTGCCCATGAACCCTAAAATGCTCGGACTCGCACGTCCTTCTCCATTGTTGGTATCCCTTTTCCTTCTGGTTCCATCAGGAAATCTCCTGACTAGATCATATTCAACAACGTGGGTGCTAATTATAACGTCCCCGAGTATGATCTCTTGACCACTAGCCTTAGGAGCACCACCGCAGATACCGACAAGAAGAGCCAGTCGAATGCCGCCGTAGCTGGATCGAAAGCTAGCTGCTGCCCTTGCGGCGTTGACCTTGCCCATTCCTGGAAGAAGGACGAGCACAACGGTATGTTGGTGGATTCTGCCAGTGAGGTAGGTGTTTTCATCTCCTGGTGCCCTTCCATATGAGTCGCCTTCATCATCCCAATACTCGTCAAAGAGAAGCGCCACCGCGTCATATTCTTGTTTCAGTGCACATATTATCGCGATCTCGAATTCAGCTCGACGCGAAGGGGGTGGAGAGTGTAAGCCTGATGAGAATTGGGATGATGGTAGATTTATTGAAGGAGAGGAAGCAGTATGAGGCAATTGAGGCAGTGCGGAGGAGAGCATTTTGTGACCAAAATAGCCAGTAGTTCCGATGCCTGGTGGCAATGAAGCGGCGGGGGCCTGCAGTGTCACGGTCTGTGTAGCGGTCCCTAGATCCATGCTAGAAGCTTTTGTATCCAACATCTCCAAGGAGATAAACTCCTGACATGAGTTATGAAGCTCCTCCTCCAACGGTCGAACAATGGTCTCGTAGATCCGAGTACGAAAGTCTGCAGCAGTCTCAGTCTCTGCAGTTGTGAAGTCCTCGTACAGACAGGCATTGATCGCCTCGCGGTAGTGCTTGCTCCAGATGTAAGGCCTGCGCTTCTTGAATACCTCGCATGCCTTTGCGTATTGGTCATCAACCGACGTGATTTCATTGATGCAACCCGGGACCGATTCGAGCGACCTTCCCAGGTCTATTTCCAGAAGAGTCACCCCAAACTCAAGAATACTTGGATATCGATGAAGTAAACTGTCTCCATCCATGGATGGCCCATGATCTGCGCTGCAACTGAACCGAAGGAATGGTTGCAACGGAACGGAGCCGGCTTTGGTGAAGAACAAGATGTTGTGCCTGGTCCACCCACGGTCCCCCAGCCAGGATCCGTCGTAGAAATAAAACAGAGAGTATGCCAAGATCACGGCAAGCACCAGCTTCTCTACCGCGCTCCACTCAGACACCCCTGCTGAGAGCAGCTGATGCAGGGTAACGGAATCCATGCATTCAAAGGAGCTCTGCCGCTCGCTAGTGCGATGCTGCCAAAGCTTTCCAGCGTCCAAAACAAAGTTGAACCGGAATACTTGAGCAATATGTGCAACGCCAAGCGACTTGCAGAGAAATTGTATCACATTCGGCTTCTCGAGGTACCACTGAGGCCGGGCTGGAATCTCAAGTGCAACTTCTCCAGGCGTATCAGGTCTATGTCCCGCGTCAGTCCTCACCTCGCTGATGTCGTATAAAGACCAGCCTACCTGTGATCGTGTGCTAGAACGTCTAGCTCAGCCCATCCTCCGCTGTTCGTGTCCAGGGCGCATAGAACCTCGATGTTGTAACCATTTATAGCCGCACTTCGCCCAAGATACGTGGATAGCGCGAGTCTCGCCTCGAACTCAGGATGGATCTTGCAAGTCTCGGATTGACATGCGGAGACATACTTAAAAAGGCCATCCGCCAGGTCCCAGAAACCCGATGGTGGTTCTCTCCGCCGTCTCGGTGTTGTGTGAACGTGGACACCTTCCAATGCGTCCGAAAACACTGCGGTGAGCGTATCTATGCAGTCTGCCATTGTTGCCGTTGCTTCCTCGACCTTTTTCTTCTCTAAATCTAGCAAGCGTATGGACTCAAGTCTTTTCTCGGGTGTCGGCTCGGACCCGTGCACGCAACGTACGAGTGCTCGCAGGCGACAAAACCTCAATTCCTGTGGGGGGTTCAAGTCAGCCCTAAAATAGTCAAGCCAGGGTATATAGGGTTATTTTCAGAGGAGAGGGAGTTAACCTACACTGCCTCGCTTGTCGTCAACCCTGTCCGAGCACAGCATTTCTAAGCGTTCTAGAACCGCCTCCACATGAGGTCCTATTGAGCTCCATTCCGATGGCTGGACGGTGGTAAGTTGATGCCGCAGAAGGATAACCGCGGTGCGAAATTGTATTGGGAAGGACTGGTGGGCTATTTTGTCTTTCGTGCTCTTTCCGGTCTGCGGATAGCTGAGCTTCTGCAGGACGGAGAGGACATCAAGGAGAAGGATCTGATTATCGTGGGGAAGCATGAATCCGAATAGATATCATGGAAACTGCGGCCATGGAATCGATGGGTTGATGAGGATGGTGAGGCCTGACAGCGGGGTAATGCAGCTAAGAGAAGACGAGGCTGCGGTGTTTGTTCGGCTGTGCTCCTTCCTCCCAACAACCAAGTCCAGACATGACGACCATCGCAGAACATGCTCAAACCTGCCGAGAGCTCTTCCACCAGGCATGCGAGCTCGGGACAGAGAGAGCCCTTCGAGACCGTTATGCCACATTCAACATCTGGGCATCCAACATCGGCGTCTTCGCGACGCACCATCATGCCTCGCTGGAATTCCGCCTCCGCGATTTTCCAGAGGGGAGGGATTTGGTCACGCAACACTTGATGCTCATTGCAGAGAGCCTTCAGCAGCGTCAGTCAGGAAAGACCCTCTATGATCTTCGATCTAATTAATCATACAAGTTTATCCCCTGCTCTCGGCCGTGGACTCAACAAACGGAATAGACTCCAGCATCAAGCTTGAAAGCCAAACTGATGAGCTCCTTCTTAGCATCATGGACAATCTGAACTGGCTGCGTCGACTGTCCAATACCATACGGAAAGCAGGACTGAAGAATTCAATTCTGCAGGCGCGAAACTTCCCTTTGGTAGACGAGCTGGGAAACGACAGTACGGCTATTGTTCGGACCCTCTTCTCTTTCTACATCAAACGAGATTTTCCTAACCTCTCAGAGATGCTTTATAACCGCCTTGTATCTGCCATGGTACTGCAAAGGCGTCTGATTCTATATCGCAGGTCACGGCTTAAGAAGCTAGAGCTATGCCACGTACCATTCACCCCAGCCCCTCTCCGGGAACTGCCTCTTCCCACGACCAATCAACCAACTGTATCCCCCGCAGTTTCTAGTCAGCTAGCTCAAGAGATTCGTCCAGAAACAACTATATCACGTTATACTGCCACGAGCTTGGACGTTGACCGGTTCCGTACGGCCGCCGCAGTGCCCTCCCGGATCTCCATGCTGAGGGCAGCACCATGGAGTACTCATGAAAGATTCCTCATCCCACCCGCACCAAAAGCACAGGGCTCTGAGTCAGATGTCGTCTGCCCCTACTGCTGCATGATGCTTCAGGCAGAACTAGCATCCGACCCAGATAGATGGGCGTAAGTCTACCACTGTTACAGAACGGCGGGTCCAGGGTATTTCTAACATGATTCAAGAGAACATGTAAAAGGGGATTTGTCATATCCTTGTCTCTTTGACGACTGCACTGACATCACTCTTTTTAACTCAAGCGAGGATTGGATAAAGCACATGAACTCGCAGCATATGACGCGCTGGCGCTGCGTCTCGCGGGACCACCAAGTTATGACATTTGATAAGCAAACCGACTTTGAGAGGCATATCACCGATTATCACCCCGGCAGATTCATAGACGATAAACTTAAGATCTACGCCGATAGTGCTGCACATCCAGTTGGCCCGATATTCGAAGCATGTCCCTTCTGTGGCGCGGAGTCGGGGGACTTGGAGAAGCATGTTGCTCTTCATCTTCGAAGTATCGCGCTTCGTTCCTTACCGTGGCCAATTGACGCCGATCCCGACGCAGGAGCTGCCACACAAGCAGCGAGTACAGACGTTGACGAGGCTGGGAATCAATCTCGGTCCACAACAAGGCATTTTAGACAGCTATACCCGTTGTCCTACCCTAGCTCGGACGACGAGGATTATCCTCTGAGCACGCCCTCATCCCTGCAGATACTCCCCACCCGAGAAAAGCCCCTTTTGTTCTTTGACCTCAGTCCTGCCATGCCGGAGGTAATAGATAAAACAATACCTGACTTCGTTTCAGGTAGCCAAGTGCCTGCTGGTGCCGCAAGCTCTTCCATCCGCCACCTAACATGGGGCTTTTTGGAAAAAGAGGACTCCGTTGGAGTGGAATTGGAAGACGATCCCATCATTAGAGCATTCGCAGCTGCACAAGATGACGGTTTCCCGCGGAAGAGCGGGGGGGCACTTGGCTGGGTGAAAAATATCGATGCACGCATTAGGAACCATCATCGCACACCTTCATCATCAACGCCAGAATCAGTTCATCAGGACCAGCACACTCGACCACAGCCACCTAATCTGTCAACTAGCGGTCCTCTCGTGGGATCCCGTGATAATAAACCTCTTGTCAGCGCACTGAAACGGGCAATGAGGCTATTCAAACCTTCCAGCGACTCTACAGACACCCAATTACGCCCACCGTGCCCTGGAGCGTTGATTACTACTACTATTACTACTACAGACACCCCATCCATTACGAAACAGGCGCAGACAGCGACCAACCCTGATATAATTATTAGAGAAAGACCTCCTGCTAGGGCTATAGCGTTCGACCCCCAGGTTCGCTTCCTTGAAACATGGTCAGATAAGGAGTATGATCGACGGGGAGATATATGCACCGCTAATCGACTAAATACCCAACTTGCAGCGGAGATAAAGAAGGAGATGAATGAATTCAAAGAGGTAAGTCAAGTCTAGGACAACCCATGCTGCTGCGTCTGAATCAGTCTGATCACTTGACTAATATGCTCTCACACAGGAAATGGAGGTCCATGAAATGTCGAAGGAATATACCCACTTTTTCTGATATAGACTTAAGGCGTATGAATGCTTGGGACTTTGATTTTTCATCATCTGTACTTCTACTTCCTTCTTCAGTTGAGGTTTGAGTTCATCAGCTGCTGTTCCTATAAATACTAAAATAGTGTCCAAACTTTTCCTTTGCATATACGGGTATACTACATATGACCACACCTGACAGTTTCCTCCGTAGAACAAGAACGTTTGGCTTTGTATAACCGACCGACTGACACTTTTCTCTTATCTATCCAACTTAGACTTGGTGAAAGACCTAGTAGTAATTCAAGAGTGGATGGTTTGGTTTGTTTCTACCAAGGCAGATGGTAAATGCTATGTAAGATGCTGTATCCATGTTCTCCCCATCCAATGCAAAGGTCTATGTATGAGTTGAGATCGTCAGTTCGTTATCACAATGTATGCAGATGCGCTTGAAGCTCCAGAGACGGACATTATGACCGTCCGTCCGTATGCGTATGACCATTCGTCATGACCATGTCTTCGCTTCCAGACTTGCCCTTCAGCTCGCTGTCGCCGTCCACCCCATTCACCTCAAGCTTCTCCGGCTTCTTCTCCTCATCCAACTTTTCCTCCTCATCCCCCTTCGCAGCATCCACACCAGCAGTCTTATCCTTCGCCTTCTTCTCCCTCATCTCCACAGCCCACTTCTCAGCGCCCTCAATCGCCGCCTCCGGATCAGTCTTATAATTCAACAGATACCCCTGGATCTCCGCAGGCGTGAACTCCCCCGCAGGAACCCGTTCCGCGAAACGCCCAGCCCAAGCACAGACCTGCTCTTCAGAGAACTTGCTGGTCCGCTGCACACGAACATTAGAACGAGCCTTCTCACCCACGGACCCCGGCCGGGCAGCACCAGCGCGTTTCGCCATCTTCGCGCGCATCTTCGGGCTTAATCGCTCAGTGCGGGATACGCGCAGATCACCCTCAAGCGTGGAGTAGATCGCTGAGAACAGTTCCTGGATGTCGGAGGCCGTCGAGTACCCGAATGTAATGGACATATCGATGCGGCCGGGGCGCACGAGCGCGGGGTCCAGTTTCTCGGGGTGGTTGGTTGTCATGACGAGGATGCGGCCTTCGCTGGCGGCGACGCCGTCGATCACGTTGAGGAGGCCTGAGAGGGAGACGCCTTGCTTTTCGAGGGAGGTGGTTCCGGAGCTAGAGCCAGAGCTGTTGACGTTCTCGGCCTCTGTCTGTTCGGTGGAGGCGGGGGTAGAGTTGTCATCGTTTGAAGAGGAACCGGCAGTTCGCTTCTGCGACATTCCCGCGCAGTCCACGTCTTCCAGCAGCACGATACACCGTCTAGGCAACTCCGAGAATAGAGCCATCAGTTCATCCTCATCCAGGCTCTTGGAGCTCAGATTCAGCAGATAAAGCTCCAGCCCTAGTAAGCCCGCCGCCGCAAAGCAGAGACTGGTTTTCCCCGTCCCAGGCGGCCCATGTAGTAGATACCCCCGGCGGTACGGAATCCCGCGGTTGGAATACCACCGTCTCGTCCTAGGATGCAAGTATTCCTTAATATCATCAATAAATGCGTCCTTCTGCACCTTATCCAGCACAACCGTCGACAGCGCTCGCGGAGCCCTAGCCATACACCTCGACCACTCGGTATACGCACCCGATTTATGGCCGCGGTAGATAACAGTGTTGTTGCTATCCTTGGCAACATAGCACCGCTGCGCTTCAAGCAGCAACTCCTTCAGGACCGCCGGATCACGCCCAATACAGCTGACATATAGCCGCTCCGGTGCCTTCGCGCCATACCCGTAATACCCGCCGCCAGAGTTCTTATCATCCTGCTTCTCGCGAATGAACGCGAGCGGGCGCCCATGGAACCAGAAGTAGTGCGTTCCCTCGCTCGGCGTGAAGCGCAGCTTCTTGTGCTTGTCCCGCGCAGTAGCCTTGGCCCAGTACGTATCGAAGTCTTCGGCGTCTGTCCCGATGACGTTCCCCTCGTCGTCGATCTCATCTGCGTCGCCCCATCCGTCTTCGCTCTCATCGTCGCTATCGTAGTACCGCGCAGACCCCGAGATCCGTGTCCCAGCCACGAAATGCGTTGTGCGGTTCGTGAAGGGCTGTTGTGCGAGCCAGTACATCAGGTAGTTGTAGACTTCGTCATCGTGGCGGATTTCGGCGGTGCTGATGCAGTGTTCTTCGAAGAGGGCGGAGAGCAGGTTGTAGATGTAGCGTACTGTTGCGCCTATCACGGCGAGTAGGATTAGGTAGGGGATGTAGCTGGAGAGATCGATTTGGAGGTATGTGGATAGGAAGCGCGAGGCCATGGAGTAGCCTGGGATGAAGGTCTCTAGGAGAGCGGTGTCGGAGGGGTTGAGGAGGGGGTTTGCGTGCATGGTTAGGGGTATTGAGGTAGAGGGCGTGGTTGTGTTTGCCATCGCGGAGGCGGATATGGATGTCATGGTTGTTGAGTTGGATTAGTTGGAGGTTGAGAGGCTATTTGGGGGAGAGAGCCTCAAGCGGCAGAAAATCAGAGGGGGATAGAAGAGAAGAGCTCTTCTCTTCTGAAGGCTGCCGTGGGAGGGGAAAATGGTTGAGTTGTGAGGGACAGCTGAGCGGTCTTTATACCTGTGGTGAGGCTCATTTTGAGCAGGCAGAAGGCGTCTTTGATCTGCACTGTGCTCAGGCAGCCAGACTCCAGCGCCTGAAAAATGATGAAAGACTGACTGCATGAGCGCAGTTGAAGTGCATGCATGAATCACCATCCAGCGGTGAGTCACTGCAGCACATAAGGCTGACTGGGCCAGATTTTCAGCTGAGGATGAACAAGACCAAAGGCGGACCCCGCCAGGGGCTCAATTATCCAACAACTCAATTTGTGGCCATGGCCGGGGTATCTCTAATTATGGTTGGCCGGTATTACAAGTCAAAGATGAACGCTAAGATTGCTTCGCCTCCGATCCCATTCCCTTTCCCCACACTCGGACATGGATGAGCAGCCACCTCAGGCTGCGGCGGGTTATGTACTCAGCGCGCCGGTGAGAACTCCTCCTTGATGTCATCCAACAAATCGGTCGCCCAGTCTTTTACATCTTCCACCTTGTCCAAGATGCTATCCCACCAGTCTGTGTCTGTCTCATCGTCGGCAGCCTCTTCGGGTTTAGCGCTGGGTGAGGCTGACGCGGATTCTGTATCAGACGTGGTCGAGATTGAACTGGAAATCATTACGGTAGAAGTGTGTGCCACGGTTTGTGTGGGCTCTTGCGTAGCTGGAGGATCAGACGAAGTATCGAGTACTGGCGCGTCCTCATCCGAGTGGAGACCGCTAGGCTGCAAGGGAAGTCGCAGTGTCCCGTTGTTCGGATGCGGCTTGATTCCAAGTGAATCACACAGGATGTTATAGACGTTGATATTTTCTGTTCTGTCAGTGAATGAGATCCAGTTCAGCTTGGATTACTTACGGAAAACGTCAAGTCGACTGTTGGGCGGGTGCGGAAAAGCAGGGCCGCGGGCGATAAAGATTGCCCGCATCAACGGGTGTTCATGGTCATACCCGTGAATGCCTTTAGGATGGTACACATCGCCGTTCTGCAGTGCGACCTGGGCATCGAATTCGGGTCGTTCGACAATGGCCCAGCCAGTTTTTGGTATTACCCAGAGAGGGGCAATGCGATCATTGTTCTTGAAATGATACCGCTCTGGCATGCCTTCGCGAGTGTATATCTCGATCGCGTCCGAATACTGAGATTTGACACGCTCTAGCTGGTCCTGGAGGGTTTTGAGATCCTCAGGGCGCTTAGGGCGGATCCCGCGCAATGGCCAGCCGTCGATATGGCTGGTCAGATTGAGGTCAATCAAGTCGTCGAGTTGCACCAGCCGCTCAGTGGAAGTCGACGCCATGCCATGATCAGAAACCACGACAATGTTGACCACTTCCGTAAGATTGCGCTCTCCAAGGCCCGTGAAAAGATCTGCAAGCATATCATCGACCTTTGAAATAGTGCTCCGAATCTCAGTGCTGTTTGGTCCGTACTTGTGGCCATCTGCATCTACGTTTGGAACATACGCGGCAATGAATTGCGGCCGCTGAGGCACGGGCAGCGACTCCTGCTCTAGGCCAGGCAGGTCCAGTAGTTCAAGAATGCGTTGTGTTTTTCGTGCCAATACCTCCGAGCCGTTATATTGATCAAGATAAGTTGGCTCCACGCCCCCAATATGCGCTTCCGACCCTGGCCACATATGGATAGCACTCCGCACTTCCTGGTTTTCGGCGGTCATCCAAAGGGGCTCCGCGTTCCACCATTTTGCCTGCATACTGACGTTCGGATGAGTGTAGTAGAACTGCTCCTGTAGTTCTGGGTCCCAGAATGTATTCCCAACGATTCCATGGCTCTCCGGATACAGCCCAGTGACGAGAGTGAAATGGTTGGGAAAGGTAACGCTGGGGAAGCTAGGACGCATATACTGAGGCGAAACGCCCTCTGCGATGAATCCATTGAGCGTTGGGGTCAGGCCACGGTCGAGGAAATCGGCGCGAAATCCGTCCAGCGATATCAATATTGTCGTAGGCGCGAACAGTGCGGTTCCGTTTGACAGCGGGGTCTTCGGGTTGTGGGAGGAGCGGAAACCGGCTGAAGCCTTGTACGCCCCAAGAAGGAGGATGAGGAAGAGGACGAAGATGGCGGAGGATACAAGCGTCAGTTTCCGCCAAGAGACTTTTTGACGATCCTAAAAATATTCGAGTTAGAACTTAGGAATACTACGGAGTACGAAGAACCAACTGCAAGGTCATACCTGGATATCGGCATACTGCTCCTTGATCCGCTCATCCGAGTCAGACGAAGAGGAACTCAGCAGAGAGCTCTCATCGCCGGGGTGTCCCTCTTCCATCTCATACATCTCCTCGTCGTCGCCGTGCCGTTTCTCGCGGCGTGCTTTTCGAGCAGCCCTCTCTTTTCTCCTCCGTTGCCGCCGGGCTTCCTCCTTCTTCCCGATCCTAACATTGCTTCTATTTGGACTGAAGATTCGACGGATATCATGAGTGGGACCGGATCTGGTGAGTAACTTTTCGAGCTCCTCTTCGTCATCGAGAACGGTGCGGTCGTGCTCGGCAAGCTCTAGGGTGGTGCGGGACCGGGCGAGGAATTCGTCGTCCTCGCTATCAGAGTCCTGATCCGAAAGCGGGGACCGCAACGACTCGGCGTCTTCATCGTAGTCGCGCGGGGAAAGAAGGTCACGTCTTGACGACATGGGCGGGAATGATAATCATGGCGTTGAGGTGGAGGAAGAGGTCGAGTCGAGACCGCGAACCGACCACGTCCACTGCCAAGCCCGCTACTACATACCTACGGAGTACCGGTCACTATCCAACTCCATCTGCCATTCTACCTCCCTCTCTACTTCAACATTCTACCGCTGAGCTTTGTGGTTTGCAAGGTCCAATCTTGCCTACTTAATGAGGATCTCGTTAGTATCCCTCCAAAGTTATGGCATTTTTCTGCCAAATCGGGGCAACTTGGGCTGGTTCCGTCAACATACTCCATGCTTGATCGTTGTGTGCAGCGCTGCAGAATAGCGCCGTCTTCGCAGACGATTCCATCAAGTAACGTGATTTCAGAATATGAACATCTCTTTCACTACTGCCAATTTGCAGCTTCACTTCTGCTTTCGAGCCGCAGTGCTGAAATCGTATGTCACGTGATTTCTCTCGCCTCGTGCTGGAATGCAGCATGCTAGGAGCTGGAGCCGGATCGCTCTCTAAGTCTGAAGAATGCGCCTATAACACCGATTCAGGTGAGATGGTTGCTGCTGACAGTAAAAATAGATATCCGGATGCAGTGCGGATCAATACCGGTGGCAACGCGTCGTCCCGGTTCCAGACGTATAGCATCAAGAGCAACCCAAGCCACCATGCGCGATAAAGCAAGATCATCAGGACCAGATGCTTCCGGTGGCGCTCTCTCGGGTATAAAGAACCCCAAGATGACTCTGGGATTGTTTGGGTCCTTCATTGTCTTCGATTCTCTTATACTTCGAGTCAACAAGTAATTGTCACATTTCTACCAGTCATGCATCTCTCCAAGTCTTATACTCTGCTTGTCCTGGCCCTCGCGGCAGGAACAGCCACCGCACGTGCAGCGGAGGAGGCAAATGCTTCCACTGAAGGCACATCCATTGAGAGGCCCGCTGCCACCACTTCCGCGACTGCAAACGAGGCTACCACGACCGAGGTCACGTCTGCCGAACCTCTTGAGACATCCTCCGCTGTCACTTCTCAGGCGGAGGAGACGATTACCTCTGTCTCTGAGACTCCTGTGGTTGCCGAACCTCTTGAGACATCCTCCGCTGTCACTTCTCAGGCGGAGGAGACGACCACCTCTGTTTCTGAGACTCCTGTGGTTGTTGTGTCCAGCACTGATTCTAGCACTGCCACTCAACTCAGCGTTCAACCTACCGTCCAGCCAAGTGGTCAACCAACTGATCAGCCGAGTGTCCAATCCAGCACTCAACTTATTGTCCAGCCTAGCACTCAACCCAGCGTCATCGCTAAGCAACAAATCTCCCCCGCCCAATCCAGTGGCAGCGCGCCTATTCAGTCAAGCGCTCTTATCCCTGCTCCCAGCGCCGTTGCGCCTGGTGCTCCTGCGTCGAGCGTCCCGGTTATCCCAGTCGGCTCCCCTGCAGCAACAAGCGCGCCTCTCATCAACACCACCCCCGCTGCGTCAAGGACAACCCCAAGCTCGTCCGCCCACAGGACCACCACCACCACCCACAAACCCACCACGACGAGCTCGCAAGGGGAGGTTAATGTCAATGAAGAGAACGCCCCGTCTGGACCGTCGGCCACCGCCACTCCTATCAACCCCGGTTCCAAGCTAATTATTCCCGGTGTTGCTAGCTTGGCTAGTGTGGTTTTGGGGTTGTTCTATCTGGCTTGATCTAGGCTAATCATCAGTGTGTCGCACCCATAATCGGTCTGCTTGTTTGTCTTATCTGTCTTTGAAACGAATGGTGTCAGAACTGGAGTCATTCATTATACTTTGCCTTTATTTGCTGGATTCCTCCATTGATATCATAATACGCATCTGCTTTTATCGCCGGGCCTTGTCGTTCTGTTATTGATAGATCTGGTTATATGTTGAGTTCAACGAATATACAAGTAATTCTTTATCTCTTCCTCGGAAGTAGGACTACGTGCATTCTACACGTAGTCAAATCATCAAATAGTAAGGCATAATCACCGACCTCGACCTGTGTCAACGATCAGTTCCGGAAGAACTTCGAGCCAGTGCCATCCATACCAGGCTCGGCTTCATGTATTATATACAATGACTATCTATAAATATAAACAATACACCCAAAACACCCATATATCATACAATCATACAATCATAACCCATAAAAGCACAAATCAAACCCCAAGAACCCAACTCTCAAACTTCACCCCCCTACCCTTCCCCTTGCCCTCAAGAACGGGCACAAACCCACTAACCCCTCCATACATGTTCACCAGATACCTCCAATAACAACTCTCCGCCGCAGGCGTCAAATACCGATCCCGAAACGTACGAGCCGCATTCTCCGCAATCCGCTCCGCCGCAGCAGGGTTATCAAGCAGGAACTCCACCTTGCGCTCGAGATCCGACCAGTCCCGCTCAACCTGCACGTAATTCGCGTCTAGACCAGACGGGATTAGCGCGGCGTGGTGCGCTTCAAGCCAGTGGGGTTTGTGGCTGATGAGCACGCTGCGGCAGTTGAGGAGGTACTTCCCGCGGCCGGAGTACGAGCGGCCCTCGGTGTGCGCGAGGAAGGCGTAGGTGCAGTGGTCTTCTATGGGCATCAGATTAGCTTGCTGGTCGTCGTCCCACTTGACCTCCTTCAGGCTGCCCCAGGTCTTCCCACGTGCAGCCTCAAGTAGGCCGTTCCTGATTTCGGGATTGGCGGCTACGCTTCCGCGCCAGAGGAGCTGTTTCTTTTTAGCGCTGAACGGGAGACCCTCATCGATGGTCGAGATCCGGCGCCGCACGTCCTTGTACTCGCCGACTTGTGCGACTTCCGGCCAGGCCCAGTAGCCGAAGTCGGGCATTAGCCAGATGCCCGTGTCTGGGGCGTCGGGGCGTTTCGTGTAGGACCATATCGGTGACTGTCGATTGCCGGTTGAGGTGGGCGTGCTGAAGTCGTCTGTTGTTAGGACGAACTCGATGTCTGGGAGAGTATGTCGGTCTGGATATGCTGATAGTGCGCGGTGCAGGGAGTGCAGGGTTGCTTTTCCGCGAGTGAACGTGTAGGGCTGGGGGCCGTAGTCGAGTATGTATAGCTAGGTGCGCGATGAGCGTTAGCCGCGCAAATTTTCTGTGTATAGAAGACCCAATAGATAGTATATTAGATGCGCACCTCGCCGTCTTTGATAGCAGCCCCAACAAGCCCATTCCCATTCCCATCGACCCCTCCACCACGCGCAACATCGTCCACATCCTTATACGCGATTCCGTCATTCGCGGCCCAGAACTCGGCCGTCCTCTCAAGTTCAACGAAGAGCTTCGGAAATGCAGATAGACACTGGCTCTCGGAGAGCCCGTGGTTGTTGCCATCGCGGTGGACGTTGAATTCCCATGTGCTATTCTCAGTCGCCCCTCCGTTCGTAGGTCCAGCTCCGGGCTCAGCACCAGCACATTTCTCTGATCGCACAGGGCTTCCAGAACTTGAGTCCTTGAGAAGATACGGCCCGCTGTTCCACTCCGAGCCGAGATACGACGGCCGTCCAAAAAGCAGGAATGTAAGCGATATCAGCGACAACACGGCGCCTGCGCCAAGATAGCGGAATGTTGGTGACTGGCTTCTGGGGCCGATCATGGTCTGGGTACGTATATGTAGGTGTGCTTGTCGCACGGATATGCGTGGTCGTTTGTAGGTGGCCCTTCTCTGTGTGTCGTGGCTGCAGTAATTGGCTGGAGCTAGGATGTTGTGTGGGATGCTGCTGCCATGTCGGTTTGCTTTTATGAGCCGTTGTATCTAGGGATTTCGGACAGTGCTTTGTCGAAATGAGGAGATCTATCCAGTTGTACGCTGGAGGTATAAGATGAGATGGGAGAGTGCTGGGCCGATAAAGGTCGTTTCCATAGCAACAATCTCGCAACTCTTCTCTACGTCACAGGGCGGGCTGACAGTGCTGATGCACACACTGGAAAGTAGCCATCGTCAATCATCTACAGCAAGGATCTTCGGCTTTAGTACATTCCAGCCGATATGAGAATAACCGGGCACTGCCGCGGCGGACAGTCACACTTGAGCCGAACGGAGACAAGGAACTCTATGCTTGCTTGCTTGGATTTGTTTTCCAATATGTACATGGGTTTCCATTCCAAGTGCTATGTAAGGCAGGGCAGGTGTATTCGGGGGTATCTCAAAGCCAATCAATATGTAGTAGGAAAGGGGACAGGCATCAACGGGTTGAGTAACGAAAGGAAGGGCAGGACGGCATCCAGTACAGCTAGTAGGACAGGATCCAAGACGGCATAGCGGATAACGAAGGAAGAATAGCAGATCGTCGCTATATCACGTCGTAGTCTCTCGTCGATTAGTTTTTATGTATTATATGGGACTCATCTCCCTGATCCGTTCGTCGTCGAGCGAGGGGCGTTGTTACTGAAGTAGCTATCATCAATCTTCAGAATCCATTCAACCTTCTGCGCCTCTGTTCGCGCCGCGAAGAGGAACGTGTTCTGCGGGCCGTACACTGCGAACACATTAGGCCGGCCACTCGGTGACCTATCAGCTCCGGGACCATCTAGAAGTCTGGCGAAGTCAGGCGCATGGTCGACTCGCGCGTTGCGTAGATTAATAGCGTTGATTTCGTCGCCTTCCGGAACAGAATAGATATGCAGGTATGGTAGTCGAAGTTCGACAAACCGTCGCGCCCAATGGGTATACGTGTCGTCTGGCATTAGCAGATATCCCGTCTTTGACGCGGTGGGATTCTTCGGGAGGGTCTGAACGGTAGCGTAGAATCGCGGCGTAAGAGACCCCGGTTCATTATTACTGTTTGTGACATCGCTTAAAGGTGACTTTCCACGAGATGCAAAGGCCGCGCCGAGTTCAGGCGGCTCGGTGTTGCTCCGAATGAGAATGGCATCGATGGGTTCGGTTTTGGCAGTCCACAGGTCAACGTATTTCTGCAGCAATTTGACTCTGCGATCAGGCTCTTGAGCACGAAGTGGCGTTGACCTCCCGCTTCGTGGTGGCGAAGCGACACTAAGACTATTGGCACTAAGTGCTCCCTTCGCGGCGTTCAAATCTGCAATACGTCTGCGTCGTCGCCGAGAAGTGATGTAGTCACGCACCAGCGAAACCTTCCTAGGAGCCCACTTTGTAAGGAACTCTTCGCCCTTCACATAATCATTCTGCGTGTTCATGCGCCAAAGGTCTGCGGCGCGCTTCGCCGACACTGGGCGAACCGCAACAGAATACATGCGGACTGTGGAGTGTACCACGCGCGTGGTGTTGAAGAAGTTCTTGAACATCGACTGCGGGCGAATATAAGTCCGTCCTTGCACTTGGAGCGTCAGGTCAATCTCGAAAGAAACAGGGTCCTGTAGGCGTGAAGATTGCAGATCCCATCTGACCGTTACCTGCACACGGTATTTTTCTGCAGTGACCCTGTCGAGAAGAAGCGACCCGTGCAAACTGGAGTCCCATTGGCCTATTAAAGTGATGTTGGACGTTCCATCGGCATTGTCCTTGACCATAGGCTCTTGAATAAATTTCAGAGGGACATCTGGAGTTTGTAGGTCCTGGTCAGGTATCTTGCCCCAAGGGTCCAGCAGCCGCACAGTCCCAACACGAACGTTGGTCAGGTCATCCCAGGGCAGAGCTTCCGTGGAGCTGTAGGTGAGATTGACAGATATGCGGCGCTGGAGCCCTTGATGAAGCTGATATGTGCCCACTTCAGTGGGGCTGTTTTGCACCACTTCCACGGGCAAGTATTCTCCCGTCTCAGTCATCTCAAGTACTTGGAGCCTCGCAAAGACATCATGTCTCTCCTCCGAGAAGTACTCGGATTCAGCGATACGTGGCGTTTTCTGGTCTTGCGGTCCTTGCTCCGCTGAGTCGCGCATATCATCCCAGCTCAGAAGTTTATCGAGATGCATGGAGGTCACACGAGCATAGACGCAGATCTTCAAAGAGGCATTTCGCGGGCTAGAAAGCGGTAGGCTCATACTGTGAACGCTCTCGAAACGAACCGGCGTCTCATTGAAGCCGTTGATCATCTGCGTCGTGGTTGCTCCACCTTCCTCCGAGATGCCTGGAATGAACAGCTGGGCGTGCACATCCGTTCCTTCCCATTCGGTAAAGCCGGCCATGTCACGCATGACAACATTGAACTTGAGAGTAGACGACGGCGCCTGCGCCGAGGATGGTTCTAAGGATAGTCGGATAATACCAACCACGTCTTGGGTGTAGGGCGAAATGACATCCACCGAAAAGTCCTGAACCCGTGTCTCAAACACGGCTGTCAGAGGGATGTCAGCGTCTCCGACAAGGGAGTATTGAGGCGAGCACGGCTCGGAGAAGGGGTTTTCGAGCTTGAAGTGCTGGATGTAGTCCGGCCGGTCAATATACTGGTGCAGTTGTCGCATGGCCTGGACGCGGCGCTGGAGTTTCTCAATAGACCAAAGGTGGATGACACTCTGCTTGAAGTCAATGACCCGAACTGCAACACATGGCTTCTTGGCATCATCAAGGATTATATCTTCGTCCCCAGAGATGCCGTTCAGCACAAGATCATAAGAGGAAGCCATATTGTGCCCATGGTCAACGATGGCAAACTGGAACACGACATTCTTGTCCATTATGTGGCTCATTACCTGGGCTTCCTTTATCAACGAAGCATGTTGCAAGACCTTTTCTGCCATGCGGACATAGTTCTGCTGAGACCAGTGTTGGAACACCGAGCGCGCAACTTCCAGTTCCTTGGGGCTCAACTTGGGATAACCATTTTCGTATATTTGCGGCATCGGCTGGCCTAGTTCCTTCATGTGGCTCTCGAATGCTTCTTTTTGCTTTCTAAGCTGCTCTTCGTATTCTTCTTTCGCCGCTCGAAGAGCATCCTCCATGCGGACCTTCTCAGACCGTAAGTCATCGATACCTTGACTCGGTGAAGCTTCGGAGTCCCTCAGCTTATCCAGATACTGCTCCTTTTGTCGCTCCAGTTGCCGCTGCATGTCCTGACGCACTGACTGCAGGGTGGCATCCTCATCGCCGTGGCGAGGTGTCCCTGGCATTGTGATAGCGGTGTCCAGAGAGAAGTTGTCCATAGTGCCATTAGACATGTACTTGTCGCGAATCGGATATGAACTGAGAGAATCCGAGTCTTCTTCGTTCTCCAACAGGCCACGTCGGTTTGCCCTTGCGTTTTGTACATTCTCAAAGAGAGCATCGAGCTCATCATCAGGCATATGGGCAAGCCGATCCGGATCCGTCCCTGCGCTCACAGCCTCACGGCGCGCATAGAACCAGTCAGACTCTCTCCCACGCTGAGATCCCATCGGAGAGTCGGCTCTGCTTGAGTCCCAGTCCAAATCCGAAGCTTTGCTGATGTTTCGCTCATGGTTTTTGCCCGGCGCGGGAGAGCCGAGTTGGCTCGTCGTGACGGAATGACGAAGTAAGCTCTGTTCTACTCGCTCAGCCCTTGCTTCCTGAGGGTGATTGAACCGGAAGATATGGAAGTCGCCCAGAATTATGCGATAACCACTCTTCAACCGCTTAGGCTTGTCAACGCGCACACCATTGACCATGACCGCAGCGCCCTCACTAGGCAAGATCGTAACCACATTATCCACATTTTCAAATTTGCAGTGATCCGCTAAGATCTTTGAACCATTCAATCTGATCTCGACGTGGCTCCCTTGGTCCATATTGCCAACTTGAGTGACTCCGGGCTTGATGTTATACACTAGACATTCGGCGAGCAGTGGGTCGTCGCTCAAGTTGACCAAATGTGGCATTTTCTTTGGCGTGCTGAGACCAATAAAGCCTTTCTCGATACTTATACCGAGTTCCTCCAAGGCTGCTTCGCGCTCTTTATGAATCTGCTCGGTCTTCACCAACTTCTCTTCCCAAGTTTGGTTGAGGTCCTTGTACAGCTTTTCACTCTGATTCAGCTGCTCCACGATCTCAGCTTTACTCACTTTGGTGACAGTACCGTCCGGTTGCTGGATAGAGACCATTTGCTTTTCCATGGGCGTATCCGGTGGATATACTTCGTCTGCAATCACTCCGCCACCAGCCCCTGTCGCCGCACCACCCGCCACACCACCACCAAGTTTGGCTCGTAGCTGAGCTAGCTCGTCCTTGAGTTCTCTGATCATCCGCGCGTTGGGGTCTTCATTGACGACTGCGTGGTTCTTGATCCGCTTCGCTGAGTCGGCATAACGTAAAGTACTCAGAGTCTCATCGAAATTGATGTCGGCAGGAGAGATGGCGGCAATCATTGCTGTCATTGAATTACCTCCGAGGGAATCCTTGAGTAACCACGTAAGTACTGAATCACGATACGGTACCTGCTTCTTCTTCGCGGCCTTTCCTGCAGCCGCGTCCGCTAGGGCCGCAATGACACGCCCAAGCGTTGAAAGCGATCTGTTGATTTCTGCTCCTTCCTTCAACCTGGCTCCAGTGGCTCCAGTCGAGTTCGCTCGCTCCGAACCCGCAAGATCGACCAAACTGATCCGTGACACCTTCTCTGTATCCATGCTCGTCTCTGCATCATGCCGTTTTTGTGTAAGCATCAACGTAAACACGGCGTGCGATCGACTAGATGTTTCGTTCATATTCGTGGCGGCAACCGTTCGCGCTTTGTTTCCCTCATCCATCAAGTTCTCGATTTCGTCGAAGGAGCGAACCGCAAGCTTGGCGAGATCTTCGACATACGGACCCGTGGATGGGTGCTCACGGACTTTGAGGTTGCCTTTGTTCGACGGGTTGAGCAAGTCGCGAACCCGCTCGTTGTAGATTTCCAGATACGAAACTTCCACCGTGCAGGTAAGGTTCTTATCCTCCTGTATCGTCTTGATGCGCTCGAACATATCTTGACAAATCCGCGGAATGACACCATACTCCTTGCCGTATCCCATCATCGAGTATGACTTTCCGGAACCAGTCTGACCGTAGGCGAAGATACAGTTGTTGTAGCCCTGAAAGGCATTGTCCAGAAGCGGCACACCCAAGTCCGAGAAAAGGTTATCCTGACCGGCATAGTTTGGAGCCTTCTTGTCGAAGGACCAATACGACCTATCAAAGGCAAACGATTTTGGTCCTTCCCCAGCGGCCTTATTTCCGCCTTTTCGCGATTCCTTTTCGGCTCCTGGCGGCGGCGTGAGGACCGTCTGGCTATCTTTCATCTGCACGATACATTTTGCCCCTCGTTCGATTTCTAATTATCGACGCAACTATCAGCCCATAACCCCGAGCAGATAAACTCCGCAGGCATCACTCACCTCGACTATTAAACGGCCGTACTCTCACCACCACCTTGATATTTCCACCACCTCCTGGCGCCATTTTGACCTATACCCCATGCACCCGGGGTCGTGGCTCGCTTCGGCTTCTGGGCGCTGATGGCCAGGGGGCGGAGACCAGGAGCGGACAACAAAAGTTGCGAACGCCGCAAAAGCGCCGCCTCAGCGTATCGCAGCCGAATCTTTCCCAAGCACTTGCACCTATCCCGTTCTACAGTGTCCGCTTCGTTCGCAGGGGTTTCTGATATAATCGACGGTTCGTAGCGGGGGTCAACACAGACGTCATGTAGCGGTACCGTTTGTTGACAGGAGTGGCGCGTCCGAGGTAATTCCCGCACCGGAAACCAAGAACACAGATTTCGACGGGGGTCGGTCGCGCAGCGAGGGCGAGTCCGCGGGGGTTTCGGGCGTCTGATTTGAGGGATAAGGAGGAGAGGACTGGCACGATTGAGCGGACTCGAGAACCGCGGACCCTCCTTCCCCAGGCACCGGAAGGCCACCTGAGATATCGCTTGACGGAGCTTACATAAGCTCTCCATGGCCCGCCGCACTCTACTCTTCTTTACATTGGATGTTTCTGGATAATTTGTACAGACCATATTATACAAGCAGAACTCTGCCAATGCTGAATGCTTCGCTCTTGTCTTTGGGGGATGCTGGAGCTTCTGATGCAAAGTTTTCCAATCATTGTTGTAGCAACACACACCTCATGCGTCTATCCAACCTAGAGACGACTATATATTCAAAGCACCAAACAATGCTTCTTCCACTGACCATAGCTATATATATGAAGGTATCCGAGAGCTTCCTATCTGTGCTCATGTGTGGTCTTTTTGGCTAGGTCCCCGGCTGTCAGGCTGCTTTTCATCGCAACCAAGGACCCTGATCTGCATGCATACAGGTTTCACTGTTGACCAGGCTATACCAGGACATATGATCAGTATATGTAACCTCGGAATCCCTACAGAAGCATACTATGTATTCCCCTGTTCAGCCCTGCGGGATGGCTATATCTCGTCTGCTATGATTTCCGTCGGTCACGAGCACAAGCGGCTGTGCCGGCGTGATCATGCACTTGCCCTCATAAGACCAGGGTTGGGGGACCTACTCAATTGTTGACGAACCCGTCCTTCAACTTTCAGGTCGGAGATCCAGAGCCGGGTTTACTTTATGCCCACAGGAAAGGAATCCCTGGACTCAATATGCCTGATAGTCGGCCCCTTGTCCCATCCGGAGCAGGCCCACGAAATCGGATCATCACAGGTAGGGTCTCGGCCGCTCGAAATGGGTGGGATCTCCTTGTATATGGGCAAGAACCTGGAACAGGTATCGATCGAACTGGGTCTCTGTACGTTTTCCGGGCCTCATCGGATTCGTGGATGTGCCTAATCAGCGCGGGCTCATGGTTAGCCATGCCCTTCCATCTCAAAACATAGTTTTCTAATCACAACAAGATACAGACGTTGGCAAAGTCCTCACAACTCAGGTTTGAAATATCCAAGCCCCTGTCACATTATCGGATACTCGGTTTATGCGTCAACGTGTCAGATTGTTCGCTGCAGGTCTCCCACGGCGTTCAGAGAAGCATATCTCGATAGCTGCACAGTATGAGTCTTAACGAGAACCAGCCCTACTCTAGCACTCTGGACTTTGCCACCGCTTCAAACTGCCCTGGAGTACGCATTGTCTCGTCGAGGACGGTTCCTTTTTGATGTTATCAGTCCAACAAGCAGCGAGCTCTCAGCCAAGTTGCAAGACACTGGAGGCGTACGGCATCGATATTGCAATCGAAATGGGAGGGGGGCGCTGAGCCCGTGTATGGGTGAGCCAGAACAACGGCAGCAAGATAGAGTGCTCATCATGGTCGATACGCGCCTCACAAGCAACGGCGAGTCGGCAACGACAGATCTAGCTCGCCATGAAGAGAATTCATTCACCTGATGGCCGTCTCAAGATGAAGAATGGATTGGCGAGGAAAGGAGAAAAAGCCAGTGTCAGTGCCAGACTGAATCACGTTCTCCCTCCAAGGTCCGAAGAGCCGACGCATCCGACCCAAGACGAGGCGAAACAAGACCCGAAGGCAACCTAGCTGGAAGAAGTGGGATCAGAGATTCAGCTGTCTCTCCTGAAACAATCCCGGGCGACTGCCCATAGCCACGATATCTATTATCAAAGCAGAGCAGAGCACATCCCGCCCCATTCAGCACAGTAAGGCTCTTATCGACGCAGAGAATCCATACCCACCGGCGTCGCAAACAAGGCCCCAAACTGTCCATGCATAGTGACTCGACAACCAGTACCAGAAACCAAATCTTCTTCTAGGTATCTCGATGAAACCCGTCCCAACTCGCCCAGACACGACACCAAGGTTCCCCAACCCAACCAACGCAGCCCTTACCCTACCAGCAGCAACCAGCGAGCGTCATCCTAACCCCAAGCACATACGGAGCACGAAACCAACCCTAGCGGGCCAGGAGCAGCCTGTAAGCGGCGGCCAAGTCGCCGTGCTATCAGCAAGGGATATAATTTGCCTCGCTATAGATACGTAGGCTAGGTTAGAGCTAACGCCAACTCAGACGAGCGTCTAGTTCGGCCTAGGGAATCCTGGGAGTTTAGAGGTGAAGGGACGGGGTGGTGAAAGTATGGATGGGCGCAGCTGATAGCGGGCGTTGGGGTTGATGCCCAATCAGCCGGTTCTGCAAGCTAAGGGTTCAACCCTCAGGTCTGCCTCACTATCAGTATCGTGGGGAATCGAGGGCCTAGTTTTCCTGGTCTCTGGGGTGTTTTACTGGGTACGTTTTTATAGACTGTTTGAGATTTGAACTTTGAAGTTTGAACTAGTATGCACGTACTCCATGACCATGTGCATGCATGGAATATGATGTATCTACTCTTACTTGTATGGGGCTGAACTTGAAACCAGTTTTACCTTGGAAGTTGGTTTCCGGTTCCCCAAGACTGAGTCTCTGACGCGCATAGACCTGTCTATCGCTCGAAAGTGTCTAGAGCGTCTTGGAAGCTGGGTCCTCTTTCTGGAACGAGAAAACGGCATGGATAAAGTTCGGAATACACAGCCTGGTCTAGGTGAAAATGCAGCAGTTACAGGGATGCATCACACCATCTTCCATTGTACTGCGAAACTCAGACCCCGGAGAATAGACGTTGCAATCAGGGTTGAGGACCAGGGCTTGGTATGTATGTTCTTACATTTGCGGAGTGAGGCTGAGGCGCTTTTCATGGGGCATCCTGATGCACGTCAAAATCATATGCGTGAAGGGGTGCAACGGGCAAAGGTGGAGAAGCAGCCTTTTGGGGAAGCCTCCGGGATGAACCATCGCCATCGTCACATCTGTGCTATGAGCGAGATCACGGGGATGGGACGCTGGGGACCCCTATCCCACGGTCAGCATCTCAAGTCCCATACGAAATGAAGAACAGGGTACGTAGGGTGTGCACTGTGATCCTATCATTATGGACGTAATGAGTGTGATAGTGGCGACTGAGGCGATGAATAGCTCGTCAAGAGTGACGATTCTGCTTCAAGCGGCATAAGGCCAATAATAACGAGGCGGTTGGCAAGTTATGCACCTTGTGCTGCGAGCTCCACACCCCGCGCCGCCCCATCGCAGCCCGAAGAGCTGCATCTGAAGTCCGATTGGACATCCGTCGAGATGACGAGGTCCTGCACCGGAGTTCTTGGATAAGTCCCTGGTTGCCGCCGGGGATGTCCGCGGAGGAGTGCTAGGATCCAGTCGCCTCGGAATCGAGTCATGTGCATCGATCTCCCCTAATCTTGGGCGAATATCGCAGGAGGGAATCACAATTCCAGACGGCAGGGGCAGGCATAATACGAATTCGCGGCCAAGTAGAGACCGCGCCAGTCTTGTGAGTATCAGCCTAGGGCCCTAGATAAGGGCTGTTCTGGCCTCCGCCACGTCACAGGAGGAGCCTAGGAGGGCTGGCTCCCACCGAATGACGGTGCAGAGATAGGTACTAAGCATGACAGCTGCTGCGTGGGCCGCACCTTGCGATGCATCTTGTGCTTCCCACTGAGCAATCATGGCCTGTCGGCCGTGCTTTGTGTTCCGCGAGGTAAGTCAACAGTCGAGCGATTGGTCGTCATCTCAGCAATCTGTGTTTCGCTAGTCGTCATTATGGAAGAAGGGAGGCCCATGATCTGTCGAAGGCATCATCGGCCGGAGATGAACTTGCTCGGTCTCCGTATGATTAGAGGATGGATGCAGCGCTCTGGAGATGGAGATGATATCCAGGGTAGCATTGCCATGGGCTTGAATCACTCGCCGGGCGGTTGGCCATCCCTATTTCGAAAGCATGGTACCAAGACCAACAGATACAAAACTGCTCCGGCAGCAGTTCGCATCACGTCGATGTCCGGGTCGGAGTACACCTATCAAGTACCAACTGGTGCTGCCCAGCCAATGTAAGACTCGATCTTGAGCATGGGCTCAGGAAGGCAGCAACGAGTCTCAGTTCGCGAGGCTGCGCGACGAGCGGAGATTGAACGGTTCAGAGTATAGCATGTTATGGATATTGCAATCTCAAACCATTCTGTACGAGAAATCCTGGTATCGCGGTTGTTTGGATGTTTGTTGTATACTCCGTAGTGTAGTCCCGGTGGAAGAAGATCCGGCAGCCAGCTGCATCAAGTAAGGAAGTCGATGTCTGATCCAAGCTCGACCATTGAGCTCAAGCCTGGCAGAATGCAATGCCAATGTTAGCAAGTGAGGTTGCCAACAAGCAACAAATGACAAGTGACAATTGAACCGTGCACAGGGAGTACAAGACCTCGGGATTCGAGATAAACCTCCGAGCTGGAAAGAGGAGGCCGATCTCCGTAGAGTGCTCAGTGCTCACACTGGGGCCTGGCAGGCTGGGGCTCACCGAGTGCCAGTAACACTGTCAGATCGGCGCCATCTCTTTTGAGGACCTGACTCACTGTCTCGGCAAAGCCAACAGGCTCCACTTCAAGATCGATGACATCTTCGAGAGATTTGAACAAAGAAACGCGCGGCGATGATATCCCTGCGTACCAGTATCGAAGAACCAGGAAACAGATTTTTTCCGTTCTCGAGAGCAGCCAAGGCACAAATAGTACCGGCCCTCTGTATCTCCTAGTACCTGTCGTCGTGTCTGAACTAAATTTACACAAAGAGCACAGAACACAGCGAGTCCACTGATGAGCGGTGTACGTGTGGGGGATGATTCAACGTGACGTCAGGACAGATCTGAGCACGTTTTGTATGTATCCCAGATACAGAGGCTGGGGAAGGTAAGATACGGCTAACCGCACTTCAACCTCCAGAATAATAATGTATTATGTTTGATAAGTCCTGGCAAGGCGGCGGTCAGTTCCAAATTCCCAGTCTCAGCACGTGGTGTGGCACAGATCGCCTAATATCAGTCCAGAGGCAGAGACTTGCGAGGCTATCTAGTCTAGTATCTACCGAGCGCTCACAAGCAGTCCGCAGTCCGCAGTCCGCACTCGAGACATCTCTCGAATCTCGCGAATCTCCCGAATCTCCAAGGTGCGGTGTGAATCACCTGTGAATTTGAACGGACGCCTGCGTGGCTGGGCTTAGAATAACGGCGGGTCGTCACAAAGATGTGGCTTGCTGCGCTGGTTTGCTCGTATTCCCAGACGCTCAGTTGCACACGGCAAGGATCTCGAAATTCGATTTAAAATGCCCATCCTCGAGGAAACCTGAAAGTTCCCATGCTCTCGCGTCAGCCTCGTGTTGTGACGCCGGGTCTGGCCCTTTCCGCCTCCCTCCTTGGTCTCAAAGATATTTCACCGGTTCCAGATTCTCAACAGACAGGGGACGAAGGGTAAGGTAAGTTTGTCGTTGATATACACCTCGTCGGCATATTCTTTTGGCTGCCCGATAGCCACTAGGCCCCAGCCTCCCTAAAGGAATATAACCGAGGCGCTTTACCGCAGCTTTAGCCCGTCTCGGTTCGCTCAATACGGAGCACATGTCCGTGGAACACTTACGGAGTAGCCTTGGCCTGGATAATGCTCACCTTGCTTGCGAGCGGACGGTCATACTCAGCGTGGTTAGCTGCTGTAGAAATCACGCTTGGTGTTACACATGTTGACAGGGAACATCGCTATTAAAGAGACCAGCCAGTCACAGATTTTGTTGGCGCATTGAATCATGATTCGCACAAGCGAGCCGCGAGCAGAGCACTTCTCGAGTTCTCAGACAGCACTGGCCTCCCCCACGGCGGCTACCGTAGAGAGCATCATAATTTCGGAAGTGCCGGAGTTCCCGCAAGTAAGCGTCAAAGCGAGGGAGAGATAGATCATGAAACAGGCGAAGAGAAGAATAAGCAATGAAACTCCGGGCATGCCTGTATAAATCTGAAATCTGAATCTGACACTGGATGAGCTGATCGAGTTGATCCATGGATGCTGACTGAATGGAAATGGTGGTTGGGCTGGTAACTTACCAGATTTACCGGTAATCTGTTACATACGATACATCGCTTGATCACCTGGTCTACAGCAGGACACTTGCTTCATTGAATGGCCGTCATCGATTGGAAGAGCGTTCATTACTGTAATTACTCTCTAAGACCTTGAGAAAGGCATATAATTTTTTTCTACCAAAGAATCGATCTCCAGGCAAACTATATGTCGAGAGTCAGCCAGACCAGAGCGTGTCGAGTGGAGCGGGCGGCAGCTCCGTACCGTACTAAACCCCGGCGGCCTCATACAAATATCGCTGCCAGGCCCGCCCTCGCTCGTCGCTTCTCGCTGCTCCCTCTCGTTGGTCATCCAGCTTGCGCGCCCTCCAGTCATCCTCCTGCTGGCCTGCCCGCACTCTGCCCATTGGCTTTGCTCCTTTTTCTTTTTTTCCTACTCGTCCCCCCTTAAGAGCTCTGGCAATCCGTCTGTCCAACCGCATCAGAGCCTGCCTTCCCACCCCATCTGCTGTGCTCCTTCGTGATTGCACGCTCGCCGGCCACTTTGGATATTTTCCACGGTTGTCGTCGAATCAGTCGCTGCCTCCAGGTACGTTCAGAATACATCCCAGCCTGTCGCGCTGCCCCCTTACTTGCACCGTGCTTTGCTGTGTATTTTTGCTTTGCTCCTTTTCTTTGCTCTTGTGCTCCAATATCGCACACCTTAATTTGGCCGTGCCCAATCCCGTTGCATGCGCGTTCCCCTCGAGGCCCCGGCCCAGCAAATCCCATCACTTTCCACCGTGTTGCCTGTGTCTGCATTCCCCAGCGTGCCCGGCTGCATTCTCTCGTTGGCTTCCAGACCGTCGGTTGTTTATCCTCCACAAATCACATTACTTTGGCTTCATCCTTGAACCCTCCGTCCTCCACATAACCGCCGACTGCCTTGTCACTCGCCCCGTGCCGTTGTCCGCCTTGGTCGCGGCGACACTGACATCAGCGGCAGCCCACTGTCGCGCAAAGAGCCGTGCTTTGGTTGGCACATTTCGCGCGCTCAGTCTACGGCAGTTGATTCCTACCGCGCGCCTTGTCGCTCGTTTCCCCTTCTTGCTGTCCCTCTGCTAGCCGCGCGAAACAGTTGCCATCGCTTACTCACCAGTGCTGGAGGTCGGTGCTGAGTCCTGATTCGGCTCTTACCACCGCGGCCCGGCAAAGACCGCGCGACTGTGATCTTTCCCCCCTCCCTCAGCCAGCATCACAATCTTGCACTTGAAACTGCATATTCTTCGAGGCGGTGCATAACGAGCCTTCGTTTTACTTTTTTTTTTCTCCTGCATTGACCATTCTCTTGCCTTAGCGCATGTGGGCACTTGGACTTTCCTGTGGTATTCCTGCACTGTTGTTATGTTTCTGTCGCGTCGAGGCCCAATCACACCACGCGTCAACCTTCATAGTCCTGTGCGCCTGACATTTCCCAGCAGCCGTGCAATTGTTTTGAATTGGCGCGATTGCTACTTGGTGCATCCGCGCGCCGTCTGGAAGTCTAGGTCGTGCATTGCGCATTGTGACGAGGTATGTCATCGGCTGCATCATGATTCCCGCTTGCCAACGCATACATCCCTCAGCCCTGGAGAAACTAAACCGCGACCATCTCGGTCTTTCTTTCTCGTCCCCGCCACTTACTCACTCCCCTCCTGTTGACAGCGCACGAATCAAGTGCCAAAAATAAAATCTGTTGTAGAAAAGACCGCTGACGATCACTTTGCAGTTGCGCTCTTGCTATCGCAAGTTCATCTGAGGAAAGGCGGATTCTGACATCAGTCTTGTATCGGGATCACCTCAGCGCCTCGAGGGACACGCTCTCTGCACCGCCTCAGATTTTGGCTTCGTGCCGTGTCTCTGCCTCATACGGACCTGGACCTTACCTGGCAGCCTAACTGATCCTGAATTTGGGCAAGGTAGCCTGCGACCTGCCGTCTCAGATAAACTGTGTAGCTCCCACAGCCCCCCCATTCTGTGGCGGCGATAAGCAGTAGTGCGTTTCTACCAAGCGATCGCGCTGTGTCTGACAACGCATCGAGTACGAGCCTAGTCGAGGGCACCCTGGTTTAGCTGCGTCTGAGCCCAACCACGTTACACCTTTGAGGTGGATGTAAAAAAAAGACAGACCCTCCGAAGGATCTCGTTGGAAGTGATTTTGTGATACAAGCATCTCTCCAAATCTCATCGATCTTGAAATCTGAAAAGCTCCAGCGGACGGGCAAAGCAGAACCAAAGGTAAGCGCCCAAGTCAAGCGCCCTCTTCTCCAGTCAACCCCACCAATTGATCCAGTGACCGCACGGTGCTGCGCCTTGAGTCCACTAGCTAATAAGCGTCTGCAGTCCTGGCACATTGGATCTACAAATCATAAGTTACAAGCGGCGCCTGCTCTGTAACTGCCCCTCAGCTTTCCCAATAACCTCAAGCGCAGAGTTCTTATATCCTATCATACTGCCGTGGTTCTCTGCCTCTCTATTTGACTGGAATATTATCTACCAATCACCCATCTTCACCGCTATTATTGATCCTGGTTGGCCGGTTCCTGGCATCTGAAAACCACTAACAGCTACACTAACTAGGAAGTGTGACGGGCGTGTTCTTCCGCCGCGACTTCACAATCATGGAATACTCTCCACAATATCAGCAACAGCATGCCCAACATCCGCACCCGGCTCCCCATATGGCCGGTCCCTACCAAACAGCACCTCAGAACCCCGGTTCGGCTGTGGGATCCATGACGTCTCCAACCAATCCCCAGGCACACATTCAACAGGCACATCCCACGCATCAAGCTTCTCCCGTTGTCCCATCACAATCCCATTACCAGCAGGCGCAAAATGCCCCGGGCCCGATGCACCAGCAAATGAACTTCCCTCAGCCCTACGGTGTCACGGCGGCCATGCCACCGCAACCATACGGCATTTCTCCCACCCAGGCTGCCGCCATGGCAACTGCAGCGGCTTCGGGGCAGTTCTATCCTGTACATGGAGATTCCATGGCTGGTCAAATACCACAAGGTCCGCGCGGCTCACCCCGCATGCCGGGCGTATCCGTGAAGCCTGATAGAAATCCGCGGTCACCGCCTCAAATGCCTGGCCAGATCCCACCGATGGGCTCGCAGGTACCGCTAACCCCAACCGCTCAGATGCAGCAGCGTCGCATGAGCCATGTGGGCAGCCCGCACGTGCAGACCACTCAACCCGTTCTAAACCACGTCGGTAGACCCTCGGTACCTCCGTCGATGCCACCTCCCCCGCATCCCGTCCAGCAAGCCCAGACATCTCCGGAGATGGTCCCTAGTGGCGCAGAGGAGTCGCCATTGTACGTGAACGCGAAGCAGTTTCATCGCATCCTAAAGCGACGCGTTGCTCGGCAAAAATTGGAAGAGCAGCTACGACTTACCTCCAAGGGTCGCAAGCCATATCTTCATGAGTCGCGACACAATCACGCAATGCGACGCCCCCGTGGCCCTGGTGGTCGGTTCCTCACGGCGGATGAGGTGGCCGCCATGGAGAAGAAGGGTGTTTCGGGCCTGGGGCAGGAGAATGCGGATCCAAATGCGTCAAAAGCACTCGGCGACAATTCCCCTTCGTCTCAAAAACGCAAGGCCAATGATGGGAATCACGATAACCCCAACTCAGGCAAAAAGGCAAAGACCGGTGCACGAAAGCCCAGTAGCACTGCTGAGGAAAGCGAACCCGAGTCCGGCGGTCCTTCGGATGAGGATGGTTGAATCTTGTGCAATACCTCTCTTTGATTCTATGTCATGGGTGGATGATTGCCCTTGGAAATCTGTACCCTTTTCGTTCTTTCATTCATGTCTGTTTATATTCTTATGCTGGTATGATGTCCGATAACTTTCATGATCCTCATTTTCAGGATTGCATGTATGATGTGCCCATGGTTTGATCTTTTCGTTTTCGATTCTTAGCGTGGAGGATGAGCTTGATTTCCTGGATGGGTGACATAGCCGATACCCCTTATCAGTTCTCTCTGTACCGAGCCGGACATGGTTCGCGGCCCAAATGCAGATATACCGCTGATATTGCGATTGTTTCCTTCCGACTTGACATCTCTGGATGCCGCCACGTCGTATCTTCTCGATAACTGGCTTTTCTTTCTAGCTATGCTGATTCTCTTTGGTCCCCTTGTTTGCTTCGTGGTCATTGGCACTGTATAGAGAGGTTTCCTCACGGATAATGTTCTGGTCTGGAGTCTTGGTGTGGTGGCAGATGTAGCGGGCTTACCCTGGTGCAGGTGGTCCTGTGGGCACTTCCGCAACTCGATACCCTGAGCCTTCCGCTGCGGTCTTTCCCTTGGTTCTATCTTCATCGAACAATGAGTTCCCGTCATAGCTGAATATCTTACCACGGGCGATTGGAGTGCCGAACGGTTGATGGCGTGCGGCGATAATAGGGTCTCTTGCTGTGGATGATTGGGAATTGTTTTTGGCGTCGTCTCTTTTTTTCCATATCGTGTGATATCCTACTGATGATTCCCCGGTTGTATAAAGATCAAAATACACTTGCTGATGTCATTGGCTATATCTGACTATTGCCGCGGTCCAGTAGCTATACTTTTACATGCAGACGTAGAGTACCATAAGTTGTTCCATAATCCAGACTCGTAGATTATGCATAATCTTGATCTACCTCTGCTGAACATATATCGTGGCTCATTGCAGAATTTACGTTTGCGCAAGCGAGCATAAGCGCTCAGCGCTTGATCACAAGCCCTCTCTAGGCTCACCACCACACAAAAAATGCTGCTCAGCAATACAAACCAGTACGGAGTACCTATGAACCTTGAAGTGATAACCCGACCTCCCCAGCACCGATGTCTCGTGACCTCCCAGCCATCTCCATTTCCATTACATAATCAGCCGGGGTCCCGTCCGTCAAACCGACCCACTCCCGTTTCGGACTAGTGCTTCAGCTCCGGCTCTGGAACTCCAAATGATTCTCTCTTGCTCTCTCCGATCTCTCCTGTTGACAACTCTATCGCTCCATCTGACCTCTTCGGGCTGGACGTATCTAGAGAGTGGTTCGTCGCCGTCATACTCTACTTCAAGGCTTCTTGTAGGTTGCCTGCCTTTGCTCTCATTCTCATTGCGTTCGCCCAAGTCATCAGCTACCCGCCCTTGTCTCTCTGTTCCCCTTCCCTGGCCTATTCGCTCCGAACCAATCCCCCAACCCTTTATCATTATTGTTCACCCTCTATACTTTTCAACCTACCTTCCTGGCTTCTGTTCTTCATAATCTATTCATCTTCCGCCTCTTTGGAGTCGACAGTGAATCGTCGCGCCGATCGTGCCCATCGAGACCATCCGGATTCTTGTCACCTTGTCTTCATTATTGCGCTTTCTTCTGGCTCATCGCCAGCTCGTGTCTTTCACTTAGCTACTTCACTTTTCTTGTCGCCATGGGCGTCTCCACCGATGATTCTTTACCGCTGTGCGGTCGGCTTCTCTCTTTTCCACTCTTACATCTCTCCGTCCTTTACCACCGTCAGCGCTCAGATGAACACAGTCCATCGAACACTTCAAAGAACATCTTCTAATGTTCATGGTACCAGGTTCTAGCTTAGATCTACGTTGTCTATTTCCGGGAACGCCAAACCCTCTTCGCCCCGGCTGTCTCGGTGTCTTGCCGCCGACCTTCGCATAACACACCGTCCTGGAGCCTTGCTCGGGTTTTCAGCTGCGATTGACGCCTGGCATCATCAATCTCCGCTCGAAATGGATTCGTACGATACTTACGGATCCCCTCCAAGGGGCCGCGAGGGAGGAGATTCCTATATGTCTAGGGCTTCGATGGATTCGTACAGACGCAGATCACCTGGTAAGTTGCGAACCCGCGGTTGTCGCCCACGCGACTTTGCTAATCAGACGCCTGCTGTATAGTATCTCAGGACCGGCGGCGTGGACGCGGGCGCTCGCGCTCTCCTGTAATGATCGATCGGTATGAACCTTCGGATCGCAGGGCTTCTCGGGACGATTACTATTCTGCTGCGCGCGAGCATAGCGCGCGAGAACGTGAGGATCGCCGCCGCCAACCTTCACCACTGGCTGCCAACATCGACCGCTATGTGCCTGGACAAGACACCGGCAAGCGATCAATTCCCGCCAACCCTCTGCCGAACCCCCTGAACCTAGACTTTCAAGTGGGCTTCAACTGGTTTGCCGAGTGGTGGCGGGCTGAACAAGCTATAAAAGAGGAAAAGGAACGCGCAAAGCACGGGGGACGCCGGCCATCTGACCGTGTCAAAGGAGAGCGCGAGGCGCGTGAAGATCGTGACAGAGAACGGGCCCAGATACAAGCAGCCTACGATACCTACAAGGTGGATCTCCAGATCAAGATGGCCCGGACTTTCGTTCAGCACCATAAAAATGATGAATGGTTCAAAGAGCGCTACATTGCGGAAGTACGGGATCCTCTCCGCCGCAATCTCATGGAGTTCCGAGTAGGCGCTTATCAGCAGTGGGAACGTGATATTGAAGGAGGCCTCTTTGACGACTTTACTTTGGAAGGCATCTACAAAAGCGAAAGTGACGGCGCTGGCGGCGTGATTGAGAAGGAGGAAGGCGAGACCACGGCTGTTGGGGAGACCCTCGGCGTGTTGGACTTGCTTCCAGCAAGAGGCGGAGACCTGCGTGACGAGGCCTTGTCTCAACCAGCCTTGCTTATCAAGACGCTGGCGCCAAACGTGAGCCGTCAAAAGATCGAGGAGTTCTGCAAGGAGCATCTGGGAGAACAGGACGGAGGCTTCAAGTGGCTTAGCTTGAGTGACCCCAACCCCTCAAAGAAGTACCATAGGATGGGATGGATCATGCTCCACCCAGCGCCTGATGTTGCGGTCGTTGAGAGAGGCGACGGACGCGAAGAAGAAGGCGAAATGGATGAGGATACCGTTACCAATGGTTCAGGGACTGCTACGGTTGCCGAAAAGGCTCTCGAGGCGACTAACGACAAGACAATTCATGATCCGGTTCATGGAGATTTTGTCTGCCATGTCGGCGTCCACGCACCCCCGTCCCAACTTCGAAAGAAGGCGCTTTGGGATTTGTTCTCCTCACCTGACAGGATTGAGCGTGACCTGGAGCTGGCAAGGAGACTAGTTTCCAAGCTTGATTCTGAGATGGGTCAAGGCGTTGATGGCTATACCAAGGTTGAAGACCGAGTTGAAGAGCTTCGCGGAAAGGGTTGGCTCCAGCCCCCCGTCACTGGACCTGTCAGTGTCAAAAGAAGGAGGTCCAACTTTGACGCAGACGATATGGACGAGGGCGAGACAGAGGAAGGAGAGGAGCAAGAAGAGTGGGCAGACGACGATGCCGATGATGAGGAGCTCCTGGCGAAGAAGAAGAAACTGGATTTGATGGTGGAGTACCTCCGCCGAGTGTACAATTTCTGCTTCTTCTGCGTTTTCGAGTCCGACTCGCTCCACGAGCTCACGCGTAAATGCCCGGGTGGACATCTTCGTCGTCCACGAACTGGCCTTACCACACAGGCGAAAGCCGTTGCTAGAGCCAGTGCCCTCGGGCAACCTTTCCCCGTCAAGAAGAAGGATCCGAGCGAAGAAGGAGAGGAGCAGGCCCCACCGCCGAGCGAGAAAGAGAGGCGGTCCCAGAGATACACGTCGAAATCCGAGCAGCAGCTCCAGCGTGCGTTCAATTGGGTCAAGACGTTTGAAGACAAGATCCTACAGATTCTCGAGCCTGAGAATGTGGACATTGTCAAGCTCGGCGGCAAGTCCGTTGACGAAGCTCTTGAAGAGGAATTGGCCAAATATGTCAAGCAGGAGGATGAGTCAAAGTTCCGATGCAAGGTACCAGAATGCACAAAGCTGTTCAAGGCAGAGCACTTTTGGCGTAAACATATCGAAAAGAGACACGCGGATTGGTACGAACGTATCAAGAATGATGTAAGTTGATAACTCCCTCAACGATAGAATTCTCAGACTAACTTCATTGGCAGCTCGCCTTGGTGAACGCCTATGTGCTTGACCCTGCTCGCATTGCGCCTTCGCGCTCCGACGCCAACAGCAACGGTCACTTCCCTCTCAGCTCCGGCCAGAACCAGGCCGGCACTCCTCGTGGGTTCAGCCTAGCGGCGATGCCTCCTTACCTCGCCAATGGATCAGTCCCACCTGGCTTCCAGCCAGGAGGTATCCCCGGCTTTATGCGACTCGATAACCAGGCGTCATGGGCTGCGAATAGCATGGCCGGCGGCGAACTGCACCAACCCGGTGTCATGCGTCGTGGCGGAAACCGCTACAACAACAACCGCTCTGGGCCCTATGATCGCCGAGGAAATCGGCACGGGCCCCAGGGTGCTGGCCGCTTGAGCCCTGGCCGCGGAATGCTCAGCATGGGAGGTGGTAGTCGTCTCAACGCTGCCGCAGCTTCCTACATCCCCCCTGGCCATCCCGCCGCCGCCTTTGCCGCACCGGGAGGTTTCCCTGACGCACTGGGCTCTGGTCCTTCTCAGCAAGCCATGGGACCGCGCGAGGCTGTTCAGGGCCGTAGCCTGAAGAGCTACGAGGATCTCGACGCCGTCGGTGGCGCCGGGAGCGGCGAGTTGAACTACTGATCTCTCACTTCTCGGGTACTTTGATTTGATATTATCTTCGGCGTCAACGGCAAATGTTTTCTTTCTTTCTTTGTTAATCACTCTTTGCATCACTGGGCCCAGCAACCGTTTCCCCAGATTTCTCGATTCGATTTGTAATTCTTGTTTCTCTTCCAAGGCGCATAAAAGAGCAGCTCACTTGTTTTCTTCACCATCCACACACATCTCTTCTTTGCCTGTTGTAACCATACACGTGTTTTCCCCCCAAGACCCCCGGTTATCCATCTGAAAACGTGGTCGTCTGTCTCGTCTGCTTTGATCTGGGACCTGAATGTACCATAGTCTAGGCTCTTTCTTTTCGTACTTCCGTTCGGTACAGTACATTAGGCACAGTTACTTGCAAGCTTGGGTTAATATAGGGAGTTCATACTATCTACAGAAGTCCTACGTGGCCTAGGCGCGTATGCATTATATGTGGAGGGAAGGTATTTTGTAAAAGAACTCGATATGGCATTCGTAAGATGTAACCACATAGGTGCGTCTAGCCTATAGTCGAGTACGAGCTACATCATATGCTTGCTCCGGGCATTTGGATAACAACCTCATCGCTCCCATCGCGCCACTGCGCACCCATCTTGCGGATCCGGCGCTCGCTGGCGAGGAAGAGGAGGAGGTATATCTGGCAGGCGATCTCGCCCCAGGCGTAGACTTTAAGAGAGAGTGCTTGGGCGCCGAACTGGGCATTTTCGGTAGAGGTGGATGTCCCGGTCTTCACGGCATTGTGATTTCGATCTTCGAGGATACACCAGACACCCCATCCCGCCCGGCCCTCTTTCGCGATGAAATCGGATAGGAAGGTCCAGAATCTAGTGAAGAGGGGTTTGTCCCAGTATGTGCGGCTGGGATGGGAGTCTGGGACGGTTGCCGAGGTTTCTGGAACGAGGTTGATGTCGAGGTACCAGTATCCTCGCTCGAGTACGTCGAGATCCCTTGTCTGAACTTTGGGGTTGTATGTCCGCGGGGATTTGAGGCGGTCTGTTAACATCTCCAGGGTCGGGGTGATGTGGGTTGTGAAGGGGGATTGTGAAATTGGGGGAGGAGGTGGTTTGATCTCTAAGGGGAGGGAGAGGAAGGCAGTAGGAGATTCGGAGTCATTTGGTCGTGCTTCTGGTTCTGCTACTGGCTCTGACTCTGGGCGTTGTTTGCCACTGTTTTCTTTCTTTCTTTGCCCTTCAGGGACAACTGGAGTGTCGATGATGGTGGTAGGGCTGGCCTGCGTTGGAATGACTTCGCAATCACCTGTAGTAGGAATGGGAGTATTATCGCTTTGCGCACCATGGTCATCATGCTGGGCATGTTCAACCGGTGGCTTCGTTGGGCCTAGCTGTCCCCCGGCTACTTTCTCTTTTTCTGCGATGACAGCGGGGTTGGTGCTCTTTGTAGGGCTCATGTGTGTCGATATGACCTGACGGCTCCCTGCAATGGGCGTATTATCGCATTGCACTTGACCATCTTCCTGCCCGTAATGTGTAACGGGTGGCGGCGAGTCCAGCCTGGGTCGTTTCGCCGGTATGTAAGCAGAAGCATATGGAGTCTCTGGGACTGGGAGTGGAAGCAGACTCAGACTCGCACTGTCAGCACTCAACCCCGGCTGTTCCAGATCTGGCTGGGAATCTGGGATGACGCTAACGGGCGTTTCGAGCGAATCCCTGTCCTTCTGGGAGCCATCGCGTGTAGCGACCGGGTGCAGTGGCACTGGCGATGAGTTGCGGGACGTCGCGTCACCAAGCTCGGTGTTCTTTGAGTCTGTTTCTACTGCTTCTGCATGCTGTGCTGTGCTGATGGTGATGGTCTCACGTGAGTAGCTTTGGAAGTTCAAAATGGCCTCGACCTGGGCGCGGTAGCGGGCATCGTCGACGACGCCACTGGGCGCGGAGATGTGGACGAGGATTTCCGATTTGTCCATGCGCGAACCTTGTGCATTTTAGTTGTCGATCATTATATATAAGAGTCGAGATTTGTAATTTGGTACGGAGTATATAGCCCGGAGAGGGAAGAGTAGGAGTGAGGCTCGAGAGGCGAGAGTCGAGAGTTGGTGAATGACTTGGTGAATGAGAGGAAAGAACGGACCTCGGCTGTGGACGGGAGAGGGGCGTGACTTCCCGATTGGGCAGAGTGCCTGATCGCCCGCAATAGTTCGTCAGTCCATCAAGTCCCAACCAACACCAAGAATCATCATCACAAATCATCGAATTCATCAGCAGTGATCTCATGTCAATGTCAGGGACCGACTCCTGATTATCTCGCATGCAGGGCTCGGCTCTTCCCGGCGGATTGTGCTCTCTTGGCTGATTCACCTTACTCCGAGTAAGCTATGATCTGCTCTGTGCTCAGTCTCACTGGTGACTGCTCGCAGTGATTTGGAATACTCTTCATGCCACTGTGACGATCATCCGCTAGGGCTTCGGCGCTCTTAATCTCATATCACTGACTCGCGATCCCATGGTTTGATTGGTGCCCTGGCCATGGGAGTTACGCTTTTCCACCATCCTGGGACCCATCAACAGACTATACTCCGTAGATGGGAAGTGACACAGTGTGACACTACAGCCTTGGAAAGGAGGCCAGCCACTAACAGGCACATGCTCGATGCTCGATGCTAGATTGACCCATGACCCGAGTCCCAAATTGACACGAACCTCCTTTTCTAGTAATGAGCGACAGGTGCTACGGAGTATCTGTCCCCATGGCACCCTGCTTGCTGCTTCTTCTATGCCGACTTTTTACACTACCGCTGCGCATTCTTGTCCGTGCACCCCGCCGCATATGCACAAGTCAACTACGAGTGAAGATGATTTGTGAGAAGGGAAGGAATGCGTCTGCTCCAGCTGATGCATGCTAGTCCACAGCACTGTGGTCCTCGGCCGTTGGAAACCACAGCAGGAGCGGCGCTACGGGTTCCGTTAGCCTTATATTGATGACTAGCGTCAGGCCCAAGGCTAGGGAGTAGGGATCCTGGTCATCGACTCATCGTGCGGGATCGATGGTGGCGGCACGGTGGACACCTCTTCTCTCGAGAGTCGAGACTTGAGGAGTCCAGCGATCTGCACAGACCATGGAGGAAGCCAGGATGACCTACCGAAATATGCCTTAGATACTCCTAGTGACGCGCCAGGATGAAGCCGAGGATTTGACTCCTTGAGGTCAAATGCGCTCATGAAGACCTCTTCTTCTCACCTAAAGATGGCCACCGTTTAGCTATTCCGGGCCCCGTCGAGGACGAGAGTCGCTCGGTGGAGTAGAAGCTGCAAGCACCGTCATCGGCCCCCTAAACGGCAAAGAAGACTCAGGATAGCCTACGGGGCCTTATCCGCTGAAGCCAATAATCGTCAATTTGGTGCGGAGTATGGTGGCAGACAAGTACAGTCTACCTCGGAAGGATATCAGGGTCGTTTGACTCGTCTGCAATCGAGGCAAGAGAAACTCGGACCATTTTATGGAATACCGTCAATTTCAATTGATTGTCACTTGTCCTGATCCCAACTTCCCAAGCCCTGGCTCCTGACTCGTGAAGTAAGTCGCTGTAGCCATATTTTCAGGCCGCGCGGAATCAGAATCTCATCGAGATTTCTCCACGGGGCGATCTGGACCCAGAAGTTGAGAACTCTTGATCCGTGATCTTCTTCTTTTGCTTCAACCACACTTTTCTTCTTTCCATTTGCAACCCCCTCAAATCGGAGTACTTTTTCCGCCCTCATCTCTCCTTGTCTTCCCTGTCTTCCCCTCACGCTACCGACTGGGCGGAAGAAGGATTCAAGCCATCCGAACCTTGAATCGGGACACTCTGTCTGGGCTGATTCGCCGAAATCGTCGCTAGCTAAGCCCATCATCGAGATTCGTATCGATTCATCGAACCCAGCCAACTGGGCCCTGAAGAACGGCACAGCAGCCAATAACCTAAAACTTCGGGGTAGCCGGGCGACACTGACGGTCAGGCTGGCGTCCCAACCATTATAACGCCGCTTCGCCCTGCCGAGTCTTATCTCGACTATTATTGCGTCCGCGCTGACAGGTTGACGTCTTGCCACGGTGACGGCCGTGTCGCAGCCTTGACCTTTCTTCTGTGGCTCGTGGAAGGGGAAAAGAATCCATCTTCTGGCTATTGGGTGCGTATACCCATCCACCCCAACAGCCGGGCGCTTGGACAAGAATCCACTTGTTTCGTATTGAGTTCTTTTGAGGCTGACGCCAGTTTTGATCTGTAGAATATCTCATTGCCCGAACAATCTTTCCAGGTTTCGCTGGCTCGCTGTGACACTTACATTTTTTTCGCCATTCGCTGCCCACGGTCGCACTCAACCTTCTCACACTTCTCCGCCATCTACCATCCCCGCAACCATGACTTCGATTGGTAGTGGGCCAATACCGTTAGACTTGGACGCCATGGATTCCTTGAATCGGCAAAGTTTAGGACACAGTGCTTCACCAGGTTCGCATACACAACACGCACCCCTGCGCTTTCTGTTGCCTCCCGCGCATGTACCTTGGAATACGGGCAGCCTCTTTGTTATCCTTGCCGAGGTTCCTTTTTAATCTGGCGGCGCCCCCTTGCGTGGCCAGATTTTAATTTGCTCTATTTTCCCGCACCGTTGGAGACTATTCTCAGTTGCTAATGGATCCTACAGCCGGCCAAGATTCACCCAGTATGAGGGGCTCGATCAGCACGGACTTCTTCAGGTTGTTTAGCGGCGGAGCGCAGACCAAGAAAACCACTCGAGGTTTGTTCTCGTCGTTCTTAAAATAGCATTTTGGCTAATCCTACATACTCCGTAGATGGACAGCCCGCCAAACGAAGAGGCCCAAAGCCTGATAGCAAGCCGGCTCTTACGCGACGGCAGGAGTTGAACCGTCAGGCGCAGAGGTAGGGTTCCTATCGTCTCTCTCCAGGGCGGCACTCACCATCATCCCATTAGGACACATCGTGAGCGGAAAGAGCAGTACATCAGAGCTTTGGAGAGTGAGGTTGCACGGTTGCGAGAGGCATACACGCAGGAGATTTCGGCGGCGAACCTTGCAGTTCATCAACATCGGGAAATGGTCAGCTCCGTATCGGAAGAGAACAACATGCTAAAGGAGATCCTTGCGGCGCACAACATCAACATCGACGCCGAATTAGAACGGCGCAGAGTCGAGCGGCCAATGGGACCTGTGTTCCACTCCAGCCCCGTCGGGGCCGGAAGCGTTGGATCGCAGACAGGCGTCGCATCATTCACGGCGCATACCTACAGCACGCCGCCAACCACAGTGTCATCATCAGGGATGAGCCCGAAAGTCCATGGAGTGGAGAAGTTTGACTTTTCATCGGTTCCGGACGCTGGGCCGAGTAGCCATGGCATTGCGGCCATGCCCTGTGATGCTCTTGCTGCCATAGATCGACGTCCGCCTATCCAGGGCGGCGGGATATTCGAAGACCATCCTCAACTTCAGATTGACTTCATCTTGGCGTATGTCCTATTATCTCTGTTCATCTGATCAAATCTGACTCTGTATAGGCTGGAATCACCTTGCCGAGAGCATACAGACTACCTCTGCCGACGTTCTGTCACCGAAGCCGACGACGAGGATATGCCGTTTTCAGGACACGCGCTGATGGCCACCTGCCCGCCGCCAAGTTATATCTCCAACACGACCAGCGAACAAACGTACCCGCACAAGACCTATGACCTACCGCATGCCAACCTCACGACGCTACTCAACCTCAGCCGGCAACTGGTGACAGAAGGACAAGTCACCCCGATCATGGCACTCCAAGCTCTAAAGAGCCACGATATGTACACGAGGTTGACGCGGGACGACGTAAAGCTGATTATGGACACGCTTGAGAACAAGGTCCGCTGCTACGGGTTCGGGGCAGTACTGGAGGACTTTGAACTCATGGACTGCTTCAGCAGCGTTCTCGGATCCAAGATTGAGGGAGGCATATCGTTCTCTCAGCCTGCTGATGAGACGCTGTATGCATGATTACTTGCTTTCCTTTTCCATTTCTCTTTCCCATTTGTGATTCCCCCTGTTTTCGTTTCATCCCCTTATCGCTGATACCTAGCATCCGCTACCCATGTATATATAGCATGCTCTGCGAGCGTTGTTTCCTTTCTTTTACTTCTACGGTCGCTATATATAGTTTCATTCGTCATTGTATTTGGGGAGGAGCCTGCTATTCGCTTCACTGTAGTGGGCGTAATAGGAACATATCATACTATATATACCACATCAATCCAAGATATCCATCTATCCCAATTCCAAACAACAATATAGTTCATGCCACCTCCCTCCCATCCAACTCCAACGCCCCGAGAATACCACCAACCTCCTCTCCAGCCCTAATCCTCCCCACGAGCTCCCTAACAAGCTCCACCGAGCCCCCTCTCAAAACCGCATAGACAGCCTCAAGCGCCTCCTGCTCGTCCGCGTCCTCGCCCGCACCCCCATCCCTATCAAACACAATTCCCGCCCCCGGAACAGCCCCAGACGTAACAGAAGAAGACCTCGCCAACTTCTCCTGCAACTCACCCTTCAACACCCTAAGCTCGGCAATCGTCTCCGCCGCCGCAATCGCCTCGCGGTCTTCGCTCGTGCTCGCGTATACACACTCGGATGGTGTCTTGCGCGCGATGCAGGCGCTACAGGGCGAGGCGCGGTCGCACTGTAGCGTACGTTAATATACGTAGAGCTAGCCCTAACTGCATTGCTTCATAGGGCGGATAGATCATAGAGGCGTGGCAGTGGAATGGAGATTGTGGGGGTGGCGAGTCATACCTTGACTTTGCGCATCCGGCACGCTGCGCAGGACGCTACGGGGCGGGGCTTGGAGGGCTTGTCTTTTTCGTTGTTGGGGTCTGAGGATGAGGATGAGGGGATCGTTGGAGGATGGGGCGGTTCGTTCATCGGATTCGGTACCGAGGCCATGGTTGATGTGGTCTGTCTGTATTGGGGGTTGATGGATTCTCTAGCGGGTAGTGAGAGAGATCTTGCTCTGTCGTCTCTTGGAGCGTGGGGTTGGTTGATCTGAAAGTTGAGGTGAGATGGAGAGGCGAAAAGGATTAGGAGAAAAGTTACCTGCATGTAGTCTACATCTCTGCGTAGGCTGTTTGATCTATCTATTTACATGCGACATTCAACTTCTGTTGCGTATTACTTCAAGCACAGGTCGGGACCTGTTTTTACCTCCTCCCCTTCTTCTATCTACAGCCAGCAGTGGCCTGTCCAGCAAAAAGACCTCTAACACTACTAACAGATAGGATGTAGAGCAAAAAAGAGATGACAAGGGTGGGATTCGAACCCACGCTCCTTTCGAAACACGGAAGCTGTAGTAGCTGGGTCAGGTTAACCTGAACCGTGCGCCTTAGACCACTCGGCCACCTTGCCTGTTATATATTATGTAATCTGTACATCAACAATAAGTAGTAATGATGAGAGCTGGAAGAGCAAAGTAAAACATTATAATCCGGCAAAAAGCAATGACAAGGGTGGGATTCGAACCCACGCACCTTTCGATACACGGAAGCTATGATACAGCTGGATCAGGTCAGCCTGAACCGTGCGCCTTAGACCACTCGGCCACCTTGCCTTGTTGATGTTAGAAGCATTTTATTTATGTTATAGATGGCCTAGATTTATTTGAGCGGCTCTATAACTGACATCGAGGATGATCTACCTGGGTAGGCTTTCGACTGTACCCAGGTGAACAGTCTGTATGTATGTTTGTTTATAATCTGCGCTGGCCTCAGAGCTATGACCCTATAATCTCTGCTATAAAGGCTGTGCGATATGTCTTGAACAATTTGGTAGTCATTATCGTGAAGCAGTCTATATAGGCAGATATATATATTCAAAATAAATTGCTCTCAAGGGTCGCAAAATTTCTCCACCACGACCCAGTTCGCAAAAGGAATGACTCGAGAAAGAAAGTCTGGCTCGTATCGCACCCGAGCCACAAATCACCCATCAAACCATCATTACTACCCGAGACTGAGTAATGCTCAACCCATACCAGACAGAGAAACAGCGACAGCGCCCTAGTTACCCAGGCCAGAGAACCAGCTGGAGAGGCCACTAGCCTGACTGGTCTGGCTAGCAGCGCTAGAGGAAGAGCTGCTAGAGCTGCTCGAGGTAGAGGTCGAGGCAGGCATGGAGCTGAGCTGCTGCTCGAGCCACTTGGATGCCTCACCAGTGTTCATGACGTAGGTAAAGTGCGCGGCGGTCACGATCAACGTGCCGTCACAGACCATGTCGCCAGCAGCGCAGTAGATCTTGATCTTGTCCTTGGGGAAGTTCTTGATCTGCCCGCCGTCCTGGGTCTTGCGGGTGTCACCGAAGAGAACGACACCCGCGATCTTGTCCTTGATCTCATCGGACAGCTCGGGGATTGCGCCGTGCATGACGGCGGTACCTTGACTGTACCATATGTTAGAGATGTGGGCAAACAACAAGCCCGTGAGACGTACCTGTAACCACCAGCCACGATCTTGGTGTCAGGGCACTTGGACGCAGCAGTCTCAAAGAGCCCCTTGGCCTCGGCAATAGCAGCGGAGGATGTTCCCTGGGGCAGGGCGTTCTCCATCAGACCCGCAGTGTACTTGGGCCCAACACCCTGGCAAGCAACACCACCAAGAGATGCGTCGGCCTTGAGGTCATTGCAGACGGCGGGGCCAGTCGAGATACCCAGGAGGCCGGGCTCGGTGGAGGCACGAGCGAAGATAAAAGTGACCGGCTTGCACTCGCCGTTGCGAAGGTCGTTGCCGCTTGAGCCACCAACTGCCACTTGTTAGTATACGTGTAATGCGTTTGTTAAGGCAGAGACATACGCTGGCGCTCATCAAGAGCCACAGGGCTGGCGGCGGACAGGCCGGCAAGGGCAGCTAGGGACAGAAGCCTGAAGTGCATGATGAGGAGTAACCGAAAGAGTGACTCGTAGAAAGTGAACGACAGTGTAGGGCTATGGGAACCCTTGCTAGGCCTGCTAGGTTTGGTGTGCTGGACGTCTTTCGGCACGAAAGGCGGCCCTGATTTATACCTCTTGCTCCTGTACTTGTGCCTCTGCCTCGGCGATCAAATCTACAGGGCCATTGACCCACCAAGCCTCAGTGTGTTTCCCCATATCTCGAATCCAGGTAGAGCATGCCCCCCGAGTCCCTGTGAAGGCTGTGCTAACGGGAATATAGTTAAAAGTGGATAGTTCTTCCGAGCGTCTTAGAAATCGAGTACCAACCACCAGGGCCCTGGTCGTCCTGAAACAGCGCATTCGAATGACTGATATGCCGGGCCTCGGTAGTGATCCTGGTACAGATCCGAATTGACCAGTGCCGTACACTTTTCGATACATACGGAGTAAAGGTCGGGAAATGAAGACGATCATTTCCAGGTTGATCTGTCATGCCCTCGTGGTGCCTGAGATGAAACACCACCGTGCCCTGAAAGGTGCCCACTGGACACAGAGCGCTGGAACAGATGAGGGCTAAAGCAGCGATGGAACTTGGCACCAGGTCGATCCCTCCAGTTATGGCTTCGAACATAGCTCTGGAATACTCAAAACCAGGTGTTGGCGAGTGGGCACCTCCCCGGGAGCCACCCAGACACCAAAAATTGGCAGCGGGCTCGGTCTAACCACCAAATCCAGCCAAAACTGGGGCGCGGCAATAGTGAGAAACCCCGGAACCGCCGGCTATGCGAAGCCAAGTGCGATGCTAGCCCTGTTGCTATTCTCTGGTTCGAGATATCAATCGCCGGAACGTAGCCAAGATCGAGAGATCAGATACAATATCACATTCGTGCGGCAAATTTTCGGCAGTAGATCACACATTGTTTCACATAGATTGATATGAAGTCATTGGAACTCCTGGACCCTGACTTTAAAGTCTTGGACCCTTGTGCTTCCTGCGATGGATTCTGAAGCAAAGCGAAATTTAGCGTTCTGAAACGGCCGAGTTGAAACCGGATACCCCGGATGGAGCCATGAAGACCCAAATAGGCAATATCGCCATTGCTCGGGGATCGCCATCCGCCAATTTGTGGGATACCGGATAACCCTGCACACTCCGAGTCCCCGAACTCATTGCGATGGCCATTGCGCGGAATCTGATGGATATCTCACTGCCGAGGCCGAGGCCAGACTAGAACATTTCGCCGTCCTCCATTCGATTTCGAAGAGAAAGGTGCTCATGCGGTTTAACCGAATCTGTCGTGGCATTAACCTCATGCTAGGCGATCGGGCTCAGCGAAGTGACGAGTAGTATCCACTAGGACATGTCTTGAAGCCTGACAGCTGAGAGCTCAAGCCTGACAGCCTAGATTCCTTGGTGGTCATCTGGTGATGTGGAGATGCTATGACTCGTGCAGCAGTCTGATCTCAAGAGTCGAAACCCGCTTCAGTCCCCGCTGAGGTAATCTGAAGCATGGCATGACAGGCAGCAGAATAAACAGATACCTTGGAATAATAGCAAAGGATGCGAGAATGTATCAGTTCAGATTGCAGCTGAGCATGGCATCCATGTAATTGGACAAGACAAGTGTCAGCCACTCTAATGATCCATGGACCTAGGATAGACAACGCCGGGAGAACACATCGAAGACGTTTTGCTATAGTGTCCATAATCCAGTTGGCGTTCGGATGACAGGACGATCGTTTTTCTTGTCTGCGGGCTCGAAGAGCTTACTCCGTACACGTGAAGTTGTTTAGTGAGGCTAGGTATTCCAACTTCGAACCCTAGGGTCTAGCTGGCTGTTGGGACCTGAATGCTGAATCCAACTGAGATCGCAGTGAGGCAGTGAGGAACGTGGGAGTGTCTGGTGATGTGATCGGGGTTAGAACAGCTGAGGAAAGTGGGAGTTCGACTGGTGCGGGTTTTATTGTCTAGCCAGGTCAGGTGGTTAACCTCAACTTACAGTATGAAACGGTGGTCAACTGCGAATAACATATACGCAATTATCAGTCAAGAACAGATATAAATGACCCAAAATCTCGTTGGACTCGTGATCTAGTACTTTTGAATATGCACATGAACGGCATCTAAACACATGATATCTCATATCTTGGAAACAGAACACATTCATTACTTCATGCCTCCTCCTCGTCACCCTTGACCTCCTGCTCCTCCTCAGCGGCCTCATCGTCCTCCTCAAACGCGTTGGCGGGAACGCTGTACAGACGAAGGACGGAACGGTTGGGGTCCTTGACCAAGATGTACTTAACGACCTCGTTCTCGTCCTTGTCCGCATCGAGGGCACGAATGCGGTCCACGATGGTGCGCACAATACCCCATCCGTTGCCGAGGTTGAGGTTCATCTGGGCGGCGAATTCACGGGGCTTGTATCCGGCAACGCCCAAGACGACGTGAGCGGCGGCGGAGCGGGGGTTGGCACGAGACACGAAACCGAGCTTCATGCCATCGGCCTTGGCGAGGATGGCCTGTGTGGTCCAGCGGGCAAGCTTGCAGCTGTTGTTCTTCATCTCCGTGGCGACGACGGCACCACGCTGAGAGTAGAGCTTGCTGCGCCAGTCGAGAGAACCACCGGAGCCCTGGGCCTTGCTGTCAAACTCGTTGAGAGCCTTGACGACCAGTTGGTGGTCTTCACCGCTGGCGGGGTTCTTCATGAGGGCGTCAATCTCGGTACGGACGATCATGTTGAGAGGCTCCTCATCGCTCTCCAGAGAGAGGTCGAAGCGGCGGTACTTGTAGCCCTTGGAGGCGAGGGGTTCGGTCTCCTCGTCGGCGTTGTAGAAGGGGTTAGGGTGGCTGAAGTCCACCTTGGCGTTGTTGGCCTCGACAACGGTCTGGAGGGCGAAGTTGTGGTTGATGAATGTAGCCTCCATGGCGAGAGCGCTAGGCGTGTTGATCGTGTCTTGCTTGCCAGAGGATTCGGCGACCTCCATGGGCGCATCAGCGGCGTTCTCGTTGACGGTCACAAGATCAAGCGAAGCACCCTCGCGCTTGTCCAAGTAGATCTTGTTACCCTGGTGAACGATGACGATATCCCAGGAGTACACACTGCGAGGAGCGCACATGAGCATGGAGAGAATATCGGAGGTAGCGAAGACGGTAGCCTCGTTCTTCTCGGCTAATTCTTGGATAACGGGGTCCTGCGAGGTGGTGACGTTGTACGCAGCCCGCTCAAGAGCCTGCAAGCGGCGCTCGGCGTTCTTGACAGGGGCCTTGTCGTAAGAGCGGTCGTAGTAGTAGAGGAAGCCGTAAGTGTCGACATCCTCACCCTCAGGTGCCTGGAGGTTCAACTTGGACAGACGGTTGAAGTCAACCTCCTCTAGCATAGACCAATCGGGGCGGATGTTGACTGAAGGCTCGCGGGTCCTCTGCGGCTTGTCGTAGTCCTTCCAGCCGAAGCGACGACCACGGTTGCCACGAGCGCCACGGTTGTCGTAGTAGCGGTCACCACCCTGGCCGCGACCAGCACCAACACGCTGGAAGCCAGCCCGGCCACCACGCTGTCCCATACCGCCGCGCTGGCCACGGCCACGGAAAACGGTGCCACCGCCCCGACCAAAGGTGCGCTTAGCTGAAGTGCGAGTGTTGTCAACCACGGAGAAGGAGGATTCGTCTTCGGCAACCTGAACGGCGAACAGGCTGGAGGAGCCAGCTCCGTAGACTTGTTGATCTGTAGTAAGAAAAATATTAGAATGGTCTCCCAAGGCATGGCGAGTCTCTGATATCATACCTCTGTAGTTGCGGTTGTACGCCTGGCGACCGCCACGGTCACGGTCCTTGGAGTCGGCGGTCCAGTCGGCCATACGGCCAAGCTTGTCACCCTTGGAGAAGGGAGCATAGGGGACACCCTGAAGCATGTTGTCCGCCGAGGTGGCAGGACCCCAGGTGTCCTCCGCGGGGAGGGCCGCCACGATATCTGCGATGGAGATGGGGGCCATGATGTTCAGAATTCGCGGGTTAAAAACCACAAGAGTATAACGAGTATGACCTGAAGGATACAAATAAGCCCCTCACAAACCGAGGTAGCCTTGGAAAATCCGGAGACGGTGAGCTCGCAGGCGGTGGGATATTGAGAATCCAAAGGAAGCCGATTTTTTGTGTCGCGAGTGGTGCTGTGGCTGGTGGACTTGGCACACCGCCCGATTAATGCACGGCCACACTTCTGCCTGAGGCGGCCAGCATGTGGTATACTGGCCGTGTTTTTCTGCATTATGAATTTGACTCTGGACATTACTCTGACTCTTCAGGAGAGGACGAACTCGTGTCGCGAGATCCTTGGGCAAACACAGTCTGAGTGTCTGACTCTCATGATACTGGATTATGTCCTCAACCGGCGGTTATCGCAAGCCCAGGAACCCCTCCGGTCAACCGAGTGATTCCCTGGTTCAATGCTGACCTTGAATCTTCGTTGATAACCATCCTACGGCTTGATTTACGTAAATGATCTCATATCTTGCAATTGAGCTGGAAGTTAACGTTCTATAGATCATATTGTTCGTCGGACGCCCAGGAGCCGGAAGTTTATCACAGATGAACCATTATTCTGGACGCCTGATCCATTGTGAGCGCGAAGGATCCTCTCCATGCTCGATCTGGGCAAGGAAGTCATGAACAGAGTTCAGGCTCTAGATAAGACAACTCTCTTGACGGCGATCTTGAGTTCGATCGCGGCAAATGAAAATTGGTTTCTGAGCTGCCAACCCGATGATCGGTCAGGCGCTGCTGTTGGAGACTTCAGCACCAAATCTTATCAGTTTCTATTTCTCAGAGGAACGAGGCCCCGGGCTATCTATGACATCCCTTTTTTAGTGCATCCTCCGCATTTGCCGCACGGCCATGCGTAGATGTCAGTGGCGGAGGCTTGAACTAACACTTTGTTTCCTTTTCCCCCCGGAGACTAGCCTGCATGATCGTCGATACTCCGCACGTATAGTCGTATTCTGGTTATCTGTTCCGGAGTTGTGATCCCTGACCATGTCCAGTCACCGAATTGCTGACACAGCCTGGAGATATTTCAGCCTGATTGTCGATCTCATTCGATACCAGATCTCTCCGCGTCTTTGAAAGCAGTTCCACTGATAAGGGACTCGCGGCTCACAGGCTGGACCAACCCACACCCAGAACTATGGTTTTGCGACGAGTGACGACAGCCGGGATTCGTTTTTGCTTCCAAGCGTCTTCTTGCTCCAGACCCTGCAGCGCTTCCCCGAACCGGAATTCGCTCTGCTCGCTGAGGTCACTTTTCTATCCGGTACCACTACCCCGATATGCCTGGGTGATATAGCCGATAACCAGACCCGGCTCAAAGAAGAAAACGTACTCCGATGCTCTGACCGTAGTCTAAGAGTTCGACAAGCCAATGCCATCATTGTTCTTTCCCAGGGGTTTCCTGGAATCCTGGCAGTACCTGCAGGTTGCAGGAGATGATCCGTCGTTCGCCAAGATCGATCTAGTTGGGTCTGCGGGCCTGCGGCGGAATCAAGACATCGGGTTCATGGAGTCGTTCTCATAGGTCAAGATACCTTGCTGACCGTACCATGGCCTTCTTTACGTGGAGGGATCTGCAACCTATCTCTGATTTGGAATGCCTTTGGGTTGGCTCTTGGCTCTAGACCTGAATTGTATACCGAGGCATGGCCTGAACCCGAAGCCGACCTCTTCAGGCGAAAGGGACGGCTCTGCTGGATCCTGGCGAGTCACCTCTACTTGTTCAGGAAGGGCATTTGATGATCCGATAAGCTTTGGACTGGATTGCATTGAGTTGTTCGTCATGCCATCGTGGTCGAACGTATATATAGGGCTCGGAATTCCCTCCCAGAGAGACACCAACTGCAACAGCCTCTCTTAATCCCAAAGAACCCAGACTCTTATTTGCGCTCTTCTGCAACAACCGCTTTTCGAGTCTTTACTTCCATTATACCAACAATCAACATGAAGTTCGCCACTGCCATCTCTGTCCTCGCTGTCGCCGGCTCTGCCCTGGCCTCTGCCCTTCCCTCCACTGCCGGCCTCGAGAAGCGGGATCCGGATTGCATTGCTCCTCTCCTCTGCTGCGGCACCCTCACCACTCCTCTCGACCCCACTGTTGACCCCATCCTCGCGCTTTTGGGCGTCAACGCCGCTGAAGTCGTTGGTTCCATCGGTCTTCTTTGTATGTCTACTGAAAAGGCAGTCACTTTTCTCTTGACGTTGTGCTAACCTCAACAGGCCATGCCTACGATGACGAGTGCACATCCGAGCCCCAATGCTGCACGGAGGCCAACCTCTTGGTAAGTCTAGTGCCTTCTGATAAGAGTTGCGTGCAGCTAACGAAGAACAGGGAGGTACCGTTGCACTTGGCTGCAGCGCCCTGGACGACCATCACCACTGAGAGCTCATCGGACGAGAATGAACCGTATCCTTACCGGAGCGGTCATGTATAACTAAATTACGGGCCGGGATGGGATTATGCTTCTGAGTTGCTATATCCTCGATAGGGGCAATCATGGCTAGATACTTCTACTTACAATCTTTAATGAATCTCTAATTTCAAGCGATCAGATACCTTTCCTTTTGTTATACGCAAAGCATTGCTTAGCTGCCCCCCTACCGGCTTGAAGGTCTACAAACACCCGCTAGCCTGTATAACTACAGCCAAAATCTGCCTGTTTGAATAGTGATTTTCCATGGCCTTGGTCCTTAGCGTGGCTACCAAAACAGGTGGGGTCTCTGGCTACATGCAGACCGGTGGCAGATATTACAGGGTGTTTGGGTACGCCGAGGAGGCTCTTATATTCAGTGTGCAAGCCATATCAACTTAGTTCTTTGGTCCTTTTTATGTTAGAAGATCTCCATTTGCTTTGTTAAAACCCTAGATAACTATACTTTTGAATTTGCTCTGAATATATCCATGGAGTATGCCAGACACCACACGACAAAAGAAACCAACAAGGGAGCTCGGCAATGGGGCTGAAAAAGGCTCCTGTATCTTGATGCAACAATAATGTGGCTAAATGTCATATTTATTCCTTGACCCCTCGAGACTAATACTACTGCACTGGCCATGTCAATCATTGATCAAGGCCACCCCGCTCTCGGTTGCTGGGGCAAAATCCAAAACAAACGAGCGATAACTCGATAAGAGAAAAGTGACGGCTTCCCACCCACACACCACCCAAATTCCAGACCTTGACCGTTTGTTCACTCGTTCACTCGTTCACTAACCCTACCGACAGATGGATGAATAGAATATAGATCCTTAAGCAGTTTTGCTCTGTCTTGCCCGCGACAACTTTGACGCCCTTGAGCGCAGAAGCCAGCGTAAGAGTCAATTCGCAAGCGAGCCAGGACACTGAAGACTAACGAGGCAACAAAAAAAGCAGCAGTCTACTGCAATAGTGCTCGACTCCTTCGCGGCAAAGAAATCCCCTGTCTCGAAAATCCCGCGCTCTACCATACCGACTTGGATCTAGGTCCAGCCAGACAAGGGGAACAGGCACCAGGGACCGACCTCACCGCAGGAATATTAGGGGAACGATTCGTCAAGCACGGATACAATCCGCCTGGACAGCATGGCTCGAGAAAGCAACGCCCCGATCGATCTTACCACCCCGGTGAAACCGAAAGAAAAGACGAGCCGTCCTCAACAACCACACCAGCCAGAGTTCGGGGTGCCATCACCACTCGGCCGCCAGACCTACCCGCAAAGCCACGGCAACAACCCTTTTAATATCCCCAAGCAGAACCGCCCTAGACCAGAGCACCATAGATCACAGCAAAGCCACCGACCGCACAACCCTCTTCATCAAGATGCGAGCCGGCCCAACCTTCCTCCTCCCCACGCCGTATCCACGCCGAAGAAACGGGAGCCGTTCGATCCCTTCAAACCTGTCCGTCCTTCCGCATACAATGAGAACCGAATGTCCCGCCCTGTCAATAATGACGCCTTTGCGATCCGTCGTCCCGAGAATCTTACGTTCGCCACGCCTAAAGCCCCAAAGACCTTCTTTGCCAACAAGGCTTCTCCGTTGAAACAGACTACCGCGGCTAAGAACTTGCAGAACTTTGTCGACTTGACAACATCAACACCCAGTGGAGGTGGATTTACCACTTCTCGAACGCCCCGCTTCGGAGTTTCAGACGCAAGCGACTGGGTCGATACAGCGAAGGCTAACGAAAATATCAAGGCGCTGCTAGAAGGAGCGTTTGAAGACGAAGATGAAAAGCAATCAAAGCCCAAGGGCAATAAGAAGAAGAATAAGAAGAAGAAGGACAAGGAAAAGAAACAAGAGAGCGAGAGCCCGAAGGCCAAAGATGAAAGCCTGGATATAGATGACCTTGCCGCTCAGCTGCAGGGAGTGAGTGTCAATGAGACTCAAAGCGCCGAGGACGACGACGATTCGACCACTAAAGGGAATGCTGAAGAAGCAGAAGCCCAGGAGACTGAGGACGAGAAGGACGCCAGTGACGCATCGGAAACCGAGGAGGATAGTGAAGACGAAGACGACGATGGGGTTGTCGAGGGACTAAAGGTTCAACTGCTCCCCCACCAGCGGCAGGGAGTCAACTGGATGTGCGCCAAAGAAATTGGCTCACTGAAGCCTAAAAAAGAAGAGAAGGGTGTACTGCCAAAGGGTGGAATTCTTGCAGATGATATGGGTCTTGGAAAGACGGTCCAAGCCATTGCCTTGATGCTCACGAATCAAAAACCTAAAGACGGGATGAGACGGCGACCTGCCTTGTCTGATCACGACGAACAATCCGACGACAGTGATGAAGAGGGTGCCGAGTCGCGAAAGCTCCCAAAAGGACTGAGCAAATCCACTCTGGTTGTTGCACCTCTTGCATTGATCAAACAGTGGGAATCTGAGATCGAAACCAAGGTTGAGTCATCTCACAGGCTTCGGGTACTTGTCTACCATGGCCAAGCCAGAGCCAAGTCCACTGGCCGTTTGGATGATCACGATGTTGTGATCACTACCTACGGAACCCTGACTTCCGAGCACAACGCAGTGGCCAAGAACGACAAGAAGGCAGGTATATTCTCTGTCCACTGGTACCGCATCATCCTTGACGAGGCCCACACGATAAAGAACCGTAACGCAAAGGCAACGCAGGCAGCGTATGCACTAGATGCCGAATACCGTTGGTGCCTATCAGGAACGCCTATGCAGAACAATCTCGACGAGCTGCAGAGTCTCATCAGGTTTTTGCGAATCAAGCCGTACAACGATCTGGCTAACTGGAAAGACCAGATCACTCGGCCATTAGCTAATGGCCGTGGTGGACTTGCCATTGAACGGTTACAGGTTGTCCTAAAGGCCTTCATGAAGCGCCGTACTAAGGATGTGCTGAAACTCAACTCCAACCTTAAGCCTGGCGAAGAAGCCGCTGGGAAAAAGAAAAACCCCGGCTTCCAGATTGTTAAACGTGAGGTGATCAAGGTGGCAGTAGACTTTATGCCGGGAGAGAAGAACTTCTACGGGCGACTGGAGCAGCGAACAGACAACAGTCTTGAAAAGATGATGGGCGACTCTAAGATTGACTACGCCGGGGCGTTGACCTTGCTTTTGCGGCTTCGGCAGTGCTGTAACCATCCCGATTTGGTCAAAAGCGATCTGGCTAAGGACAAGGATATCCTGCTACAGACCGGCACCTCGAATAACAAGTCGTCGTCCAAGAAACATGATGATCTGGATGATGTGGCGGATCTCTTCGGTGCACTGAGTGTCGTGTCAAAAAAGTGCGACATCTGTCAGATGACACTGAGCCAGGCTGAATCTACCGGCGGTGGTAGCAGATGCAGCGAATGTGAGAAAGATTTCAACACACCCTTCGTTTCAGATGGAGCCAAGAAGAAGAAGGCATCCAAGGACATCGTCGATCTCACCGCATCTCCATCAGAACGCCAGTCAGAAAATCGTATGGCTCGCTTCCACAGAAATAGAAAGGTCGTGATGGATAGCGACGATGAAGAAGAGGAGGACGGCGAATGGCTTGTCCCCGAAGGTCAGCGTACAGGGCTGTCCCTAGGCAAAGCTGGCGGATCCGACGACGAAGATGCAGAAGGAGGTGGCGAATGGCTTCGATCTGATGATTCTGAAACTGACGATGAACCTGAATCGCCCAGTCAGCGGGGACATCGCCGGACGCCGCAGGTTGAGGATGACTCTGATGATGATATATTCTTGAACCCTGGAGACGACGATAATCAGGTGCTTCCATCGACCAAGATCCGCCAATTGATGAAAATTCTCCGACGCGAGGCGCCGGACTTTAAGGTTATTGTGTTCTCTGTGTTCACATCGATGCTTGACAAAGTTGAGCCATTCCTCAACCGCGCGAACATTGGTTATGCACGGTACGACGGAAGCATGCGCAATGACCTCCGTGAGGCGAGCCTGGAGAAACTCCGGAACCACCGGGGAACTCGCGTGCTGCTTTGTAGTTTGCGGGCTGGAGCGTTGGGGCTGAATCTCACTGCAGCGAGTCGTGTGGTCATATTGGAACCATTTTGGAACCCAGTAAGCTTACTACTTCCCCCGCGCCGCTGACACGCGACACTAATTTCGGCATTTAGTTTGTGGAAGAGCAAGCGATCGATCGTGTGCACCGTCTCAACCAGACTGTCGATGTCAAAATTTACAAGATGATCATCAAAGACACTGTCGAAGAGCGAATTCTGGATCTACAAGATCGAAAGCGCGAACTGGCCAACGTCACAATTGAGGGCAAGACGGCGGCTGCCAAACTGACGATGAACGACATGATGGCTCTCTTCGGCAAGGACGCCGAGTCGCGATACACGGGCGGCCAGAGCAGTCTGGAGTTCTCGCCGCAAAAGGGTAATCTACTGAGACCGGACTATGAGTCGTCCAGCCAAGGCCGATCAGATGCCGGCTCGGAGAGCTCTCGTGATCGCAAGGGCAAACAAGAGAGGCGAGCGCCTTCAAGCGAAAACTCTGTTTATGGTAGACGGTGGTAGAAGACCGCCTATGTCCGAGACAATGGATGGCATTAGAATGGCGCGAGTGTTGGTTATGAAAGGCTGCATTGGGAGGTTGGGGCAATAATTTTCTGCACATTCAGTTCGGGACTGTTTCTTTGTTTCTTTGTCTGGAGCTTGGCACTGTTTAGAGTACATATTATCGGCTGCATTTACCTGATGAGTAGCATGGGAGACATATATGGGACAAGTTCTTACATGTCATATTGTGAGCACAGTCGTTCTGCGACGGCTGACAGCGGAGTTTGAGTGTGGATGGCCCTGTCAGCGAATGGTGGAGATAACGGTAGAGGGCTCCATGAGGATGGATATGTAGGTTCAGCCCCTGAGTTGGGGTTGGAAAGTGCTTCTAGAAGTCTTAAAAGAAGGCAGAGAACACGTAAGACTGGGCCAAAGCAAAAGAAAGCATGCCGCCACCAACTACAAGCGAAGTTTCTCAGACGGGCTTAAGATCGGTCTCATGTGAAGGGGAAGGATGAGGGCGCGAGCGACTGGTCAGAAGGCAGCGCGAAGGATGAAACGCGATCTGCAGCCGGCCAGCTCTCAGCCTGCGAACGAAATGAATGAAAAACGTGGCGGCCACGAGCTGTGGCATAGTGACACTGACAGCGAGGGAACCTTCCTCGCGAAGGCGAAGGATGGAAAAATGAGGAGCGAGCCTCGAGGCCTCGTATTTGATCCATTCGGCGATTTGGTCTTTGTTTGCCAAAAATCTTGACTTTTTCCTTGCGCAGGCCCAGTTGCATGCTCATCTCTATCCACATCCACATCCCAGACTGCTAGACTAGCGGCCCGCCTCCATCAACTGCCCCCGTCGCCAGTCGACGAACCCTCTCCTTTTCACCACATCTCTTTTCTGCTTCAGCTTTCTTCCCCTTCCACCCTTCCCCCGTCAATCTATAGTCCTTCCTCTTGGCTCCTTCCTTTTTTCGGCCCGGTACGTACGTCACTCCTCTATACAGCCCTGCCTCCGCCGTTTTCCCCTGCTCGACCGGCATCCCCTGCACACGCCCGGCTGCGGACTCAGACAGCTCTTTGTCTATTTGAGACCTTCAATCTAACCTCTGACCTGTTATGTCTAGGACTGCATGCGGTGAATCCTCAATAATCTCCCTATAAGCCCCGCCGCCCGCCGCTCCTCCTCCGCCCTCTCCTCCGTTCTTTTCCCCGATCTCCACCAGCTCCTGAGCAACTTTTGAGGCCACGGACTTGCCGCTTCAGCAACGACTACACGTTCGGATGGAAGGCTGTCGCAGTTAATTCGATACGACGATTTCACGCTCTGGTTCTATATTGCTTTCTAGATGGGAAACTCCCAGGGGAGACAGGTCGCCTCCGACAATGAGGGTATGTACCTATTTGGATTGGTGCAAGCTTCGCAATGGGCCCGGGCTCGCGCAGTTTACATTGCAAATGGGTTGAAGGTATGGCTGACAATGGATAGTGAACTTGAACCAGTTCAGGCTGCTTCGAGTTGTCGGGAAAGGCGCTTTTGGCAAAGTCCGCATTGTTGAGAAGAAGGACACGGGCTTGACATTTGCGTTGAAGTATATCCGAAAAGAAGAAGGTACGGATTCATTTCTACTACTCTTAGTCAATTGCTGATCGGCTTCTTTTCAGTTGTCCGTTCGGAGAGCGTGCGAAATATCATTCGTGAACGTCGAATGCTCGAGCATCTCAATCATCCCCTCCTCTGCAACTTGCGATACAGTTTTCAGGACATAGAGTACATGTGCGTTCATATCGCCGATTTCTGTCTCGGATGTTACTGACTCTACAAGTTACATTGTGGTGGATTTAATGAATGGTGGTGATCTGCGATTCCACATCTCCCGAAAATGCTTCACGGAAGAAGCAGTGCGATTTTGGCTCGCTGAGCTCGGCTGCGCTTTACGATACATTCACTCGCAAGGCATCATCCATCGAGACGTCAAGCCGGACAATGTGCTATTAGACTCAGAAGGACACGTTCATCTTGCAGATTTTGTGAGTACTCCACTCGGTGTCCAAATATGGGCTTGCTCTGACTCGCTGCAGAACGTGGCGTCCGACTTTCGACCAGGAAAACCTCTCACGAGTAAATCAGGTACGCTAGCGTATCTTGCTCCGGAGGTGTACGAAGGTGGAGGATATTATTTCGAAGTCGACTGGTGGTCGTTGGGGGTTACCTTTTATGAGTGCATCTACAACAAGGTTGGAAGACTGCCTGTATTGATTATGATTCGGGCTAATATGGGTACAGAGACCCTTTGAGGGCCGGTCTCAGGACACGCTCAGCGAAAACATCAAGAAAGCGCAACCGAAATACTACGTCACCAACCCCGCCGTCTCTATCCCTTGCTTGCGAGCCATGTCGGCATTGATGGAGAAGGACCGTAGCAGACGAATTGGCGCTGTCAGCTTTGAGAGTTTCACCTCGCACCCGTTCTGGGCGGACATTGACTTTGAGGCTTTGGAACGAAAAGAAGTGCCGCCAGTGTTCCGCCCATCTAGCGAAAAGACGAACTTTGATGCTACGTACGACCTGGAGGAACTGCTTCTGGAGGAAGCTCCGCTCGAGGCTAGAGCGCGAAGACAGAAGCCAAGAGCCGAATTGAGGGAGGATGCGACTGCAAAGGAGATTCGTGAGGACGAGCTCCACCGATTGATCGAAACAATGTTTGAGCCGTTCGATTACACGGCTGTGAGTTACCAAGGAAATGCCGCTGAAGCGATTGCGTCCGCCGCGAACCCTGAAGATTGTATTCAGACCGCAGCCTCATCAACGCATTCACGACACTACTCTCAGCCTGATTCGACTCGAGGCTCTCCCGCCCGTACGGAAGGGTCGCCCTCTCGCTTGACGCTCCCCGACAACCAGTCTTCCATTGGTGTGGCCTTGGAAGGCACAACTAGCCAGCCTTTGAGCCCCGCATCACAAACACCGCCAGCTGCCTCTGCTCCCAACTTTGCCCGTCCTTTCGTTCCACCGGCCGCAGCACGAGCTCGGCCGACGGCTCGTAAGACTAGCAAGGGAGGTGGTGTGCAGATGGTTCTTGAGGAAGCGGGCAGCTGGAGCGAGCTTGCCGATCAAAGCTCCACCCTTCCCGCCGAAGGGTATGATGCTGGCAGCAAAGGAAAGTCTAGCAACAGCGGCATGCTTTCTTTCCTGAGCCGCAAGAAGGGACGTGACAGGAGTCCGAAGCCGCAGGAACCCGGTGTTCTTGGCAAGGAAGGCGCCCGACAGATTATCAGCTGATTTGATGCGGATGCACTAGTAAACACCAATGCGAGGGTGCTTACTAGTGCACTGTTGAAGCAATCTATAGCCGAGCCCGTCGAGAATGGACCATGGCGTGCACGAGCCAGCTGGCGAGAATCTTGGTCTATTCCATAGGTTACCAGCAACACTATTGGACAACCTCATCGACAGAGTGTTGGCGATCGATGATCAAACAAGCAATCGGAACAACCGAATATTGACGGCCTGCGATGATACATCGATACCGAGTTTTGGATCCAACGTCGACATCCACGTCGCAGTCAAATACCATAATCAATGTCTTTTCCATTTTTGATACCTGATCTGATTCCCCTGGCTTCAGCGCTGATCCGCCTCCATTTTCCGTTTTTCTCATTTCATTCATTTATCTATTTGCTAGGGTCTGCTCCGGAGTTAACAGAACGGGGTGGTTATCTGACTCTTGACTCAACTGACTGACATATGACGCCCGGACATACATAATCACTGCCATCTACTGATTGTATCTGCATATTATTCCCATTCGGATGCACTCACGTTCCCCCATTTTCCGTTTCTGTCTCTATCTGCTTGGATTTGTGATCCGTCTCAAGTGGCCTGTCACTTTGTGATCTGAATTCTTGGACTATACTTATAGGTGATACCGATGCCGATACCCACTCTTTTTCCAGTTCCTGTCACATTCATGTTATATGTGATAGACGTGTTGCATCCTTCCTGTGCATCATGCATATGCGGGCGGATTGTGAGCTTCTTGTTTTGTAATGATGGTCGACTTATACTTGCTTTTACATGTACTATTTCCCCGGGATATGTTATAGATAGTTTGGAATGGATTTAGCGCTTGACGCTGGTTCTTGAATACCTGCTTATCTCCCTGGTACATCGAGTAGCCGATTCATTCAGCAAGCAAGAAGCAGCCAACTGGTTGAGACCGAGCTAGCTGGTCGTTAGTCTACCATATTTACCTCGTGGCGTATCATGAGAAAGCAAGATGACCACCTGAGTCTGGAGGTATAGCAAATCGCAATCTGTGTTCGATATGCATGGTAGAGGAGAGAGACCTCGAGTCCTGCATAATTCTCCGGCGATAGGAGAGTAAATTGAGATCGCACGTGGGAAGTATGGGGTCGAGTACAATATAAATTGTGTCACCATTGAGCGGGAAAAATTATGCATCGCAGGTAGGACAGGCCGGGGTAGAGGTACACGGAGATACATGTATATATAGAAATGAGGTATATAGTAAGTAGGCTGATTAGTATAGGAGGAGAGGATGCAAGAGAAACAAAGACCTCGGGGGGCTAGAATAGGAATCCAAAAGGGAAGGAACGAGGACGCTGAACGAGGCTCCATGGCACCATAACATGATATTGACCGACATTACACCGCAACGCATCGAGTTCGGAACATGGGACTCATGTCTATGACCAGATGAGAGTGAAGGATACAGTAGACAGACGATGAGTGATTGCCCTGCCCTGCTTTTCAGACTAGTCCAGCATTGCGATGGCACCGGCACGTCAACATACTCAATGTCCCGACAGCTCCTGAAACCTCGACTGGACGCCAACGCCCGTATTCGCCGCATCGACCTCGCTCGGACCACGCCACTGAGTCGGCGGCTTATACGGCGCAGGCCCAGCAACTTCCGAGAGCGGTGCTGGCGGCGGCCCGTACGGCCCTATCCCCGGGACACCACCACCAGCACCAGGATACTGCTGCAACTGCTGCTGCTGCGCTTGCAGGGCCTTGGCGCGCTTGCGGAAGTAGAAGGCTGCGACGCCGGCGAGGGCGAGGGCGGGCACGCCCAGGCCGACGCCGATGCCGATGCCGACTTTCGCGCCGGTGTCGAGGCCGTCGTCGGAGGAGGAGTCGGTTGCTTGCGGGTCTGAGGCTGTGTCGTTGGTGCCTGGGGTTGAGGTTGGAGTTGAGGTTGAGGTTGTGGTGGTAGAGGGATCTGGGGATGAGGCGTTGATGCGGAAGTAGGAGGATGAGAAGTAGGGGATTCCGCCTTCGCTGTCGCGGTTATCGTTCCACAATGTCGCGAAGAACACGTCGTTCCAGGTTAGGTTGACGTCTGGGTTCATGTCGTAGCTGTATGAGATGGGTTGGTCGTTTTCGTTTTCTGGAGCGTTTGGTTAGTATAGGGCCAAGAAAGTTGTAAGGTTGCAGGACGTACCAAAAAGAGTAAGGGAAGATGCATTTTCGTTTTGCCACAGGACGAGACTGATTCTCGTCCAGTTGGTCGTCCAAGTGAATACGAAGTCGGTGTCTCGCGGATAGACAGGATACTCGTCTGTGTTGTTTCCGCTGTCAAGTTGGGCCTGCTGCGAGCCGGGGCTTAAGAAGTAGTTGTTCGATGTTGACTGGGCATAACAAAGGCTAATGCCATAGACGGCGAGAAAACAGACGAGGGACTTCATTTCCTTTACGCCTGCCTAGCACGCACAGAGATAGAGTTGTGGAACTTGCAGGGCTTTGTTAGAGAACAGGCGTGGACGCAGGTAGGAAAGATGATCCCGAGCGACACAGCATCAGATTCTCTGCGAGACAAACTTGGGAGAATCAGAGGGCCAACCTGGGCCTTGGGCTTCTTGTCCTTCTTATTGGGCTTCAGTAAGCCTCAAGTGCATGTTCTCGGCGCTCGTAGCCTCGTAGACGTGCATAGTGCAGATCAGACTCGGCCTCTATGTGGACCAGCTCCGTCTTCGTACGGAGTACAGTCCCTGGAATCTGCACATGGCATCCGTTCAGCTGCTGAGCCTGTACGCGGCCTTGAGTGGCTCGATAAGTAACGCCATAGCCCCCGTCGTCATTCGGCCCCGAACTTGTATTTCCGTAAGGGAACTTGCAGGGACAAGGCTGAAACGAAGGAGCACGTATTTCGTAAGCCTGTGGTAGAGGCAGGATGACAGGTCATCGACCAGACAAAGCCGACTCGGCTCTCAGCTGCGCTGATGGGATGATCTATTTCCTAACGGCGCCTAGGATTGATTGCCTCGTAAGGTGCGCATATTGCAGAATTCCGCGTCCGACAAGGGCTGAAGATAACAAGGACGAATCCAGCCCTCTTGCGAGCTCTCGGCCTGCAGAAGAACCCTGTCAAGTCACCGAGTTTATGCCAATCAAGCGGTGCGGATAGTCGCTGGCCGGCCAGTCGAGACTGTGTGGAGGCGGCAGCGAGGCGCGGGCTGCAGTTAGTCTCACGTAGTGTCAGTTAGCGGGGATTAGCGCTGTGATTGGCAGGCAGGCTAAAGATCAAACCGGACGCCTGAAACTCGACGAACGATGCCACTGCATCGCAGTCGGATGGGACCATGATGATGCATGACTGGCTGTGGAGCGGAAGTCTGGAAGTGGACAAAAGAGTGTGAGGAGAAGCGTTGTTCCATTCCATTCCTGACTGCCTGGCTTCGTCAGCGTTTGGTTGGAATCTGGCGTTCAACCTCATGTCGACGACGGCCACTCCCTTTTAATCCTCATCCTGTCTTTTCTTTTCTTCCCCATGCGATCACCGGATTTCAAGCGCCGGAAGACCGCGTGGGTGGCGCTGGCCGCCATTTGCCTGGCCTGCACTCTTTCGCTGCTCTTTTACCAGTATGAGGACATCCCACTGTCTCTATCTTCAAGTCGTCCAGTGAACCCAGTACTGGAAACCCAAACAATTAACGACCACTTAAATACCACTACCCCGAGCAGTTCGCCGTCTCCTATCAGCAGCAATAGTGCCACCCCATATAACCCCAGCAATGCTGTGCAAGGCGATCGCCGCTGTCAAGCCTTCGCCGATCCCGGCAACGTCGTCTTCGTGATCAAAACCGGCGCCACCGAAATCTACGAAAAACTGCCCACGCAACTCCTCACAACTCTCGGCTGCACCGAGGACTTTCTTCTCTTCTCCGACCTAGACGAGCAAATCGGCCCCTACCGGATCCGCGATACCCTCGCCGATTTCAACGAGACCCTCAAAGCCACCCTCCCGGATTTCGAGTTGTACCGGCTACAGCATGAGTTTCGTCGCACCAATCAGGATATGGCACGCCTAAAGGGCGAACATGCATGGAAGCTGGACAAGTACAAGTTCCTGCATCTGGTGGAAAAGGCGTGGCTGGAGCGCCCGGGCCGCGATTGGTACTTTTTCTTCGAGACGGATACCTACATTGTTTGGACAAATCTTGTCCTATGGTTACAACGGATCTCGCCGCCCACGGAGCCGCTGTACTACGGCTCCGTTGCGTACTTTATGAACGACCCCTTTGCGCACGGTGGTAGCGGGATCATGATCTCGGGCAAGCTGCTCGAGCAGTTTATTGGTGGGGAGCCCGGGCTCGCGAATAAATACGACGATGTTTTCGAGTCGAATTGCTGCGGGGATTCTGTGCTCGCGAATACTATCCGCAAGGAGCTCAACATCACGGTCCAGAACATGTTCCCGCAGATCAACGGGGAGAAGCCATCGACGCTCCCCTTCGGCCCGACGCACTGGTGCCAGCCCGTTGTAACGATGCACCACCTGCACCCGCGGGAGCGGGCGGCGATCTTTGACTTCGAGCAGGCCCGGCCAGACCTAACTGTATTTCCCTCCTTTCCACATTTTCAAGAAAACAAACTAATAATACCTTCCCACCTAGCAACCCCTTACCTTCGCCGAACTCTCACACCTCACCTTCCCCAACGATACCATGTTCGATTACGAAGAAGACTGGGACAACCTCTCAAACATCGGAATCGAATTCGCCGGCGCGCTCTCCCCATCCCTCGAAACCTGCCGCGACGCCTGCAAGGGGCTGAAGCAGTGCTTCCAGTGGCGGTACGACACGGACGGGAAATGCGAGGTCTCGACGCAGGCGTTCCGTCTCGGCGCGAAGAGGTGGCCGACGAAGGACGGGCACCGTGTGTTTTCGGGATGGAATACCGATGTCATCCGTCAGTGGAGGGAGGACCATCCTTGCCACGGCGTGAAATGGGTTGAGCCTAGGGCGCCGGATTCATGACCAGGATTCGGCTGGGGAGGGTTGGTGGGACGACTGGATGGTTTGGTTATTTTTGTACTACGTGTCGCTCTTGTTGAGACTGGGTCTTGGAGAGGAGTTTCTTTTCTTTGCTTGCGGCGCAGGCGTTACGATTTGATATCGCTTTTCTTTCCAGGGTATTAAGGTCATTTTTGGTGACCTGAATTAGGTCGTGTCTGGTCGAGCTTATCTCGTTTGTTTGAAACAGATTAGATATTCTCATGCCGGTATATAGATAGCTACCTTATGTACAAAGTGTAGATACATGCGTCTAATCATTATATCCAACGCGTAAAACAACCCGGACCGGCGTGTATGAAAACAGACAATAGAAGCTAAAGAACAGAATTTGCGAAGAAGAGAAGGAAGGAAGTCTAGAGAAAATTCATGAAGAGGCCGCGGTTTGCTGTGTCTTTGGCGCATTCTGACCCTCCTCTCCACCGACCTCGTTCTTCCATGACCCGGCATACTGATGTGATACCAGGTACGGGCCCTGATCCGTTGGGTTGCCGCCCTGCAACGCGGCAAAGGCGGCTTGTGGTAGGACCATGATATCGCCGATGAGCTTTGGCTCCTTCAGCTGATGAATGTGTTGTTTCGTGATATCCTGGCCAGTCTCCTCGGAGACGCTCTGGAGCAGTGCCATCGTGATAGCCTGCGGGCCTGTAACGGCTACCACTTCACCGACCATGGCCTTGGTGATTTGTGACAGAGAGACATGGTTTTCTATCGCCGTGGTCTTGAGCTGCTTAACGACATACTCGATGACATTCTTGAAATGCAAAAGATGCGGTTTGGCCATGACCGTCCAGCTGGTGAACTGCCATCCGTCGAATTCAATACCCACGACAACGTTGACCGGGTGTTCCGTGTCCTTGGTGTACTTCTCGGGAATCCAGCCGGATACAGGAACTTCGTCTTGGACGTCGAGGTCGCTCCAGATACCGCCGTCGGCGTAGAGGATGAGGACGCGGAGGAAGTCGGCTTTGAGGATGGGCACTTGCAGGGCCATGTATGTTTCGAGCACGTCGGGCCAGTCGGCGTAGTTTTCGCGAACATATTGGTCGGCGCTGTCGTCGGTGAGCAGCTCATGGCGGAAGTGGGGGTTCTTTTCGAGCCATAGCTTCATCAACTTCTGGGCTTGCTCGCTGACACCCTTTGGGCCACATTTATGCCAGATCTTCGCGGGGAACGTAGGAGACGCTTCGTGTGCGAGGAGGGGTTTGATGCCTGTGCCGGTTTCTGTGTCGCCTGCGGGCGCGGGCGCGTTTGCGGTCTTCTCGGCATTTAGGGTCTTTGTAGCCGTCACGGTGGCAGTTACCGTTACAGTGGCGGGATCTGTCTTGGAGGTGATCGCGGCGGGGATAGCAGTATGTAGGGACATCTCAAGGGCTTCATTTTGCGTGTTGAGACGGATGACTCGGTTGAAAAGGTACATGTTGAAGATGAGGAGGAAGACGACGATGGCCGCCACATAGCGACTCGGGCTCACCATGAGGCCCGCCATCCTGAAACGAAAGTATAGAAGAAGAAATCGGAGCAAAGAGATTACTAGAAAAGGTAGAAGGTCAAGGACAAAAGAGCGTCAGGAATAATCAATTATTACTCGGAGGAATAATGAATGTGCGAAAAACAAAGACTTTTAGCCAGATCGCATGGCGGAGATTATTGTCTCTCAGAAAGGACTCAAGGCGGGCGCGACCTGGGAGGCTTGCCAAAGCAGCAAAGCTGAAGAAAGTGATTGAGAGGCTTATGCAGGGGCCACTTGGTCACTCATTTATCGATTTGGAGGATCCGATGTGAAGACGCAATCTCGACTTCGGGCAAAATTGCAGCGCAGTTCAAATAAACAGACTCAACGCTGAACGGACAACGCACCTCACAGCCTCGAATTTGAGAGCCTGGATCATGAGCGGGAAATCAGCCGTTTGAGGAGGAGAAGGCTAATTTTGGCGAGAGGATCCTCTGGATCAGGAGAGACACTTTTGACAGGAAGGAGGAGGCCAAGCTCCGGTCACATTTGCCTCGTCTCTAAATTGGGGCTGTCGCAGGCGCCGCCCGGCTGGACTTGAAAGACCCTGCTGAAAGGTCCGTGGATTCCATGGATCTCATTTGCTCTCAGGCACAAAATGGGGTCAACTCATGCATCCACTGCGCCTCCACCATTATAGCCACGCTCTGCTGGCCTTGGCCTCATTGGCTAAGTTTGCCAATTGGATCATTTTGGGGCCATCGAAGGAAACGTGCCGCTGGCTTCGGAGCATCGGTCGATGGGCTCCGTCTCGGCCGCGGTTAATCGATTCTCCGCGATTCCTCAGCAGTAAGCAGTGAAGCACGCTGATTGCAGGACTGCAGCCACAATTGGCAATCAACGTCTGACAAAGACGGTGTGAAATAAAGAACTTGGTTGGAGCCTCATTCGGCATTAGATTTTTGATTCGCGTCATAGAGTTCGCGATAACCCCATGTCCCATGGAATTCGCTGCCATAACGTGCTTGAGTTCGTGGTTGGGCACGTGCTAGCCTCACGCTATCCCGATCAGGAAATCCTGAAACATTCAGGCAACGACGACGAGAAAACAGCTGGCCAGCTTGGCTGCTCTTGTCCCCTACTTGGCGAAAACACTGTGTGGACGACATTGCTGCTCATGTGTCCTCCCCCTTGAGGTTCTTCCTCAAGCTTCAATGCGCCATCTCCGCACGGGATAGAATTCCGCGGGCAGCACCAGTATTCCGCCTTTTGACGCGAGACACCGCATTCTTCGGATAACACCATTGCATGCCCAGCCAATCCCGCAGTCGGGACCGGTATGGTCGCGACCGCGATCGAGATCGATCCCGCGTTCAATCGCGCAGACGATACCACGAGTCCGAAGACGATGATGACGATTTCGACGACAACCCGCGCGACCGGCGTTACAGACGGGATGGCTATAGCCGGGCACCGGCCGATTCACGAGCTTACGATTCTTACGACGATTACGAAATAGTTGATGTGGCGGAGGAACCACGGAGAGACCGGTCGGATACGGAGCGACGACGGGAACGATCGAGGGCCTCGCCGGCTACGTCTCCTCGCAAACGAGAACGTACACGGGACCGGGACGGTGGCCACAGGCGAAAACGTACGGACGATAACGATCCCGCGCCGCAAACACATCGGGATCGGGGGTCACGGACAAGACGGGATCGCGCTTTGGACGACGAGGAATTAGAAGACGCTGCACGAAGACACCGCCGGCGAGAACGAGAGCGCGAGCGAGAGAGGCGTGGCGGAACCTCTAAACACAAGAGCACGGACTCGTCGAACAGTTCTGCTGGGTTGCTGAATGCCGACGCCTTGGCCAAACTCAGGGCACAGCATGAAGAGCTAGACCGTCAGGAGCAACGTCGAGCTGACAAGGAAGCCAAAGCAGAAAAGAAAAGAAGGCGGAAGCGCGCAGCGGTTGAAGGGCAGACGCGCACTCTCGCACCGTTCCCGGATGAGGTCCCTCGGGGTCAATCTAAAGGGCGTATTGTGTCCGGAGCGTACCTTGAAGAAGGCAGGGCTCCGGATATGGAAGTCAGATTGCGCGGGGGTGCGCGAGGACCGCCAAGAGACAGACATTGGGAAAAGGAAAATGATGCATCAGCTGCAAAAGTACCGTTTTGGAAGCGAAGAAAATGGTGGTGGATTGGAGCTATTGTCCTTGTTATCGTGATCATAATCATTGTCGTCGCGGTTGTTGTATCAAACAATAAAAATGGAGGCTCTGATTCGGACTCCGGCTCTAGCTCAGCTGATTCATCAGACTGGGGTGGTGACAAATCAGCCCTAGATGGACTTGATCACGACAGTATTCCAGTACGCCCGCTATCTTCTATCATTGACTGATATTAACCGGCTTTAGGAATCCGCACGAGGCACCGTCCTGGACCCATGGACATGGTACGAAACTACAGACTTCAACGTGACCTACACGGACGAGACTGTCGGCGGTCTTTCTATCATGGGTTTGAACTCCACCTGGGACGATTCTGTCGCGCCAAACGAAAACGTACCGGCACTCAACAAGCCATTCCCTTACGGATCGCAACCAATCCGCGGTGTTAATATTGGAGGATTGCTCTCCCTCGAACCGTTCATTAAGCCCTCGTTGTTCGAAGGATACTCGTCGGATGTGGTCGACGAGTACACATTGACCACAACGTTGGGCGATAAAGCCGCTCACGTTCTAGAAGAACACTACGCAACATTCATCACCGAGCAAGACTTTGCCGATATGGCTGAAGCTGGAATAGACCATGTCCGAATCCCGTTTTCCTACTGGGCAGTGAACCCTAGGGATGATGAGCCGTACGTGGCCAGAATCTCCTGGCGATATCTTCTCCGCGTTATCGAGTACTGCCGCAAGTACGGGCTGCGAGTGAATCTTGATCCGCACGGTATGCCGGGTAGTCAAAATGGCATGAACCACAGCGGACGGCAGGGCAGCATTCGCTGGCTAAATGGCGATGACGGCGACACGTTTGCTCAACGCTCGCTCGAATTTCACGAGAAGATCTCCAAATTTTTTGCGCAAGACCGATACAAGAACGTCATCGCCATCTACGGCCTCATTAATGAACCATACATGCTTTCTCTGGACGTCGAGAAAGTCCTCAACTGGACTACCACGGCCACCGAGTTGGTCCAAAAGAACAACATCACCGCGAAGATAGCCTTCCACGACGGCTTTCTCAACCTCAGCAAGTGGAAGACTATGCTCAAGAATGGACCGCCAAACCTTCTTCTTGACACCCACCAGTACACCATCTACAATGTCGCGCAAATCGTCCTCAATCACACCGCAAAGATCAACTTTGTCTGCAATGACTGGGTCGGCATGATTGGTGAAGTCAATTCCACTTCTGAAGGGTACGTCCTCCTTATTATCTATAAGATAGACACTGACGAGAACAAGCTGGGGCCCTACTATATGTGGTGAATGGACACAAGCCGACACTGACTGCACTAAAAACCTCAACAATATTGGCCGCGGCACTCGCTGGGAAGGGACATACTCTACGGACGACTCAACAATGTACTGTCCCACGGCCGACCAGGGCACTTGCAGTTGTACCAAGGCCAACGCAGACCCGTCAGATTACTCAGATGACTACAAGCTGTTTCTAAAAACATACGCGGAGGCCCAGATGTATGCATTTGAGCAAGCACAGGGCTGGTTCTACTGGACGTGGCACACGGAGTCGGCGCCGCAGTGGAGCTATAAGACGGGTTGGCAGAATGGCTTTATGCCTGCGAAGGCGTATAGCCTTGACTTTAAGTGTGGCGATGAGGTGCCGAGCTTTGGGGCCTTGCCGGAGTACTATTGATGCTTTCTACCACACTGTTTGGGTCTAACGAATTGCATACGCGGAATTGTTGTGTTGGTTTCTTTTTTGCACATATGGGACTTTTGAATTGGACATATCAGAATTTCAGCAATCTAATACCCGGGTGTCACTAAAGCATTTCAACTCAAAACTCTCATTTTCAACCTCAGCTTGTGGATAGCTGGCAAGGCAGAGCTGGTCACCTTCTACCAGGATTGTCGAACAGCTTACACTGTAGCCCCAAGAACGACTACCAGAAGCTCCCAGGATATTTACACGCTGACATCTTGATTCACTAAGAGTCAACATCGAAAATAAGCCTTTTTCATCTTCAAATGGATCTCGTCACGTGCGACGCCCTTTCTCCAACCAATGTGCTTGGTCGATTTGGGCTTCGCCTTCTCACCACCCCTCGCTACCATAGGTACCTACCCGTCACTAACAGCCACGAGATCTCAGATATGTATTTCATTACGTTATACTGCCGTTGACACGATCATGAAGGTGGCCAAATCGTGCAGGCAATGTCGCCTAGCCAAGCGGAGATGCACCCCAGGCACACTTCCTCGCTTAGCCTGTACACTATGTGCTCAGAAGGGTCTTGAATGCTCCTTTTTGGCCACCAAGGCACCAAACTACCCAAAGTCTATCTTCCCGGCAGGGACTGCACTAAAACACTCGGCGGAATTGAGAGACGAAGTCCGGGATCAGCTTGTCGACCTCTACCTGAAGTTCATCCACGACAAACCTCACACGTTGTTTCACCCGACCAATTTAAAATCCCGAGTGCAAGCTGGATCGTTACCAGACGCGACCCTTCTCAGTGTTCTTGCTCTTGAGGCCAGGTTTTCAGATGAACGGAACGTACGAGAGCGGGCCAAGGACTTCTTTCACAAAGCCAAGGAGTCGTTCAAGCGAACACTTGACGATGTGACGCTGGATAATGTCCATGCAGCTACCCTCATAGGCAATCTATGCGGGGTTGAAGGGGACTCAAAGGGAGAATCACTTTTCTTTGGTACGTGCGCTTACCAATGTGTTCTTTTCCCCGTTCTGATTATGCGTATCAGGCATCTCTTTTCGTATGGCTCAGATTCTCCGTCTCCCCGGGGCTAGTCCGCAAGACGATACAATCATGAGAGAAATCAAAACCCGAACCTACTGGTCTTTATACATGATCGACCAATGGTCCTCCGCTGGCTTAGACATGCCACGACAAATTTTTGAAACGAGTCAGCATCCGCTACCAATGTTGGAGTTGGAGTTCTGGAAACTGAGACCGGGAGAGCAACATGTTCGTAATATGGGACAAAGCCACTCCCCTGGTCTCTGGGGCTACATGATCATCCTCGCTCGGATATTCGGTAAGATACAGGTGTTGCACCGTCAGCTTGTCAACAGCGACTTGACGGATACGGAGGCAGAAGAGCAAACTCGCATATTAGCGCTGGAGCTCGAGGAATTCACCCACAACCTTCCCACCAGCGTGAAGCACTCGCAAGAAAACTTAGAGCACCATGCCAGGCTGGGCCTAGGAGCAACGTTCGTCGCCCTACATCTGGGCTATCATCATTATTCAACTCTCCTATACTTCCATTACCTGGACTCAACCCTTACCCAGGTCCCTAATCAAGCTCTATTTGCAGAGCGTTGCAAGTACCACGCAGCAGTTTTCAGTGACCTTCTGAGCTCTTCCAGTAAAGTAGCCGGCTGTGAAGCTGTATACTTCATTGTTTCGCATATGACGGTAATATCATCGTCTGCTTTGCTGCATGCTCTTTTGTTCGGGGAGCCTAGTGAGCTACCTGACGCACGGAGGCGACTATATTCCAACTTCCAAATCCTTCTCAAGCTTAAGCAATTCTGGCCGGACGTGGAGGCAATGGTAAGCCTTTCGTGACATCTGTGATTGCATTGTTGATTATTCTAGATTGCACGACTTTTCACATTCCAAGAGGCTTGCATGAGATCTACTGACCAAGTATACGTGGTCGATAAGTGGATAGTAAAGTTTCTGCTTCAGCATGCACTGCCAATTGAAAAGAATCGCCGACCTCCCGCCACCGAATACCTTGCAGAAAGAGATAGATTTGCTGAGGATGCACTGTCTATCCTTCGCCAGCCGGACCCAAGATGAACTTGAATGAACCCTTTGGCTCTACACTCCAGCTATTGAGATTCCTTCTCTACGATCGCAGACCTTGCCTTAGCACTCTCGGGATCCAGTACTGCTACCTTATCACCGTCGAAAAGGGCGGCAATCTCCTCCAGTGTTGGCCCCTTTGTTTCCACAAAGAGGAAATAGATGCACAGGCATTCCACAACGAGGATTGCGATGTAAACAAAGTAGAAGCGCCACTGCAAATCTTCCAGTCCTATGGGGTTCACATACTGGTTGAAGACCGATGAAAGAGCAGTCAAGGCAAGGTTGAGAGCAAGCCCCTTGGCTCGAATGTTGAAAGGCAGTATCTCTGCACAGTACGCTACTGTGAGACCTGGCCACGCAAAGCCAGCAACGCCATAGTACAGGAAGATCATGGCAATTACCGCGCTCCCAGCTCTTGAATTCTCATTCTGGGCATAGACAGCGGAACATCTGTCAACCAGTTAGCTGTAAGTTCTTTAAGCATTCTTCAGTTGTCACGTTGGCTAGCATACCCAGTCCAAACGCTAAAGGTGATCAGCATTCCAACAGCAGCTATCATGAAAAGCTTCCTTCGCCCTAGAACGTCCACTAGGAAGGCCGAAAACCCGATAGCGACAAGGAACGACCATATCTGCAACCCGCCGTTGATGATTGCTTGATCGCTGGATGAAGTGATACCGACAGACTGAAGAATCGAGTGGATATAGTATGAAACAAGCCCGTTTCCTGAACATTGGGAGAAGAAAGACACCAGCGCGATGAGGAGCAAACGCTTCCGGTTCCCGGGGGTTCTGACTAACAGCGCCCAGCTATTCCCGGTAGTCTCCTTTTCGATGCTTATGGTGTTCTGGATCTCTCGATATTGCCATTCACAGAATTTGTCGTTCTGGTCTCCGTTGCCATGGTACTATATTATTCCCGTCAAATCAAATCTGGAACAAGCATACCGCAAGATGAGCCAAATAAGAGGATCCGCTTACTTTGACGAGGATATTGAACGCATCATCAGTTTTACCCTTTGCGCAAAGCCAACGGGGACTTTCTGGAAGTAACCATACACCTACGAACTGAATCGCGGGCATGGCAGCCTGAAGGCCAACGGGAATCCTCCATGATGCGTTTGAGGTGTACTCGATTGTACCAAACACAGTCCATGCGGCGATAATAGAGCCAATATACCAAAGTGTATTGTACATCGTCGTCAATGTGCCGCGGTGCTGAGGATGAGCAAGTTCGGTCACGAGTAGAGGGGCCGAGCCCTGGCTAACATTTGATCTGATTCCAGTCATTAGATAAAACCGCGGGATATGTTACGGTGAAGATACCCGAGACCGACCAAGAACCTTCCTGCGATGAACATGCTCCGGTTTACCGACGGCACTGACTGGACGACTACTCCGACAAAAATCACAATAATGCCCGCCGCCACTCCTGCCCGACGACCCAGTAGGTCGGCAATATATGAAGCTATCATCAAATTGGCTTGTGTAAGTGGATGACATGATTACCCTTTGGAGTGGCCACATACAGAAAAGCAAAGCACAAATGCCTCCGATATTGTGGATTGCGGTTAACAACCCTAAGTCGGAACCCGTGGGATCGCCAAAATCTGTACTTCATTAGCCAGTCCGACAAGGTACACCGTACAGAGAGCATCTCACAGTCCCGCCACGGCGGCATGGTTTGCAATCCGTTCAACAGCGAACCGTCATATCCATTGATCGTCGAGCCTTGAAAGCCGTATCGTTAGGACGACTAGTAGACGGGGCAGAGATCTTGCAACCTACCGAGGAACAATATAGGCATCATGACGTACAACCTCCGCAGCCCAGAGTGTTTCCACCAGGTGACCGTTGGGATCTGGAAGTCCGTGGAGGACTGCGGTGTATCCTCTATGTGCTCGGTGGAGGATTGCCTTGTCCCATCGTTGCCTTTGGAGATATCCATTATGAAGCCCCGTCAGGCAGATTTTGTTTGAATATGCCCTGCTTCTGAAATCAACCATGACCATTTTCCAAGGGGCATAGCGCAGGCTTTATACTTACGAATGTGGCCCGAGGAATGTTGACTTCGCAACTGCCCTGTGCCGAGCGTCTTCTTTCATTTTCCCGGGACAGCATACCTACCACGCCACTTTCTAAATTCACGACTCTGGGGTATTCGTGGAGAAAACAAGGTTCTTGGGAGTCCAAACTTTACCATGCCTTTCCAACATTTCATGACTGAACCCCAAGTTGTGGAGCAATTCTTATTGGGTAGTTGTCCATTTAACCGGGGTTGCGGGATATCAGCCAGTCGGCAGTGGTCTTTGTCCGCTCCCCCGCAAAAAGACTCAATGTGCCAAGCTGTTGTGGACTAGAAATTTGGAGTCGCCGGGGTATGGATCGTATGACGCCGATTTCATGCATCTCGAGATCTATAGCGCTGTATGGCCCAATGAGCTGGCTTCAATGCCGAACAATGCATGCTGATGCTACATGCAGAGCGCAACGTCTCAGGCGGGGAAGGACAGGTATTGCCCGCAGCTGGTTATTTAATGCGCCTCTAACCAGACAGATTAATGCACCATCCAAGACAATCTTGTCTTTACTTTGTCTGTTACGATGTCTTCCGATAGCACAACGCTCCCCCATCTTCGAGCAATCGACGGTGGGAAGGAACTGATTGTCGATGGAAAGCCTTTTCTTATCCTTGGAGGCGAGCTTCAGAACTCTTCTCTCACTTCTGCCGAGTATATGGATACGGCATGGCAGAAACTAGTCGACACCCACTACAACACTGTGCTTGGGTGCGTTACCTGGGAGATGATCGAGCCTGTTGAAGGGGAATTCTCATTTGAAGAGCTTGACAAAGTCATTCTGGGGGCACGAAAGAACGGCCTTTGCCTCATCTTACTGTGGTTCGGTTCATTCAAGAACGGCATTTCAACCTACGTCCCTACGTGGGTCAAAACAAATGCTAAGCGGTTCCCTCGTGCGAAACTGAGAAAGGCCCGCGGTGTCCTTGAAACTGGCGACGTGCTCTCGATTTTTCATGATGAAGCTCCTAAAGCCGACGCTAAGGCTTTTACTCAGTTAATGCGGCACTTGAAGGAATTTGATGGGAACCAGTCCACGGTCATAATGGTGCAGGTAGAGAATGAAACCGGACTGCTGGGCGACTCACGCGACGCCAGTGCAGCAGCTGAAGAGCGCTTCTCCCAGCCTGTGCCGCAAGATTTGATATCCTACTTGGAGGATGGTTGGAACAACCTACATGTCGACTTGCGAGGGAACTTGAGCCACTTCAAAGCACAATCCTGGCCCAAAGGCTCGTGGGTCGAAGTCTTCGGCAAAGGTCCACGCACCGACGAGCTCTTCATGGCCTACCACTACGCCCAGTACCTGAACCAAGTAGCCGCGGCGGGGAAAGCCGAGTATCCTATCCCGCTATATACGAACGTCTGGCAGAACTACGTCGGCGAAGACGGCGACAACGACTTCCCTATCATTGCCGGCGGCGGCGGCCTTCCAGGCGACTACCCCTCAGGCGGTGGTACCAGCACCGTCCTCGACATCTGGCAAAAGTTCGCGCCGTCCCTGGACTTCATCGCCCCAGACGTCTACCTGAACGATTATTCAATCTCCTGCGCCAAGTACCGCCACCGCAATCAGCCCCTGTTTATCCCCGAACAACGCCGCGATGAGTACGGCGCCCGCCGTATATGGGCTGCCTACGGCACCTACCAAGCCCTCGGCGTATCGCCCTTTGGCATCGACACCCAAGAGCCAGCCACCAACCCTTTCACCAAGCACTACGCGCTTCTCTCCTCCGTTTCCCAGATTGTCCTCGCAGCCCACCGCACCCCCGGCTCCTCAGTCGGCTTCTACTTCGACGACCTCCGTCCCGACGGATCCGACTCCTCCAAACCCATCGTACGCCACTTCGCCTCCTACGAAATAACAATCGAGCGCTGCTTCGTCTTCGGCAAGCCCTCCGCGGGCTCAGGAATGATCATCCACCTCGGCGGCGCCAAGTTCCTCCTGATAGGCTGGGGCTTCCAGGTGCGCGCGAAATCGCTCTCGCCGACGTCCGCGTTTACGGGGATCCTGCGCTTCGAGGAGAAAATCGTGTCGAGCCCCGAAACGGGCGAGTTGAAGACGGGCAGAGTGCTTAATGGCGATGAGACGAGGAGTGGGCTGTACGCGATGATGCCGAGCGAAGACCCGGACTACGGCGGCTTTCCGATTTGCGTTACCATTCCGGCGAGGACGGGGATTGCGGAGGTGGAGTTTTATGAGTTGGATGAGGCGGATGTTTAGTTCTCGTGGTTACGATTCCCGTACCTAGGCCGAGTATATAGTTGGTTGGGATGAACTTGTACTGTGCGGCTTGGACTGGCAGAACTACGCAGAGATATTGTGAAAGCTCTCCTTATTTGCTCAGAGTTTAGCTATATTCCCAATCTGCGATGGAGCGGGAGTTTGAAGAGAGGTTGGACTCTGGTCGAAAGGAGGGCCGAGTGTAATATGTCTATATTTCGTTCTCACTACGACCGAGGATAATGGAGGGTAGGTTAATACTAACAGACCAAAATGCTAAGTAGAAGACGAGTGCGGAGTAAACAGGTCATTCATCTGAAAACATAGACCCAAAAAAGCAAAATCAACTTGGTATCTTTGCACAGAACAGCTAACAAATTCCAACGTAGCCCTTTTGTGATATGCCACGAACTCTTTAACCAGCCAGCAGTATCCACGACTATGAAATCGCGTTCATTATATCCATCGCACGTTGAAACATAACACATCAAACAAACAACAGCGAGTAGATCGGACCTGTCCCACAACCAGCGCAGGGAGTATACGCAGTGTCCTTGCCTTCCCTTATTGTTTAAGATAGGGAATTGAAAGAACAGTCGCATTCACGAGCGGTTGAGCGAGAAGTAAGAGCTCCAACCCCTAGTCTTAGTCTCGGAGCTCTTCGAGGCTTCGTCAGTTGTAACCACGGCATCCTTTTCCACGTCCGTTGGTTTTCGCGGCGGCTGCGTCCTTGGTGCTTCCCTGTTCCTTGTAGCCCGGTCTCGGTTACTATCCGCAGCAGGTGGTCGCTGGCCTCGAGGGAACCGGGGTGTGAGAGGAGTCTTGACGGCTCGGATGACTTGTTTGGCGGATCGACGGAGAGCTTCGCGCATAGCCCATTGACGCTTCTTAGCCACGTAAAAAAGAGCTGCTGAGGAGACTGGAAGAGAAATACTTATCAGCATCGAGTCCCTTGACCTGTAAGTAACAGCGATAGGGCTGGGGGACGAACATCCAATGATAACAACGACGCCAACGATTACACACAACGCAATCATGCCTCCAGTAGACATGCCCCCACCTCCTGACTTTCCAGATGCACCAGCTGCATTCACAGCCTCGATGTCATTTGGATCAATCTCACCCTGGGCGGCCGACTGGGCGACAAGAAGCGCGACCGCCAAAGAGCTGTATAGATATGTGATGGACATGGCTCGCTTATGATTGCATAATCGTGGTGGACGACGATGACGGATTTGCTTTCAAGAGCGGAAATAATTCGGTGCCCTGGTCTCAACTCTGTGGGTGCTCGAGGAAGGTGGAGAGATTTGAGTGAAGATTGGGCGCCGTGCGAGCTCCATGGCTCTGTCCTATATAGCAACGCAGGGCTGGCCTGGAGTCGCACAAGCCACCAATCTTCAGGCTTCTGCAGGATCGAGTCACCGTGGCACAGATAGATGATAGGTTCAAGCGAGACCGTCCGAAACTCTGATTCGAAGATTCGAAGAGTTGTCCGGCTGGATTGGCGAGAGGATTTGTTTGATGGCGCAGGGGGGAACCCAAATGGCCAATCAGGGGCCTTGGATGGCCTGTCATCTGCGATGTAGGCGCTGGGGTTGTGACGAGGGTCTTGGCTTCTCCGGACTTCTCTCGGGTTGTACAGCGCTGCAGCGAATGGTACGTTTGTCTTGACCGCGATCTCGGCCATTGGTTTCAGATAAGGTCATTTGAAAGGGTCCTTCGGATGCGGCGAGCTCTGAACTTGCAAGGGCGTGGGTCTGCAGGATGTTCCATGCTAAAAGCCTGTCAACCTTGCGTATGTTTTTTTGCAGTTTAGATGGATGATTGAAGCGTATTTTTACTCCACAACATCTCGCCTTTGCAGTGTGATGAGTCCAACCATGCATTGTGATGTCCAAGACCCTCGGCCGCTCGGGGTCTGGAATGAGATGCCTTTCTTGCATTAACACTTACCTTGCAGAGTATGGTTCTGTGCCTATCGATTACAGGAAAGCTGAAGACTCGGATTTGCAAGCGCGCGGCAAACTGTTCGCCAAAGCAGCAATGACTGGATTTGCCGCTAGATGGGAAAAACCAGGGCCAAAAGTATCAGTGTATACTCAGATAAGGCATAATGCAAGTGTTGCATTTATCGAATGCCAAAGGCTCGCGCGATCGGCAAAGGTGCTGAGAATTGTAAGCTGGACGGAGTAGCGGTTGGCAAGGCAAGAAAGAAGCCGCGGGGTTGAGCACGAAAGGAATTGCGTTCCTTCCCTTTCGGGTAGCCATGAGGAGACTACACCTTCCACAAGATCAAGACTCAGAGTCCAGCAATCAATGCCTTATCCCGAACCGCTTTTCAGTCGTCGCTGTTGGCTACGCCTGCGGCTTCTGTGGGCTTGCTCATTATATGCTCTATTGAGAAAGCGTGAGACTTCGTTTCTTATGTATGATTGCACTTCTACATTGCGGACGCGGACTAACCAGGGTGTTGGCAATAGACAGGCTTGACGAAGATGGAGAATAGCGACGCCGACGACTTGTTAGTTGGAGGCGCTCTGGCTGACCCGGAATTTGACGAGAACGGCTTTGATACGAACGAAGAGGTCCTGCTGTTAAGGATGATGGAGACCAACGATATGCCCGTTTCGCCCAACCTCCAAGCTATGCTGGACGACCGCATTGATATCGGGTGGCCGTCCGGACAGAGACAGCAGTCTCCCTTATTCATCGAGCGTCCTCGGAGTCCGGGAATTGATACCGCAGCATTCAGCTTCGCAAGGCCTGCCCCGAAGACTAAACCGCTCTCGCTTCAGCCAATTGTGAGACGACATTCCTCTGGCGCAGTCCAAGAGATACCAGAACAAGGTATTCTTGGGTTGTCCGGCAACTCCGGTGAAGGGGAGAATGATCAGAATAAGTACGTGATCGACATCCGGCTACACACAAAACTAACACGTTGCAGGGCTGCTGCTCCCTCTACCACTCAAAGCGCAGAGTCCCCGACAAGCCCCCGTATAGTTGAAATTTCTTCTGTAACAACTGAGCGGGCACAGGACCACAGCGGGAACCTACTCTCGGCGGCGGCCGTCACGGACACAAGCGCAGAATCACCAAGCGACGCTGGTGCCCAGACAATACAGTCTTTGCCCACTGAGAATGGACCGGATTGCAATCAGCAGCTCCCGCCCGAGCAGAACGACCAGGGTATGTAGACTGCCCATTTCAACCTTCGCAATATTGATCTTATCGGCAGACATGGAACCTCCAGCGGACGTCACAATCAACAATGTAGGTGCTTGTTGGCCCTCCACAATTGGATTCACTGACATTCAGTAGCATGATCAACCAATCGATGGTTCGGGTGAGCAGCCAGATAATCGCGAGGAGACAAACGATGAAGCGCCATCCTTTGAGGGTCTAGGCCTACGCCAAAGCAGCCTATTTGAGTCGCGGCCCAATGACAATCAATGGAAAGTCGTGAAGCGACGGCACAGCGACAAGAGAAAGGGCCAGAAGCGAGTGTCGTACGCACTTCCAGATACCAGCGGGCAAGTACCCGAAGAGATCTTGTTCCAGCAGTTGATCAGCCGTTTGAAGGCTCGAGAAGAGAGCGAAGCAGTGGCCACAAATCTGCAAAAAGAAATGGAGGCGAACATAACTGTCTTGAAAGAAGAGAACGATGCGCTGAAGGGCGAAGTCGAAGCTTTGAGCTCTAAGCTACAGAAGCGAACCGCTGAGACCAGGGCCTACAAATCGCAGACCGAGTCATGGAAGTCGAAACTGGGAAAGATCAAAACATTCTTCAACGACCTCGGAACCGACTACCAAAATCTCCGTGGTGAAGCGATCCACTTCAAGGCAGCTCGAAAGACCCTTGACAAGGAGCGAAGGGAAATAGCGGAGAGCATTGAAGACGTCAAAGCACAAATGGGCCGGATTTCCCAATCTTCCCTTGAGGGCCGTGGTGAGACCGGTAGTCTCGTTTCCTCGTTGAAGCAAGAGCTGGATCACATGCGGGAGAGAGTCCAGTACTCACAGTCTCAATTAGTCGACGAGAAGAGAAGATCTCGCTTGCTCGAGTTATACATACAAAACTCCTCACGTGCGCAAGATAAGAAGCTCGACGATGTTAGGGCCAAGCAGCTGGAAGTTATCCAAAGGTTGGAATCGGAGTTCATAGTAACGAGCAAGAACTACGAGTCCTCTCATACTGCTTTCAGTGAGACTTTTGAAAAGAAGGTCGAAGAATTCCTCGCCACAGTCACTACAACTACCGAAAGCCTCTTCAATGATAGGATGGATGTACAGCAGTGTCAGGAGGTTATTTGCACGTTTCAGTCCCGGTAAGTGCCCGCTGAGGAACCTGTCGTATGCCCCTTTTAACTTTTATTAGCATGGATACGACGACACGTCAACTGGGCGAGGACATTGGAACTCACTCAAAGATTGCCGAGGGCTTAGTACGGACCTTGGAGCAGCAAGTCCAAGCTTTCAAAGATAGCGTGAGCGACGGATCGACTTTACTTGAGCATCTTTCTGCCAACGAGGACTGTTGCAATGACCTTCGCTTGAGACTCGAGGGAGCAGTGCCGGCCTTTGAGAGACTTGGAGATGATCTCGATGGGCTAAAGAAACAAGAACTCAATCTCGGTCAACGGATGGAGAGTCTGGAGACGCGGCTATCCGAGGTTAAGCTGCCGGAGAGATTCGAGGCCGATTATTTCCATATTTCGGAGAAGATAGGGTTCGAAACCGAGATACAGAGGTTGACTGTTAGCTTGAAGTTAACCGAAGAAAAACTGGAGGTCCAACAGCTTGACGGCGAACAGAAAGATCAGGAGCTGCGTGACACGACGGAAAAACTGCATCGAGCGGAAACAAGCATGGTGAAGCTCGAGTCGCGCCTTGCTATTCTTCAAGAGCGAACCAACGAAGTCGAATCGAAAGAGGTAGAACACGAAAATGAGATACAGCGACTGAAGCTCGAGTTGAAGGTCAAGGAAGAGAGATTGGAGGTCCAACAGCGTGACAACCGGCAAAAACATGACGAGCTACGTGAGCTGACCTCGAGAGCTCATCAAGCAGATATAACAGCTGCCAAGCTTGAATCGCAATCTGCCAACTTGCAAGAAAGGATTCAAGCGTTGGAAGCGGAGGCTCAAGACAATATTGATAAAGCAACCACACATGGTCGCGAGCAATGTAGCGCAGGATTCGAGCGGCAACTCCATGAGCTCTTGATGGAAAAGACCAAAATCGAGATGAACGCACAAAGAACCAAAGAGCATCTGGCCGATTCCCAACAGAAACTGGTAAGCCATTGCAAGTCCATTTGTGCCAGCATGTCGTTGACGAGGAAAAGACCGAAGCCGAAGAGTCTACCCGAATCCAATGCGAAAGTCTCAAAGCCTTGGTGAGTATCGCACAACGATTAGCCGTATAGTGCTGATGGCTGTGTAGCTCAAGGAACGTGAAAAGCGAATCCAAGACCTTGAAGCATCCCTGAAAGGCCAAGTTTCCAGCATGGCGACCCGAATCCAGGACCTCGAAGCAACCCGAACAGAACAAAGCTCAATTTTAGCGAAGCGAGAAGCCGACATCCAGTTGTTAAGAGAGCAAGAAGCGGCTCTCAGATCTGAGCAGACTTCACTGCGGGAACAACTCGAGGAAGCCCAACAGCGTTCGAACGGCTTCGAGATTGAGTTCATGAAGACGACAACTGAGGATCAACAGTCGCGCAAGGCTCTGCAAGATAGTTTCTCTGCACTCCAAAAGAAATTCACGAAGAAAGAGGAGAATTGCAAAGCACTGCAAGATAGCCTTTCTTCAATCCAAAATCAACTTGTGGAAAAAGAAGAAGAATGCCAGAGGCTGCAAGCTGATCTCTCTGCAGTCCAAAGTGAGCTCGCTGAGAACATTGAAGATCGTCAAAATCTACAACAGGGCCTATCTTCCTTGCAAGACGAGCTTGCGAGGAGCAAGGAGGAGTGTCAAGGCTTGCAGGATAGTATCTGTTTGGTTCAAGACGAGCTGATGAGGTACAAAGAGGAGCGGCAGAACTTGCAAAGTAGCCTCACTTCCCTCGAGGCCAAGTACCTGGAGAACGATGATTCACACCAAAATTTGCAAAGCGAACTTTCATCTGTTCGAGACACACTGGCGCACAGTGAAGAGCAGACTCGAGCATTGAGGAAGGAACTTGAAGACGCAAACAGTGCACGAAGCACCCTGGAATCCGGCAAGTCAAAGGCCAAGGCTGAGATACACTCTTTACTCAAGCGAGTACAAGATTCGGAATCAGTGACAAAGACGGTCAAAGAAACACTCCACCAAATGGGTATCTCCCGCTTAGAGCAACCATTGTCCGAGGCATTGAACCAGCTGGAGAGGGTTCTGCAAACGAAGAATGCGAGACAACCGACGACAGCGCAGGAACGTCGACTGTCCGATACACCAGTGGAGGCGCGGAATCCTCGAACCAAACACAAGGCCCATACTACAGAAGTGCAAACAGATCCGAGGACTCCTGTGAGCCATGCCGACCAGGATTTGTCGTCGAAACGAGCCGGAAATATTGTCCCATTTTCAAGTATCCTTGAAGGACTATCGCCTGTTCATCAACCAGCTGCTGACAGTGAACTGTTTGATCTCTCTGCCCTTGCGCACACACCAAAGAGAGCCGCAGCACTACAGGAGCCCAGCGCCCCATCTCGACCAGAGAAGTACAATCCGCCGACAGATAAACCGCCGGTAAACCAGGCAGAAGAAACAGGAATGAATCCTGAGCTTGATCGTGTCGCCGAAGCTCAGCAGGTAACTACCACGCGCATGCAGCGTCAAGGCCGTCCAAGTGCCTCTATCGAACAAGGTGACCAGGCTGAACAGACGGTCACGGGTCGCAAAGTCTCTTTCGCATCGCAGAAGTTGGCTGCAGAAGAGGACGTCCTTCAGGTTCCAGACCCACAAAACAAGGACATGGAGAGCAACGTCTTGGAGTCGTCGATCAACGAAGGCAATATAACGCGGACAAATCGGTGGACGTATAGTAAACGCCAACGAGAGACATCAGTGAGACAGCAGGAGACAACGTCGATCGAAAGAATACCTTCCCAGGTTGAAGAGCAGGAAACGCGGAGTAAGAAGGCGAAAACTTCCTCGACCTCCAGTGTTGTGACGCAGACAAGAACTGGATCGGAACTCCATGATCGTCGGAGAAGTCCTACCAGACTGGCGTCTGGAAGCAGTCGTACTTCGTCAGGTATACCCGATCCTGACCAAATTGGCTCAAACAGAGGTAGGAGAAGGACAGGACGTAAAACGCGAGGTAAGTACTGTCATTTCGTGACTGTCCGAGATCTGACTTCCTAGGTGACAAATACAATGCTCGCTTCAGCCAAAGTGTCGAGAAGTGACCCGAACTGGTCCATTTAGCTGACCATATTTGATACTATATATTCAGTAAGATGAAAGGAATCAGTCTCATAGTAGTGGGTCTATTGCGAGGAATCTGCAAAGGAACCAGAAATGATGGACCAGAGGTATATGATATTGACCAAGATTGTCTGTTATAACGCCAGAATGAACACCGTAATGCCTATACAGCTCCAAATATGATAGCAGCCACAGGCAGCTCAAAGGGCGCCTTTTCGCAATGTCTAATGTACATGATCGTCGTTCAACGGAATCAGGATCGCAAAAGCCGGGGGCGATGCGCGAGGGTATGGGGATCGCAAGAGGATATAGAGATCGAGTGAATACGGGACAGTCGAAGCCGCGAATATTATCTCCGAAAGTATTCGATCGCGATAACCGGCGAGAAAGGGAAATCGTCGAGGTTCGGTAGGTAGATAGGCAAATCACCTCGCGCGTCCACCCTTTGTCGCCTCCAGGAACAGCACCTTCTTCTTAACGACGGGATCGTACTTGAGCATGCTCAGGGGACGGTGCGCACGGGGCCGAGTCATTGTGCGGTAGTAGCCGGTCATCGCCATCGAGATCAGGCGAACGACCATGGTACGTGTCTTCGCTGCAGCCAGGAGAATTGATTAGTTTAGAACATTTTCCGGAGGGGCAATGGGCAGGTGGAGGTTGAGGCGTGGAGTTGATGGCGACAATATGGTGCCTTCGAAGAGCGCTTGGGTATAGGCGTACCTTTCTTGGCCATTTTTGCGGCTGGAGTTGGAATTGAGGCTGTTCGAGGAGTTCGGAGATGGTCTTGTCGGAGGTGCGGAAGAGGTTTGGCCTACTGCGTCACGTGGTGGTGTGCCGAATGGGGAATAGCGGCACTCTAGGTATTGTGATTCGACCTGGATGCCTTGCTGCCTTGCAGCATCTTTCTCGACCATGTTCTGAAGGAAGAGCAATCTTAACGAGAAAGCTTATGCTAATCCAGAAAGAAACGTTTCATACGCTGCAGTTGCAAGACTTTTTTCATCTCCGCCGCCACTGTCATCTTAGCTTCCTGCAAACAGATATGCCCCGCAACGTGGCAGCGGCGGACTCCAACTCCCATGACACCTGAGCGCAAGCAATGGCGGAACCGCTGTCTGTCAAAGACAAAAAAGATAGAAACTTGGCGAATATCAAGCGTCTAGCCAGAATACTGCCCGGATATGATCAACTTCTCAAAATTCCTGACACCACTGTCTTGATTGACCGCATCGACATCTTGGAAGATGGAAGCGTACGCGCAACTGGACAAGTGAGCTGGAACTCGATATTGTATGATACGGACATGGACGCTTGGTTGACTGCAAATCTATTCTCGGTTGCCACGCGATATATCCTTGTGGAAGACTTGAGTTTGAGAGCCTGCCATACCTTGGGAGCGGCCTTCGATCTCGACCCCCAGTTTTTCATCGACCATCTGAATAATCAGGTCTCTGGCCAGGATGTACCGCGGAAGCCTAAAAGCTCCAAGTGGAACACCTGGAGGCTGTCAAGGCCGTACCTGTCGTTTCGCTGGTTCAGGCCAGTGGCCCGCGCGCAAGGAAGCACCGCCCAGGAGCGCAGAAGGGCCGAAGAGAGGTACTCCCAAGTTGTGCCCAAGCTAGTGAGGGTTTCAGGAAGTGAAGTCCGTGATGGGTACCGTGTCGAAACTGTTCGCCCCATTTCAAACATCCTCCGCTCCGAATGGGATTTGTCGCTCGTGTCGACCTTGGCGAAGACCTCGGACATGGTCGCTGCCATTGAAGAGAGAGCCTCAATATATCAAACTGAAGCTAACGGCCACAAGATTGGTAGGTACCTGCAGTACAGAAATACGTCTTGTCTCCACTGACATGCTCGTTTCAGTCATCATGTTACTGGACGCAACTCCAATGATCGACAGCGCGCAATGGACAGTGACCACTCTTGATCCTCCAGAAGAGCCTTTGATCGCCCCACAGTATGCAAAGACACGTTACTCGGATTTATACGAATGCTTAGTCCCTCGTGTTCCCCCGGAAGTTACCAGCAGTGAGGAGGTTTCAAGGCTCAATAATCCTGCACTCCGGGAAATCTACGCAAAGCTTCTCCCGACAGCAACATGCTTGCACCATGCGACTTGTGAGAGTGGCCTGCCCCCTGTTCCTGCTTCTCCACTGCAGTACCTTTTCCAGATAGTCATATCTGATACATTGGGTCTTATCGATCTTCTTCACGACATCCAAAGTAAGATTGTTGAAGCAGCAATGTCACAAGAGGCAGAACTTGAAGATATTCTTTCTCTACGGACGTTTATTGCAGGGCTCCACTCGCAGCTACCTATTTTGAGCATGGAGTTAGGGCAGGCTTTGAAGGATCTGTTACAGCAATGTGAATTGGCGGGCCCTCACCACACCAGCATCGGCCAAGTAAGCAACTCGTTTGATGAGATCTTGCAAGGCTCTAAAGATACCCTCAACTCCATCTCAGGAGCCTTGCAGTTTATCGAGAGCCACCGGGCTATCCTTGAGGCCGAGAGCATCTCGCGTTTGACGGAGCTTGCTTTTCTCTTTATTCCATTATCGTTCGCCGCGTCTTTATTTTCGATGCAAATCCAGGAGCTGTCGAATCCAGCACCCATCGGCAACTTCATTGCTTTTGCCCTCACCCTCAGCATAACGACGTATGCTCTGCGAATCTTTGCTCGCAGTTCATGGATACATCACCGCAAGCTGTCGATCATGACCGCCATCAGAAAAGGACGGTCAATACCACCCGGGGCTCCAGTATCCAATATCGCCGTGCTTGTTTGGCTCCTAGTTCAAGTAAAGCAGACTGTCCGTTTGAGCTATTCCTGGGTTCGACCAGTAACGAGATCAATATCCCAACGACTGGGCCCTGCAGTCATGCTGCTAATGGTCCTCCCATGCTTCCTGGCTCCCCCGCTAGCGGTGCTGTGGACGCGCCAACTCGACAGTGGCCTGAAGATTGGACTGACTTTTGTTTTTATCTTATTCGTCTTTTCTGGGTTTGGGCTTGTCATCCTAGCCGCCTCGGATACCCGTGAACAGGTTGCAGGATGGATTCCTGCTCATTGGCTAGCACGAGCAAGGCGGGCTGCTCGGGAAAGAGCTGGCCGGGAAAGCGAAACAGAACGATTACAAGCGGAGCTGTCAGAATAAGAAATCAATAAAGACCAGCGACAGACACATTCACGTTCCACATGACGTTTATGGCTTAGGCCCACAATCAGATTACCGATTTTGTCTGGGCTTAAACGACTATTCTAACAAGTGGTAAACCATCCTCAAGCTCAAGGTCATTACTGTCATCGAAACAGTCACCAGGACCGTCGCTCCAACTGCCCCCCACCCCATGCCTACCGCCGCGGCTCCAATTCGAGCATGCACGGCGCCGCCGTAGATGATCTCCGTGTTAGCTGCATACGCAACAGAAGCAATGTGCTGCCATAGTACCGCCACAATCAGAAACAGCGAGGCTATGAAGTGGCAGCCCACCACCAGTTGCAACACTAAATTGCTTGGAAACGGCTTCACCTCGCGAATACTCCCCTCCGCGTCCATCTCCTCGTGCCATCCTGGGAATGTACCAAGGGCATAGAACCCCACAAATACGAGCACGGTGGCCATGATCCTGCCGCATCCTTGCATTAGCGAGTTTTAGACTGCCTATCATGCCGAAACTCACATGATGACGGAAAGGATGACCTCGTCCTTGAAGTTAGCAGCGATTGCTAGCAGATTAAGCGGATCAATGGCAGTATCAATGCGACTTGCTAAGACCGTTGCGTCTCTCTTGCAGACCCAGCCACCGACAGCATCACGACTTGCACTCGCAATGCAGAAACCAAAGTATCCTACTCGGACCTCCAAGACGCCTGTCGAGCTTACATTCGCCACGAGGTCGTATAAGGATGGATTTACCACGGCGTTTGGAATGGCGATGTCTCCGTTTTCTGCCCGATACGAAAATGCGAGTATGTACACGTCCCGCATGAGATGCGAAGAGCAGCCCGCGATCATAAGCGCTGCAAACCACATTAGCCCATCTCCTTTCAAGCCGCGGATCAGGGCAAAACAAGGGAGGAACGGAGCACTCACACAATAGAACAATCGCAATCGCACTGACAATCATGTTAATATGATTATACCCTATTAGGGTGTAGAATGACCGATCCAAAAGTGGGATCCAGCGCTTCAACTTCCTCCAGAAAACATGCCGCGGATCTGGATCCTCGTCCGAGCCATCGGCCAGGAAGGACCCTGTTTCTTCAGATCCCTGTTCAGATCCGTCGTCATCATCAGCCTCGGCGTCAGAACGAGTCTCAGTCCGTGAGAGATCAATTGTCACTTCGGAGCGAGGGCGCGGTGGCGGGGATGCTTGGTGACTGGGCTCGCCTTTTTCACTGAGCTCGTCCGGCTGAGCCTGGTGTTCCGTTCCTGTGTCTGCACCTGTCCCTGTTTCGTGCGTCCGTTGTAGATGCAAGGACGGAGTCGACGCATACGATGTCCGCTCTGCGTATGGCTGAAGATTCTCTGAAGCGACTGATGCCGTTGTGGTTTTTCGAACGGGTGGGGGCGTGTCAGCCCGGTTGTCGTCAACCTGGACCTGGGGTTTGGGGTCGCTGGTTTCTTGTTTGTCCATTTCTGTGATATTCGTTTAGATGCACGGACTGCCTGGATTTGAGCTTCGTCTATCAATCCTAAAGTAGACTTCAGAGACGAAATGCTGTCTCCGGAAAAAGTTGCTTGGTGTCAGCACCCCGCTCGACTTGGGGTAACCGACTAGGTACCTAGCCTAGCGAATGAGCTTACGCGGCTGGAAACCGTACCTGGCGACGCTGCAGGCGAACTTTCGAGGTCGCATCTGAGCTATATCAATGTGTTCTTACACACGAGACATCATGGCAGCCTATACTCCGCTTCTTTACTTATGGGGAAAGTTAGGGCTGTTCCCGCTGCGGAACCGGAATGTGGAATCGAGCCTCATCAGACTACCCTGATACTATTGATTTACTTCCTAATATCGACATCTCAGATATGTACAGTCCTGCCCAGTCTCGATTTGCGCAAAGATGGGGCGACTTGCAATGTCATACTCACTTAGATATGGACGTCCTCTGATTCTAGCTCTTTACTGTAGCTCGCTCGCTGCCGAGCGAGATGCCTAAAGCCGTTGGACATGTTATACATTCTATCCGATATAATGCCATGAGGTTGCTATACCTACGGCACAGTAGTGTACCTTAAGCTTCCGGCCAAATCCCTCTCCCGCTCCGCTGCAACGTCATTCAGGACAGGAACAATTCACATCCATCCGCCGTCTGCCCTTGAAGAATCACCTGTATCTACACTATGCTGGGTTGAGTCCTCAAACTTCAGAAGATCCGATCCCATATCCATGTTTCGCACCGCTCTTCGCCCGTTTGCTTCATCTCCATGTCATCGCACCAGAAGCGCGGCCGCGTATACGGCGCGGTATTTCCACCAAGTCACCGCAGAATTCATCAACTATGACACGAGCGGAAAACTAGTCTCAAAGAAGGTCTCTGCTATGATGGGAGACCAGGGAGCAGCCTACATCATGGCTGACCCAGTAATCGGCTTTGCGTTCCGTGCTGCCAGCCCCTTCGCGTCGCCTTCTGCTTCCGCCGCTAGTACCGAGTATCGAGGAGTCACCAATGTGAAAGAGCCGGCTTTGTGAATCAGTATTGACAGGTGGTTTCAATGACCTCGACAGGGGAGTCGAGTTATCCGCGCCTCCATGTTCCGAGCCAGTTGCCTCGCCAGGGAAAAGTGGACTCGAGCCCGGCGACTTTGCTCCTCGTTGGCAAGATGCATCAGTTTGTCCTTGATGCGACTCCTGATGGTATAGTATAGTCCGGTCTAGTTACTACGGTCATGAAACTAATCGTGATGTTTGCACAGCGGAACTTGCTGAATATGTGATCGCTAGTTTTCGGAACCTGGAGAGCGAACTAGACGAGCTGAAGGATATTGATTAAGGGCAGTCAATCGTCCAGTCGATCTGTTTGGTGGGATCGTGGGATTTAGAGAGGTTCTCTGTTAAAGGTGATTTGACTGTCAACAGGTGGGCTTAGACTGTATGTGCTAAGTATAGGTTGGAAGACCACGGGTTGGTAGCAACGACGGGGACAGAAAGCCTGATGTGACCACATTATTGACCTGGAGTAAAACAGGTTCCGTCGGTGATGCTCGAATATAACAGTAGATGTTTTGCTATATAAAAGAGACAGGCTCCCCCAAGTTCTGTGATTCCAGCATTGTATCAGTACAGTCAGAAGTTGTTCCACAGTCAAAGAAGGTATTCGTTATGCTTTGTGAATTGTCAGAGCTAAAATAAGCGGTTGCATAATTCATTCATTGTTTGGCCTGCTCTTTCTCGAGCTTAATGGCTCCGACGCTCTACACAAAGCCTCAGACAGTGAACAATGGGCATCACACTCATGCTGAACCTCGAGACAAAACATACTCTGCCACGAGGGTATAGCGATGGATAGCTTTGCTCGATATAAAATGCGAGTCCAATGCATGTGCTTTTTCTTGTCAATTTTTACTTTTCTAATCTGTATACATATTTCCCATCACCATGAAACCTTCTACGGATCCCTTCATGCGCCTGCCCTTCGACTGCGCAGCCCTGATCCTCGCGCACGTCGACGTCCACGACCTAGCCGGCTACCAGCTGGTGAACACGACCTGGAAAGACACTGTGCGGGAATGGATCGAAGTCGGCGCCTTCCATCAACACTTTCCTGCGGAGTGGGATCGGCTTGTTGATGCGAACCCTGATGCCACGCGAGACGAGAAATGGCAGGAATTCCAGGTGTGCGGTAAGGTTCCAACAGTAAATCGCTTAACGAACTGGACTGATATGGTGGCGCCTAGCATACGAACTAGGGCGCGACAATAGATGGAAGCGAGGACACGCTTACAAGACGATCGAAACTACTGCCTCTCTGTACTCCTACAGCGACAAGTTCATTGCCTGGCTTGATAGCAGCAGTGACAACGGATGCCGCAGAGTCTCCTGGCGCCGGGCTGGATACCAGACTCTGGATGGAGACTTGGTGCCCTACCTTACGCATACCCTGAACTTCCGCGTCCCTGAGGGCAACATCCGGGTTCTGCAGATGTGCGAGGAAGAGGAGACGGTGTTCCTTATGGTACGATGCCCGGAAGTCGTCGCGGGCATGAAGATCGAGGGCTCCGATGAGAAGCCTGACCACATGTAAGTTCGACTTCCTCATCCTTCTGCCAATACTAACAGTGGTAGGATGTACATGCTGGACCTGCACACAGGGACCCCCCTCTGGTCCAACCCCGTCAGCCTGGCAAACTACCCCTGGAACCGCATCTGGCTCTTCGGCCGCAAGAAGATGTACCGTCCAGCCGGCCGAGACTGGCGAGACCTGATCGCCCACGACATCCGCACCGGCCGCCAGCTCAACACGATCCCCAACGTCACCGGCACCGGCAACACCCCCGTCTCCGTCGTCACAGCCGTGCACATCAGCCAGCTCCGCAACCGCGAAGTCATCCTAACCCTCAACAACAAGATCCTGGAGTCCGAAATCCGCCTCATCGACTCCGCCTCCGGCTCCCTCCTCCAATCCATCACGAACCGCCTCCCCATGCCAACATCCGCCCGCTCCCAACAGATCATCATCTCCACCCGCCGCGCAGACAAGGACCGCCTCACCTTCGCCCTCCTCTCCTACGGCATCCGCAACCTGCAGTACTGGCTCGTCGAGATCCGCAAGTACACCTTCGACAATGACACTAGCAAATGGACCCAAAAGAGCCTCGACTTCTGGGACTCCGCCCAGAACCACGTCGGTCTGCGCGGCCGCCCGGAGATCGACCCCTTCCGCAACTTCGCCGTTGATCTGCGCGGCGCCACGCGCTCGCTTGCGATCATGCCCATCCAGCGCCTGAGGGCTCCGTGGCCGCATTTCGACGCGGGCACCGGCCGGCGCCTTAATGTTACGCTGGAATGCACGGCGCCCGTGCCGATTACGTTGCCGCGTGAGGGCGGCGGGAGGGCGCAGTTTATTACGCCGACGGGGAATCAGTTGGCGAGGCCGGGGAGGATGGAGATTCATGGGGGCACGCTGTTGGCGGATTTGACTGTTGATGATGACTTCCGCGTGTTTGAGTTTGCGTTTCCGAGGCAGTATGCTGCGTAGAGGTGTGGAATGGGATGGGAGGTGTGGGTGCTGGCGTCCACGTTGCTTGAGTAGCTGGGTCTATTTACTGCCATGCGCTGTATTTGTATATTTGTATATATCTGTTCAGCTATATGTGATTATTGTGCTGTGATTGATATTGCGATTTTTTTGTTCAGTTGCCTAACTCTGCCCTAACCCTAATTCTTCCCGATATCTCCATAGATTTCTGCAATGCATTCGGACTAGATGATTACAACGCATGTTAGAAGAAACAAATATAAGAAAGTCTCTGAATCTAAATCTCATGAATTAGCATAGACTATATACTATTATGTCCTCTACCATTCCCAAAAATCGTTCAAAGCGACTGGTGCTTAAAATGGATAGATGCGTCCGTAGACAGCGGGCCCACGATTACGTAGTACGCGAAAGCGACAGAGAGATATGCCACTGTCGCTCTACCTAGTATAAATATAATAAAGTCAGAAAGAGTGGCTGTCAAGGGATTTCATCGAGGTACGCTTAGACCGACTTGCTAGAGTGTCAGGTGGATGAGCCAACCATACCATATGGTATTAGGGCTAGGAGGGATAATAATGATATGCAGTTCCTCTGGGCCACAATCGCAATTATTTCCAGTCCGACTATTGCACTACGGAGTATCTGAGTCGAGAACCTCGTTCCTTGCCGTGTAATTGGATCCCCAGTCATACTCGAATCCTCGGCATGACTCCCAGAATTACCCATCAAACGATCAAGCATGATGCGCTCTGAGACACCTCTCGGGCATCTCATGTTCAACGACGCCGCTATCGGCGATGTTTTATAGTAGCACTCAATTAATCTGGAGATAGATCATAGCATCGTGCATGGCCCCAGCGATCCACCTTGATCATATTTGCACTGCCCAGTCGACCCCCGAATCAGATCTCCAATCCTCCGGATACTCCGACGAGAACCCTGCTATGCCGGGCGCCCGATCAACTGCTTACTAGCCATACAGCAACGCGGGTATCTTGTTTCCGCCCCTTGCTCCGCCCGCTCCGCCGATCAGGCGGCCTGCGCTAAGAGCTGGGCGCGAATATGCTGGTGAAGATCCACTAATAATATTCATGAAGCATGCGGAGCTCCACCGAAACGCCCGATGTATCGGCCCTAATCTTGATGTGATGAGATCTGAAACGTTATCGCTGCATTTTACTAGATGGGTAGATGAGGGCACGGTGGAGTCCAGCGCTGGGAATCACCAGATCGGGAAAGGGGACTTTGTGAGGAAGATCTCATTTATGGAAAATGTGACGCGGTGATGGATGGGTAACATGATGGCTGGAGTCCTTTTCTTAGACCCGGGGAGGATCTCAGGTATAAAGAGGACCGTCACCTCCTGCCATCATCTCCATCTCCATCCCATCCCATCAACCCAAAGCATTCAACAATCACCCTCAGCATCTCTTATCTTAACGCATCTCAACCAAATCAACCAAAATGAAGCTCTCGCTCACCACCATCCCCCTCACCCTCCTAGCCCTGACAACCAGCACCACCGCCCTCTTCGACTGCAACAAAAACCAGAAAGCCTTCCCACCCACAGCCGGAAAGTTCGTCGTGCACTACACCTCCATCCGCGACACCAATCTGGACGGGAAGCCCTGGGTGCGTCTCTTCCCTGCTACCCTCCTACCCCTTACCAACCTTCTCCTCCCCATCTTCCTACCCACCTAACATTAACACCGCCAGATCCGCATCTGCAAACCCAGCGGCAGCGGCTGGACCCAAGTCGACCCGATCACCATGGACTGCGCGAGCGCAGGCGACGCATATACATTTGGGACTGGGCGGACCGGGCTGCGGGGGAGTCTGACGGTCGTGAATGGGAACGGGTGTAATGATGACTCGTCGAATCTGGATGGCGCGAGCATGAGTTATCGCGGGCAGAGGCGCTCGCTTAAGGGGAATGATAAGGGGTGTGGGAAGAGGGATCATGGGATTTCGTGCGAGTTTGACCTTTGACCGTTGATGGTGGGTTTGCATTGATGTCTGTGCTGTGACCTGCATACACAGGGGCGGATGGTGTGGTTGACTTGGTTTGGTGGTTACTTGGGCCTAGTTAGGGCTACGTGGTAGCTGGTGGAGATGAGATTGTTATCCATGGATAGCTGGGTAGTATTATTTCAGAATGTACTCGTTGGATTCTGGCTTGTACTCGTGCGTAATCGAACACTTAGGTAGCTCCTTGTGTAAGTAGGTACCTACGTAGTGTTCCGATTCCGTTCTCTTGAGCAGAATAACCACATTTATACTTCTTAGAGACTTACATATCTTCTATTTAATTTAAGATACATTGAGTGGGATTATTACACCCTGTGCGGTGCAGAAATTTGTTAATGGTCGTGTTTCGCTGTTTCTGATAGACACACATTGTTGTTCTGAACTACATGAAAATAGATGTCTCGGACTTATTAGTCCAAGCATCACTATGTATTAGGGCGCCATACTTCCCCAAACATGTGTAAATACTTGCTTAATAACTATGTTATCTCTATAAATGCGCTTCTTGCCGGGTTCTGGCTCCCTTGTACCAATTCGGGCATTGCACGTCTGGTCCACGGGTCCAGCTTGGATAGCCCTAATCATGTCAGTGTCACGTCTATGCTTTCGCAGTCGCACAGTGGAATATAGAAGCACCAAATCACTATACATTTTAACCCAGCTTTTATTCACGAAAGTTTGTATTTTCTTTTTCTGGGGTTTCTTCAAGGCTTTCTGCTTTACATTTGTGATTTGCGCTTACGCTATTTAGGGTACCCTAGGTCGCCCGAGTTGATTTTATTCTTGCCACCCAACAATGAGTCAACGCATTATTTAAAGGGGTCTTTGTAAAAATTTTATGCTTAACAATTGGTGCACCAACATTAATCTCAGACAAGCGTGGGTGCGGGAGAATATCTAGTTTTCACCTAGTAAATGTTCGTGCTTGAAGTGTAGGTAATGCTTTCGGCTTTTAATGGCAGAAGACAACCTCCGAGTTGAATCGTGGAGAGAAGGACAATCTGGTTATGGACGTCTGGTTACCTCACTGATGGGTCCAGGGGCTTCCATGGCAGTATCTTGTTCCACAATCTTTCCTTGAATGTGAAACAACTAGAATATCCATCGCCGAAGGGGACTTGGGCAAACCGGGACTTAAGCAAGTAAGCTATAAAGCAGGATCACGGCACGGAACCAGCCAGATATAGTGCTGCCGTACTAAAGTTTGGGCCTTGGAGTTAGGCAGTGGTAGCAGTAGCACTTTCTAGTAACAAGGCGCTATTGTGCGCATATCACTGACGGAAACCAACATATGCGATCTTACCCGCGGTATATTTCGAGTGCCAACTTGCAGCTGCATGACGTTGATTTCCATGATATGCCGAAGGGTACACTCTGCGCCTCCTCATGAACATTAAGGCTTCCTGCTACAGTAGAGTAGTAGTAGTAGTGATATTTAACGCCCCGGGGATTGCTAGGCGTACGCCTAATGTTCCAGACCTCCCTTGGGGTATGGGGGCGTGCCGCTACTAGGCAAGTGGCTTATTTAAATAATTTATGTATAGGAAGGCTTTTTATTTTAAAGGGCAACTCTTGCTAGTGCTTATAGGCCTAACACCTATTTTTTACTTATTATTCTAACATGTGGCCGCTAGCAGGTGTTATTTATCGCGCGTTTAGTAGTCTAAATACTGTGGGATGTAGGGGCCAGCCTTATTTATAAAAGAAATACATAGGCCGGAGCTAGTTACGTTAAAAAAGGGTGTTTAAAATAAAAAAGGAGAAAAATATAATAAAATAAAAAAAAAATAAAGCCGCCTGGTACTAGGCTAGATAATTTTTATAAGGCTAGGGCGCAGGAAGCCCTAGCGGGGGTAAATAAACTTGTAAAAGTCCGTGATTTTTAATAAAAATATAAAGTTCTTAGGCTTTAGTCCGCGGAGGTACTTTAAGGCCTTGGCCTTAGTTATTAATAGTGTTATAGGGTGCTGTGGCCACTACTAGAAATAACACTAAAAGTATTAGTAAAAAACTAGGTGTTTAAGGCTCTTGCTCCTCCTGCAGGAGCAAGTAACCTTTATATTTTTATACTAAAAGCGCTCGTGGTACCACCTAAAGTTACCATGCAATAATTTTAGCGCTAGCTAGCGGTATAAAATTAAGCGCTTTAGTATAAGCTTAGGCCGTAATTTAACCTAGTATAGCTTTAACTTTGTGGTAAGCTATTGCCTGTACTAGGTAAATAGTTTTATAAAGGCATTTTCCCATTATTTAGCTTGGGCGGCGTGGCATATTTGCTTGCATAGGCTGCGCACTCCGCTTGCTATAGGTTGTGCCTCTAGGGAATTAGCGTCTGGGGGTCATGCCTCCGCGGAGGCTGCCTCGTTAGCTAGCTTGTCGGCCAGCTCCTGCTACAGTAGATTGAGACTGGGAAGAGGATATGTAAATGTATATGCGGGCCGCGGAGAAACCCAGCCAATCGATTCAAGGGATCCACGGAAGATCGACGGCCAAGATCTCGGATACGGAAGCGGGAGCTAGCCGGTTCCGGCTAGTTGGACAGAAGAACTACAAGCAAATCGTCTGTCCAAATAACGTGTGGCTTCTGGATCTATGGAAAGGAGATACAGCGGTGCCACGGACTGCTGGGCCGCTTTCCAAGGTTGGTCCGGTGACGTAAAACCTCAAAATGGGAACATTTAAAGCCGAGACCGTTCTCTGAAACAACTACCCTACCCATATACCTACGGTATTTCAAGGGCAGGATCAATAGTAGCGGCAATGGATGCTACCACTTTGACAGCTCCCCCTCCCAAAGGGAAGGTGGCCCTTGTCACCGGTGCAAATGGTATTAGTGGGCATGCAATCGTGGAATATTTGATCCGGACGCCGAAGAATGAGTGGTTCGTCTTCTCCTCTTGCCTTCCCCCTTAAATTTGACCGCAACAAGGTCCGAAATCATCGTTACCTCCCGCAAGCCACCGCACAACTTCTGGGTTGATCCTCGAGTTCGGTTCATCAGCCTTGACTTTCTCGAGGCACCAGAGGCAATTGTGTCCAAGATCCAATCTCTCTGCAAGAGCGTCACCCACGCCTTTTTCACCTCGTACATCCATAACAACGACCCAAGCAAACTTGTCGAGACAAATGGCCCTCTGTTTCGCAATTTCTTCGAGGCAATTGATGCAGCGTGTCCGCGTCTTGAGCGCGTGAGCTTGCAGACTGGCGGGAAGGTATGTTCCCATTTGGATAGGTTCTTGGGCGCGAGGGCCTTCAAGATTAAGCAAAGCAAAACAGACACCCAGCTAACCGGCATCAGCATTACGGTATCCAATTCAGATGCTTCGACACGCCCTGCCACGAGGATACTCCGCGTTACGACGGACCCGGAAAAGAAACCCTCTTCTACTACAAGCAGGAAGACGACCTCTTTGCGATCCAGAAGCGCCGCAATACATGGGCTTATAATATCATTCGCCCCTTTGGTATTGTCGGATACACGCCCCAGTGTACGTTCTCCCTCTCATCCACGGCACCGCTAGAAAACTCTACTAACAACTCCCAGTCGCCGGAATGAACGAAGCCCTCCCACTGGCCCAGTACTTCCTAATATGCCGCGAACTCAACGAACCCCCCCAGTACCCAGGAAACTACAACGGCTTCCACCAGGTCGAAATGCAGTCGTACGCACCCAGCATCGCAGACCTCACCGTGTGGGCGGCAACACAAGCGCACACGCAAAACGAAGCCTTCAACCACGGCAACGGCGACCCCATGGCCTGGCGGTTCCTGTGGACGCTGTTCGGCGAGTACTTTGGCGTCTGCGTTACCGGATGCGAGCCGGGGGTCTGCAGTGGCAAAGCAAGATTGAGCCTGGCGGAGTGGGCGCGCGACAAGAAGGGTGTTTGGGAACGCATCACGGCGAGATATGGGGCTGGGAGTGGGGAGGCGTTTCAGGAGCATAGCTTTGCGCTGATGGACGGGTTGCTTTCGAGGCCGGTTCCTGGGGCGCAGTTTGTGGCGTCTGTTGCGAAGGCGAGGAGGTTTGGGTGGCGAGGGTGTGTGGATTCGTATGAGGCTTGGGTAGACACTTTTCGGTCTTATGAGAATGCCGCCGTTTTGCCGAGGAGAGAGGCGTATATGGAGTAATTTGGAGGGCACTGTTATCTACCTAGGTATAAAGGCTCTGCATAGCTCCCTAGGTAGTACCTGATGTACTAAACAAAGATGCGCGCTACAGGTACCCAATATATCTCATATACGACTAGCAGTCATAGGCAGTCGACATTTACCTAGGTACCTAGGTCAATACTACAAGAACCCTTAGGTGGAGAGACGACAAAGCCATCAGAGACTCACAGTGCTAAGCTCCAACTAAACAACTACTCCTTAATCCAACACCCCGTAACTGTAACTGTGGCTAGTGAGAACCAGAAAGTGCAGGACGTGACGGCTTGGTCGCCTGATGCCCATTCCAGGATTCCCGGATTCCAGGAGCATGGGTGCACGCTCTGATCGACAAAACCAAGGCAGCGATCTACACCCCCGCACGCGTAGTGGATGGGTGTCTCAGACGGGCTTGAGATAAGACTTTGGCGACAAGGGACTGCTTTCCTCCCCTCCTTATATTTGAAGGGAGAGGCAGGCATGTGACTGGCTGATTACGAGTCCTCACACAGTGGAGTGGACACGGGCCTCCTCGTAAGCTATGGTAAGCGACATGCAGTGTCGCAGTCAAGGTTTGCGGCATCAGCCGAGACTAGGGCAACTAGGTATGGTACGGAGGAGAGAACTGGGAGGGTTCGTTGCAGGGATTCGTTGCTTGTTGGAGGGTCATGCGGGCAGGCCAGTCAGGTGTTCGGGTACTAGGGTAGGGTATGGTAGGGTATACTTTAACGGCGGGTGATGTGCTATAATACTGGTTATATCAAAATAAGAAGAACTCGCATAGCAGCAATAAAAGCAGACTCTGCCTATACACTACCATACCTGAACCCGTCAACAGCCATCATGCAAAACATGGGATCACATGGACCACGCCCACACGGCTTGCAAGGAACGCAAAATGTAGATTATTCCTGGGATGACAACTAATGCTCACATTGAAGTTTCTCTGGCCGTCGAACAAAGAACTGACAGATGACTAGTGTCTGTGAAATTATTTTGAACTGGTTCAAGCCGGGGCAGGGTTCGATGGGGATACCGAGTTCACTGTTAATGGACATCTACCCTACCATCTCGACTATCTCCACCGGGAGTTCCAAGAACATTGGATGGGAGGGAAAATATTCTTGGGTTTAAAGTTCTTGAGGTCTTGAGTAAGATTTTCACCCTTCTCCATAGCATGTCATGCATGTTGGCGCCTCAAATATTGAATATCGGCCAAGGTCGCCCTGGACGTGGTTGTACTTTACCCAGGGCAGAACCTGATCTCGTACCGTATCCGAAGTAACAACGCAAATATCTTGATTATTGGATATAGGGAGAGTAGGGCAGTATTGGTACCCACGCACTGGGTACGCAGGATCGTTATCGAACTAAGGTACATCGCCTAGTAAACTCTGTTGTAACAATAGGATTCCAGAGCAGAATCAGAATAACCACACCAACACCTCGGTCTATGTCTACCTATGCTCTAAAGCCCGAAGAAAGTACCATCACGCATCAACCCCCCAAACAACAGCCGTAACCTCCCCACCAAGCTCAGCCTGCGCGAGCAAGGATCCAAACCCGCCATTCCGTTCCCAAGCAACGACCGCAACGCTATGGCTATTCTGCAGCGCGATCGCAACCATCGTCCCATCCGGCGAGAACTCAAAGTGGCGTGGAAAAGAACCATGGGATGGGTACAGCCCGGTGAAAGATACGTTACGGCTGCAGGTGCTCGTTGCGTCAGACCCAGGGATAGAAAAGACAGCGATCGAGTCATTGCCAGCGCCGAAGGTGTCGTCGCCGCGGTTGGAGACGAGGAGGCGATCGTTGCTGGGCTGTAACGAGCCAGGGCACGGATTAGCTTTTGCTTTGCTTTGCTTTTGTTTTATACGAAGGGGGAGGAGTAGAAAACAGGCAAGTCTCACCGCGATAGCTATCTCCGCAGCCTTGGAGCCACTTGGCGCCGCCGCGCCGCCGTACGTACTCCCCTGATAGAACTGGGAGAAGAGCATGGTTCCATTCTGGGCGTATGTTACATCGTACCCGCTCACCATATTGTCCAGCTCAGAGACTAGATAGAACTTGGAGCCCTGGGCTTGGGCTCGGTTGGTTTCTTGAGCTTGAGGAAGCCAGAAGACGCCGTGCCGGGGTCCAGAGCCAGGGGGCGTAACCAGGGGCCGTTGCTCGCTTAGTTTGCCAGTGCGCTCATTGATGCGGAAGATGCGCACCAGGTCTGCACCGAGGTCTGGAACAAGCACGAAGTGGCCGGTTGGGTCGACGACGACACCGTGGGGATGAGGTGCGTCTTGTCTGTCGGGCACGGGGCCTGGCTTGGGGATGGCAAAGGTGAATGTTTGGGAGAGGTTGAATGTCCCGGTTGTTCGGTTGACGGAGTACGAGGTGACTGCTGAGCCGGAGCTGATCAGGCAGGTATTATTGTTAGCGAAGTTGTCAGCGGGTTTAGGTAGACTAGATCTAACTTACTAGTGAGCTATAACAAGAAACTGACGCTCGGGAGCATGGGCCGCAGAGTAAAAGGCCGATGCAACGGGCCCGGCAATTGTCTTGAGTTGGTCGATCTTTGCCAGGGTGCCATTCAAGGTGGAAAAGGAGGTCAAAGTCCCGTTGGGGGAGTCGATACCCTCGTCTAGGCAGTAGATCATCCCATTCTCACCATCTGGCATCAGCCATGATGGGCTTGGGCCGCAGTTGTCTGTCTGGGAGAGCACATTGAGATGATACCCTTGTCCCGATTTTGATAGACCCAACTCCGTAACCTTGCCATCGTACGAGGCTGCATACAGTTGAGAAGCAAGGGAGGCGCTGCTAAAAAGCAGCGAGAATAGAGGAGAAAAACGCATGATTGCGATAAGCCTCGCTTGCCTGAGACGTAATAGGTATGTTAGAGAGCAGCAAGCCGAGCTATTATTCTCGTTGAACGTATATTCTCAGGACGAAGGGATGAAGCGTGAAGCAGACTGCGCCTCCGCCAAGGCTCCCTGATTCACGGCCATGGCCGCGCCGCTCGAGATTAGTGATCGGAACCTCTTGGCCGGATCCAATTGTTTTATCGTGGGTCGTGGACAAGAAGGCATCGAATTCGAGAAACATAGTAGCCTATCACTGGCCGCGGCATAGCCACGCCGAGAGATCCTCAGCGGGATCTTCGCTCACCGGAACTGATCGAGTAAATGGAACCGGATCATAGAGGTCCGACAGGGAGAATCCGAGAAAGGAGGTATGCGGCATGCCGAATCCCCCCTGGTCTTGGCGCACTCGGCATGCCGAAGTGACCTCCCATCCCGAAATCGGGCCCTGTTCATGCGAGTCGGGTGCTATGGACTGCTAGCACAATCCCGATGGGCCGAGGGCGGATTGCTCAGCAGCTATGGTCTGGATTCGAGATCTACTCGAGAGTTCATGTTCAGCCTTGGCGTTGGACGATCTTGACCGTTTCCGAATGCAGTGGGCTGGATATCACGATGACCTCACTGAACCTGGGATTTCACAGAGGCGCTTGGGTCTTTAGAGTTTCGTGTCGTCAACTGCTCGCCGAACCAAGCACGCATGGTGATCGACTCGCGGTAATCTTGGCAGCCGCAATAATAACCTTGTTTCCTTGGTGGCAATGGTGAAACGAGGCTCAGCATCTATGCCAAGACCACGCTCAGCTACGGAACTTCAAGGGTAATAGGAGAATGCTCGATACTCTCGGCAGCCGGCCCTGGTGCCTGTTCTGGCTACAGGTGAAGAATCTTGTTACCTTGTGGACGAGGTATGGATAGGGCCTGATTGGCGCTGACCGATCTGCGTGGTTCCGCAGCAGAATAACCCATGGGCTACACTTGGATGAGGTCAAAACCGCCAATCAGGATATCCTGACTGCCACGTGAGTGGATATTCTGTGGTCTTCAGCCGTGGTTCTGGAATGGGCATTTTACAAACCTGAAGTATACCAACCGCCAAGATATCCAGCAGCAACGTATAAATCGAACTGCATCCTGTTCTAAGACGGCTCATAACGTCCTTCACCAGCTACAACTTCCGGACCATTGGACCTTGGACCATCACCATGCGGTCCGCCAGCTACCTCATCCTCCCATTTGCAAGCGCGGCGCACGCCCTGACCTCCGCATCCCAACTCGACATCCAGCCGGACCTCCTCAGCAACCCCCTCGATGTCGCCAACAAAACCTTCGACTACATCATTGCAGGCGGCGGCCTGACAGGCCTAACCGTAGCCGCCAAGCTGACCGAGAACCCAAACATCTCCGTCCTAGTCATTGAGCGAGGGTTCTACGAGTCCAACGACGGACCCATCATCGAAGACCCAACCAAGTACGGCGAGATCTTCGGCACAAGCGCAGACCAGAACTTCCTCACCGTCCCACTAATCAACAACCGCACCGAGCTCATCAAGTCCGGCAAAGGCCTTGGCGGTTCGACCCTCGTGAACGGCAACTCGTGGACTCGGCCGGACAAGGTCCAGATTGATTCGTGGGAGAGCGTATTCGGAATGGAGGGGTGGAATTGGGATGGCGTGTTTGAGTATATGAATCAGGGCGAGCGGGCTCGTGAGCCCACTGAAGCCCAGATTGCTGCTGGGCACTACTTTGACCCGTCTTGCCATGGGTTCAATGGAACAGTCCATGCCGGGTACAGGGACACCGGCGAAGAGTGGTCCCCGCTCATGAGGGCGCTAATGAACACCACGTCTGACATGGGCGTTCCGACCCAGGTGGACATGCTATGCGGCCATCCGCGCGGTGTCTCCATGATCCAGAACAATCTGCTAGAGAACCAGGTCCGCGCGGACGCCGCGCGCGAATGGCTCCTCCCCACCTACCAGCGCCGCAACCTGAAAGTCCTCACGGGCCAGGACGTCGGCAGGGTTCTTTTCCAGGACTCGCAGTCTCAGTCAGCCGATGCCGAGCTCAAAGCCATCGGCGTCAACTTCGGCACCCACAAGTCCGTCAACTTCAACGCCTACGCTACCCACGAGGTCCTCCTCGCCGCTGGCTCCGCCATCTCCCCCCTGATCCTGGAGTACTCCGGCATCGGGCTCAAGTCCGTCCTCGACAACGCAAACATCACCCAACTCCTCGACCTCCCCGTCGGCCAGAACATGCAGGACCAAACCACCACGACCGTGCAGGCCCGCAGCACGCGCGCTGGCTACGGCCAAGGCCAAGCCGTCTACTTCGCCAACATCACCGAGACATTCGGCGAGGATGCCCCCCGCGCCATTGAGCTCCTAAACACGAAGCTGGACCAGTGGGCGGAGGAGACAGTGGCCCATGGTGGGTTCCACAATGTCACGGCCCTGAAAGCCCAGTACGAGCTCTACCGCACCTGGATCCTAGATGACGACGTCGCCTTCGCCGAGCTCTTCATGGACGCCTCGGGCGTCATGAAATTCGACATCTGGGATCTCCTCCCCTTCGCGCGGGGCTCGACGCACGTCCTCTCCTCGGACCCGTACCTATGGCAATTCGCCAACGACCCCAAGTTCTACTTCAACGAGCTCGACGTCCTCGGCCAAGCGGCCGCCACGAAACTCGCCCGTGAGCTCCAGAATACCGGCGCAATGGCCCAGTATTTTGACGGCGAGGTGGTGCCTGGCGAGAACCTTGCGTCCGATGCGGATTTGGACCAGTGGGCTGAATACGTCCAGCGCAACTTCCGCGCGAATTACCATGCTGTTGGGACGTGCTCGATGATGGCGAGGGAGATGGGTGGTGTTGTTGATGCTAAGGCTAGGGTGTACGGGACAAAGGGGCTCCGGGTGGTTGATGGGTCGATTCCGCCGACGCAGCTTTCGTCGCATGTTATGACTGTGTTTTATGGGATGGCGTTGAAGATTGCGGATGCTGTGGTGGCGGATTATGCTGCTTCTCAGTAGGTCTGGTGCTGGTATTGGACTGGGGTGCTTGATGGATGTGGTACAGGGTTGTTGTTATCGAACAGTTTTGGGTTGTCTTATAGAGTCCATGGTAGATAGTTAGTCGTTTATTTTGTATAATTAAATGGCTTAGGATATAGACTTTCTTTGACGTGTGAAATTCCTCAAAAGATCGTGGACGTAAATGTTCTGATCAGGGCACGCAGAGCAAGGATAACCCTAACTCTAGGATTGAGAAGGGCAATGGTCTTGGCGCAGTGCTCGAGGCTGCACCGGCTGACTCACTGCGTCAAAGATAGACTGATGAAGTTTCCTAATCCTAGTAGGTACCTACGGTACGAAGTGCAGTCGAACTACGCGAAACTATACCATAGTAGACTTTCGTCAAGTCAACTCTGCACGGTAAGGTTAGGCAGTGAGATCTCACTCTCAGCCTGGTCTGGATCGCGATCGCGAGATCGAAATTTCAAATTGCAAAGCTTGAAAGCAAACATTTGGATCGGGACGAGGCGTCGAGGCTGGATCGCTCCGGCTTGTGGTGGCCCTGTTGGGCGGCGGCGTACTCTGGGTCCGTGAGACCCTTGTAAGTTGTATCATCATCCATCTAGACGGTGTGTCTGTGTCTGCCCTGTCTAGGCATCCACAAATCAAATCGAATTTTCAAAGCCCAGCTAAAGTGGGAAGACAGGTTCACAACCAACACAATTTCCCAAAACGAAGACGCCGATTGGAGGATGGGGTATACATCACCCAGTCCCACCCATGTCTGGTCATAGGCAGAGGAAGAGACATGGTAGGGAACTAGCATTTTAGCAAGTCAGCCTAGCAGACACCAGCTGAACACCCCTGTCGCCGTCCCGCAAACTGCCTTGTGCTCGGCCCCCACTGCTTATCACTGTCCATTATACCGTACCCTTGCACTCGCACTCAAGGTGCACTCGCCACAATCTCGCAGGGTCTAGTCTACCATAGCTACCGGGTAGCTTGCTAAGCTTACCTCCCCTGCAATCAATAACCCCTCACCCCTCTATCCTGGCCTCGCGCACAATAAAAGAAAATTATTATCAGTAGACTTCGCCTCTTTTCTCCCCATGAGGACATCGAAAATAGCCCGGCTTAATGAAAATGAAACAGATGCCTATTCCCAGTCCACGGAGTCTTGAGCCGCACGCCCGCTCGTACTCGTCACCCCATCATTGGACGACAGGGATCCGGCTACATGTTGCACTCTGAACCTCAAGGTGAATCAGATTCACTGTAGACTTACGGTAGTACATGCATCATGCATGTCAATGCAGGGCGTGCCGCTCCCTACCGCGTACATTTTAGCTGGGATGGGAGCTAGCTTGCATGCCGTTTGCCGTGGTAGTGAGTCACTGCCTGGGATTCAACGGTTTTGCCTGCTGTAGGTTTTCGGGGAACGGTTCGGAAGAAGGTTCTTGGGCAGTGGTGAGGTGGGGTGATGATCGCGACTAGGAGACTGGAGTACTCGATGGGCTCCATACGGAGGACTAAATCGACAATCGCGCAAAAACTCCACATCATGTAAATACAGTATCAGCCACCCTCACCGCCTTTTTAACCAGGCCTACACAAGCCCCTACTAAGCCTACTAAGCACCCCTAGCACCCCTAGCACCCATAATAATAATAATAATAATAATAA